ATATAGCAACATACTGAACATAATCGATGGTTTCATTTTGGCAATCGAGGTTTTATTACAGATTCTTATATGATAAACCAAACAACTTTTACATTTACCAGTCGCTTATGGTAATTAGCCATACATTTCTAGGTATTTGCGTTTTATCGCAATCGTGTCAAAATATAAATTGTATTGATAAACAGAAAAGAACACAAAAAATCATATACGGGCGCCATTTTTCTAAGGTGTTTCTAAGTGTTGTTTAATCTCTCTAGACTATCTCTCATCAACGGCTTATTGTAGATTGGTTGAACAATGAACGTGTAATTTATAGCTATAATAACCACGTTGATCGATGCTTGGGCGAATTTTAAGGTTTAAATCAGGAAGAGAGAGGTAGAAAGAGGCGTAATCTTGTGGCAAGTTCCTCACCTCCTACGCGCTGAATTGTGTTTCGATTCCCCGTCCATTCTCCACACCGATTTTTTATTTTTAACTCATTGATGTATCCCTTTAAAGGAGTACAGGCTACAGTGAAACTGTAAAGGAAGGACGTTTGTTTATTTCCATATTTCTGAATGTAAGCTTATACTAGATTTTACATACATGTTTATTCCAAGTGTTCTACTATATATTGTATAGATTCATCAGGCAGTTTTCAGTGTATTAGCAGAAAATCCCCATCGACCACGTAATCACGTGGTAGGATAGAAGTGATATAAATACACCCTCTCCAGCTCACAGCAATTGACTAGCTTATATTCACCACTAGCATAGTTCATAGCAAGTGGTGACATCTAATTAATAGATGATTAATCAATTTTATATATGACTTGTAAAATGCCAAAAATCTGAAGTCGCTCTTTTGAGAGGCCCTCTATTGGATGAATGTGTATAAAATGTCAGAGAATATCTCGAAAATGGGACACGATTTAAGAATGAATTATTTTCGAATGTTTCTTAAAAACATATTGAAAGTTTTTTTTTCATGATATGCTCATGACATATCCCTGTATGCTTTGTTTGTCTTTTTTCTCAAATTGACCCACGGAAATGTGCAATACATCAAGTTAAAAAAGTGGTACGAATCATAAAAGCGACGTTGGGTGGTTCACTAGTAATTTTTTGATGGAAAATCTAGAAATATTACCCAAATTAATTTAAGACTATTCAAAAGAAGACATTCAAATCTATATTATGTAAAAAAATCAAATTGGTCAGAAGCAGGGATAACGCTCAATTAGAGTGATGAACTTCGTTCTCCAAACCGAGAATCATCCTTTGACCTTGAAAAATTTTGAAATTGACCTTTTTTCAATTTTTGAGCTCTTATATCTCAAAACTGGGACAAAATTCTATTAGATAGTCAATTGCTAATATGTGAAGAACCCTTAGAGGAATGTATATTCTGACTTTTGAAAAAAAATATTGATTTGTAGTCTCGAACTTAGAGAAACTTAGATAACACAGTTTGTGACCTAATTTGATGACCTTGACCATTGACCTTGAAAATTTTACTCTTTTAGACCTCTGTAGGTCTTTTGTAATTAGGCTGACCTAAATTTGAATCCAAAAACTCAACTTTGAAAATCAAATTTTCTGACCTTTCAAAGGTCACTGAAGGTCAACTCAAGGTCAAAGGTCAAATCTGAGGTCAGATTTGGACTCCTGGGAACTTGTAAATGATTTTAAAAAAAAAATTTGGTCAGATTGAAGCAAGTTGAAAAATGACCTTTTCTGACCGTTTTTTGACGTCAAATATCTCAAAAACGGTAAAAATTTAATGCTGACATAAAGTGAACAATTTGTAGAGAATACTTAAATGTAGTTTCAGTTTAATTCATCGCAAGAAATAATGAAGTATAAGGACAAACTTGAGAAACTTAAAAAAAAACTTAGATTTGACCTAGATTTTGACCTTTGACCTTGACCTAGATAAAAAATATTTTCCCCCCTATTCCAGCCCAGGTTCCTAGTGGGAGCATATAGTAGGTAGTTGAAAGCTAGTTGGAAGTAGGAGAAAAATGCTTTGAAAGAATAATAAATAAAGAATAAATAAATAAAGAAAAGCTACAAAAGCTATAGGAGGCCCTTTCAGTAGGGCCTCCTAATAATGAAGTATAAGGACAAAGTTGAGAAACTTGAAAAAAATTTAGATTTGACCTAGATTTTGACCTTTGACCTAATTTGATAACCGTGACCCTTGACCTTGAAAATTTTACTGTTTTAGAGCTCAGTGGGTCTTTTATGATTAGGCTTACCCTAAATTTGAATCCAAAAACTCAATTTGAAAAATCAACTTTTCTGACCTTTCGAAGGTCACTGAAGGTCAACTAAAGGTCAAATGTCAAATCTGAGGTTAAATATGAACTCCTGAGGAGTTGTAGATGATTTTTAAAAAAAAGTTGGGTGAATTTGAAGCAAGTTAAAATTTGACCTTATAAACTTTAAAAAATCGACCTTTTTCAGTTTTTGAGCTCTTATATCTCAAAACTGGGACAAAATCTTAATAGATAGTCAATGACTAATATGTGTAGAACCCTCAGAGGAATGTACATCTTGACTTTCAATTAAAAATATTGATTTGTAGTCTTGAACTATGAGAAACTTAGATAGCACAGTTTGTGACCTAATTTGATGACCTTGACCTTTGACCTTGAAATTTTTACTTTTTTAGACCTCAGTAGGCTATTTGTAATTAGACTGACTTAAATTTGAATCCAAAGACTCAATTTGTAAAATCAACGTTTCTGACCTTTCGAAGGTCACTGAAGGTCAACTAAAGGTCAAAGGTCAAATCTGAGGTCAGATTCGGACTCCTGGGAACTTGTAGATGATTTTAAAAAAAAAATTTGGTCAGATTGAAGCAAGTTGAAAAATGACCTTTTTTGACCGTTTTTTTACGTCAAATATCTCAAAAACGGTAAAAATTTAATGCTGACATATCGTGAATAATTTGTAGAGAATACTTAAATGTAGTTCCAGTTTAATTCATCGCAAGAAATAATGAAGTATAAGGACAAACTTGAGAAACTTGAAAAAAAACTTAGATTTGACCTAGATTTTGACCTTTGACCTTGACCTAGATAAAAAATATTTTCCCCCCTATTCCAGCCCAGGTTCCTAGTAGGATCATATAGTAGGTAGTTGAAAGCTAGTAGGAAGTAGAAGAAAAATGCTTTGAAAGAATAATAAATAAATAAAGAATAAAGAAAGAATAAAGAAAAGCTACAAAAGCTATAGGAGGCCCTTTCAGTAGGGCCTCCTAATAACTATCACAATGTCCTGCAGATATACAGGGGGATTGCAAACATGTGCCATTATCTACCATCTCCTAAGATTTTCTCCATCTAAAATGTCACTCGACTTTTTTGTGATTATGAGTCAAAGAAAGCATTCTTGAGTTTCAAATTGACTTCTGTGGTAACTTAAAACCATCTTCTAATTTATTCCACTTACCTTTTATTGTTTCTCCAAATATATTCTTTGAAAATCGGATTTTAAGGGTGTTAGTCAGGGTAATTCTGTGCCATTTTATCAAAAATCTTGTTGCTATCTAGAAACGAGCAATTGTGATCTTGTTGTTACCTAGGGGCGAGCAACTGTGATGTCACGTCACACTCATGTTAATTCTGGAATCACATGGCAGCCATTTTGGAAATTTCAAAAAAGTTCCCAATTATAAAGGCTAAATGCTGTTTACAAATTGGAAACTATGGCAGAATCAACAAAGGGTTTATGTTCAATTAACAAAGGACGATTCTCGGTTTGGAGAACGAAGTTCATCAATCTAAATGAGCATTATCCCTGCTTCGGACAAATTTGATTTTTTTACATAATATAGATTTGAATGTCCTCTTTTGAATAGTCATAATTTAATTTGGGTAATATTTCTAGATTTTTCGCAAAAATATATTAGCGCAGTACACTGATGAACTTCTTTCCCCAAAATGGAGACTTGTATTTTATTGAATCGGTCTAATTGAGCGTTATCCCTGCTTCAGACCAATTTGTTATTTTTCCATCTTGTAGATTTAAATGTCCTCTTTTGAAAATTCATAGTTTAATTTGGGTAATATTTCTATATTTTTCATGAAAAAAATTATAAGCCCAGGAGACTGTTCTCCAAACCGAGAATCGTCCTTTATTGTAAATAAGTTTCACATCAGTTTTGCTGAAATTTAATTTCTACATGATTACGCCACAAATAGTGTGCTCCAACTAACTTAAGGTCTCATGGAAGTTAACAGGAAATGACAAAACAAAAAATGACAAAGCCATGCTGGATTTTGAAAATTTTTTGAACCAAGATAACAGAGTTCTGTTTGGACCTCCAGTCAGTTTAACTAGTTCCAAATATCATTTACATGACCAGGAACACAATTGAAATGGTCAGAATGACCATAAACATGATAAAATAACCTTTTTAGCCCTCTGAAAATGTGACTGAAAAATAGCTAAAAGTAGGTGCTCAGGAAAGGTCAATGAACAGAATATTTTGATTTTTTCAGAAAATGTGTCCAATATATTGCTCTAAATGACACAATCTTTGAAATTTTAAAAAATCGTCTGAAACAATAATGGCTGTAGTAAAAAGGAAAATAGATCGATTTTCAATTCAGTTTTTTTCAATTTTTTCTTTTTCTAAGAATGATATCAAATTTTTTTGAATTGTATCATTTAGAGCAATATATTGGGCACATTTTCTGAAAAAGTCAAAATATTCTGTTCAGTGACCTTTCCTGAGCACATACTCTTAGCTTTTTTTTAGTCACATTTTCAGAGGGCTGAAAAGGTTATTCTATCATGTTTATGGTCATTCTGACCATTTCAACTGTGTTCCCGGTCATGTAAATGATATGTGGAACTAGTTAAACTGACTGGAGGTCCAAACAGAACTCTGTTATCTTGGTTCAAAAAATTTTCAAAATCCAGCATGGCTTTGTCATTTTTTGTTTTGTCATTTCCTGTTAACTTCCATGAGACCTTAAAGGACATCTGATGAGTACTGTTAATTTACTGTAAATTGCTTTAATTTGACTACCATTTTAATTTGGCAGATTTGGCAGGTTGATAAAAACTGCCAAATTAAATCTCCATCCTTTTTTGAAAAAGGGCCTAAAGTCTCATTGAATCCCATTTTTATGATTGCTACCCCCCCCCCCCTTTGTCAGTAACCCGAAAGTAACCTGACCACATGTCTTCCTAGCAATGGGTCAATCGAGCAAATTAAATAGCAGCCAAAATTTGCCCAATCCACCAAATTAATAGGGCAAAATTAAAGCAATTTACAGTACATGATTTGCACAAGTGTGAGTTACACATATTTCATTAGCCTTGCCCCAAGTCGGTATTTTTTACTTTATCTGATCTTGGATTATTACCGCCTTGTGTAATCCGATACATCTCCACTGTTATTATGATAAATTATGCACCAACTATTACGTGTGCGCTATAGCATTAGCCAATAGCGGTAGTCATACACAAAAATCAATAAATAAATCCATGTGTTCGCCATGCGGTTGTGAAGTTATATGCGGCATGCTTGCAGACTGCAAATCCAGGCTTCTCCCTTACAAATAAAACGCATTCACCGGAAACATAATAACTTTTCATTATCCTTTTTACAGCATAACTATAAGTGTTTATATGTGAACTGATCAGTCATCAACTTTCTGATATTAAATCGGTTCACTACATTCAAATTACTTTCAATTCTATTTAGCAAATAAAACGTTTATCGATTTTGTGAGGGTCATTTTCAGTTTTGCTCGCCGATGAAAGTAAAGCGAGGTAGGACTTCCCACAATGCCACTATCAAAGGTTCCGATACTAACTTGCTGATTGGAGCAAAATCAACAACTGTATTACCTCGTGTGTTTGTAACCTAAATTTAGACATTGAAAGATCGCGTGCTATTGGTCAAAATCACCGACATAAACAAACTGTCGGTAAAGCACGTGGCTTTCTCTTTGGTACAAGGCAGTCATAATAGAATTCAAGATAAGTAAAAGAGACCGACTTGGGGCAAGGCTAATATTTCATTAATTCATATATTTCACACTGCCAGAATGTGAGTTGATGCAAAATTCAAAATGTCTCCTACACATTTCATTGAATATATATGAGAACAGTCCTACGTTAAGAACCAAATAATAGCCAACCAATTAAAAAAAAAGAATTCAAAAAGAATAGAGTGGAGTACCTCAAACTGACATTTCTCATGGCTGTACATTAAACTCATGTGTTTTATTCATCTCAGTTTCATTTTTTGTGATAAGCACAGCAAAACAGCAATGATGATATAACAAATATTCAATACATTAAAGGTATTGAAAAAAATCAGCATGATATCTGTTCTTCAATTAGAAGCCAGTATCACAAATTAAACATTATTACATGCTATAGGATAACATTGTTCCTCCAGTTAACATTCGTAACATGCAATACCAATTTTGGCATTAGAAGGATCTTTTATTCAAGTCAAACATAATACTTTATTCCAGCATTTTACGTACAAGTCCTCCGTTTAATCAACAATTTTTCTCTTGTGCATATAGGCTGCAAAATAATCGTGACCAGTTTGTTTGAAACAGAGGAATCTTGCATACAGTCCTTGTTTAACACCCCCACTTCACTCAACCCATGACCCAAAAATATGCATTAGAAATGGGTCAGGGGGGGTGGTTGTTTTGAGACTTGTTGGATTAATATGCAGAGACCAAATTTTAGAAATCATCTCCTCGACTTATGACCTCCTTACAAGTTGGTCTTAGCACTATTGTGTGTTCATACTGCGCTGTGTAGCAACCCTTTACGTCACAGAGGGGAGGATAAGCATTCACTATTCCAACGTCACAAAGATTTTTCAAACCCATTAGATATTTTGTCTGTCCTAGCCTGTCCAGCCAACGACGACAAAATGCTAATGTGGAAAAGTTCTGGTTTATTACATTAAGAAGCTGTTTAGATTTGGCGATCCTGAAACATATAAAGAAACATCATGAGAAGTATGACACATTATGCGAAATAAAAAAGTACCACCAAACCAAAATAGATGGCGTTACTGGTATTCAACTTCTGGCCATATTTTATCAATGTATAAAAACAAACACATCAAACCTATAAAATTTTGTAAGCTTTGAGTTATTCATAAATGGTCCATTTTTGTGTTATATTGGAAAATGGCAAAAGTTACTCTAAAATTGTAATTTTCCATCTTATCTATTATCATACCTAATCTGATTAATATATCTCCTGCATTCTATCTCATTGAACATTTTATCCTAAAAACCAAGTGAAAAGGTTAAAGTAACCTCATAAGATCAAACAACAGTTGGCAAACAACAGTTTAAACAATTTACAGTAAAACCTGTCTTATTGAACACCTTTCTCTAGTGAACACCTGTCTCTAGTAGACACCCTTCCTCTGCAAATACACTACTGACTTCTATATAAATTACACTCTCTGTTGTAAACACCGCTCAACACTGAATGTTTTTTTAGCAAACAATGTTCAATATACACAGGTTATACCGAAGTTTAAATTGAAATTGCTCTCTATTTCTGACACTGACAAAGCTTGTGAATTACCTTAGAGGAGCAAACTCCACATCAAAGTCCCTCATATAATGTGAACACTCCATATCTTCATGTACAACACCTTTCCCTGTACTGCCAAATGTCTCAATAGCATAGAACTCCATCTCCTGAAGATTATAAACAGAATGACATTAATGAATTGAAAAACAATACATTTATGCAAAATAATTAAGAATACAACTTATACAGTTTTGTTGCTGTTAAGGGCAAAATGACCCGAAAAGTAGCTATTGTGGCCTTAAATGAAAGTTTCTTATTGACATGAATTTTGAAAGCATAAAATTTAATGACTGCTTTTTTGATTGGGTAGCATAGAATTCCATCTCCTGAAGATAATAAACAGAATGACATTAATGAATTGATGTACAATACAATTGATTTTTTCCTCATGATATATATCATTGGGAAGTTTATGACTTATGACTTATAATAATAATTAATAACAATTCAACTTGAATAAACAATGATTTGGCTTCCCCATCACCTATCAATTCAATCCATTATGGTTAAGAAATAAACTTTCTAATGGTCTATCAGAGATAAGGTGCCTTTTCAATGGTATGTATAATATGAATAGAGTGCTCTTTTGATGATAAGTACATTATCTGTCAGAATTCACTTTTATGAGCCTTTTATCGTGTGTTGATTTTATTAATGAAACCTAATTGTTCATATTTTTTCATCGAGACTTTGATTTTAGACAGCATGTTCAAATAAATAAAATATCAGAAAATCATAACTGAAAAAATTCCTGAAAAGATTTACTTGATCTTTTATTTTATATTTTTATCAGAAATTCACCTATTGCAGTAGTTTCCTTAAATGTCAGCCACCCTGTAGCAATTACAGTAAAATCTGTCAAGTGAAACATCTCAAAAAGTGGGCGAATACTTTTTACAGTTCTTTGACCAGGTGACTCACTGACTATTTAAAGAATCAATATCAAACTATTAGAGAGGGTATTGATTTGATAGACTGTCAATAGACTGTCAATACAATGACTTTATTTCACAAAATCACAAAAAAAACTGTCTACTTCCTGGTGTAAAGTAAAAATATCACAAGGAACTTCTGAAATATACAGAGAAATGTGGTCTGATTTATATTTAGTTGAGATCACAAGAAGAGAAGGAAATATACCAGCATTCATTAACGAAACTATCTCTAAGTAAAGATGTACTGCCAGAGGCTAAACTTTATACAGATTCGTCAATGAATTCTGGGGTATCCCCCATCTTTCAGATCACATTATGATGTCTCACTAGGGGCCATGTAAGCAGATGTAGCAAACAGTTTCGGTTTGGATTTACTTCTCCCATATGACAATTATGACCTATTTAACCTTGCCATACAGCCTAGAACTCAAATTAATCCATTACCAGTCCCAAAAACAAAAGATATAAGAGGACAAAAAACATGGTTTATGTCATTAAATATTATATTTTTCTGTTTACATTTTGGGATGCTCCCTTTATGTGATGAATAAGGAAGTAAGTATATCAGAAAGTGTTCTACTCAAAGCCAATCAATAAGCCAATCAGCAACAAGCAGTTTGGAAATAAAAAATTGATAAAGTTGCAAAAGAGTGACACTGTGAAAAGACTTAAAGATGAAGGTAGGCTAGATGATAATTTTTTATTTTTAATTTCCAAAATATAATGATTTTTGTGGGTGACTTTTTTCTTATCTATTTTTAAATGGAAATCCAACAGACCTGACTTTGTTTCACAATAAGCATTGATATTCAGGATTAATTATCAATTCTTTCTGAAAAATTCGAAGCCCACTTTTTTAATTGCAATGAACTTGGCACATTTCTGCATCATAATCAAATTCCTTTGTTTGATCAAATAAATCAAATCATTATTTTAAGACGTTACTTCGCAGCAAGACGGGGCTTGAGCTAAGATCCTGAGGGTAGCTGGTCAAAATGCAATTACGGACCAGTTGCCATGTCACAAGTATTTTCCTATACCTAGTGAAAAAATTCACTGGTCCATTTCAAAAGTAACCTGGCAATGACAGGTGGACGGGCCCTTAGCTCAAACCCTGGTAAGTGACAAACTGACATGTTTTAAAACTTGATTTCAACATTTTACACACACTATCCTTAGCTGCTACTTTGGGATGAATATTCAATTCTCTTGACTGGTGTACTTTCAGAATCTGGCGTGGCATGTGTTAATAATACTCTGCATTCAAATCAGTGAGATTTCTGCTATAGAAATCGATGATCTCATACTGGATTCAACTGATCTACATTCAAACGAGGATCAGATCCAATCATTATGGGACCAGGAAGATATAAAGACATCAAATGATAAACCAAACAAGGAAAACCTCTACTTTGAGTATGGTCCAAACAATAATCGAATACCAGATTTTTGTATATGTAGATCAGAAATGTTCTCAAAATTTTTGACTTGTACATGTCATGCTAGGTCTCAAATGGATCATTGGCCTTTAGAAAACATTCTGGAATTTTTACCACACAATATTACCAGAATTATTTTACACAATTTCAATTTTGGAGTTTTGCAAAACAACTCTTTCAAACATTTTTCTAGATTGCATGATGTATCGATTTGGATGAGTAATCTAACTGCTATTGAAGAAGATGCTTTCCAACATTTTGATAATATGGAGAACGTTAGTATAGCACTATACGGAAATGATATCAAGCATATAGAACCTGGTGCATTCAGATATGGAAATAGTATATGGATGTTAAATTTAAATTATAACTTCAACATGGGACTTGAAAATGCTAAAAGAATTCTGAATGACTTAAACGGCAAGAAAATGGATACACTCAAGATGGAGGGGTGTGGCTTGGTGATTGATAAAATTGACGGAGCATTTTTCAAATCATTAAAAACATCACAACTCGAGACGTTAAATTTAGTTGGAAATACTATTGAGACTTTGGCTCCTGGTGCCTTTGAACCAATCAAATTGTTGAAAAAGTTGTGGATTTCAAATTTCATGTATGTAAGCACATCAACTTTTGATACTTTACAACACCTCACAGAATTTAGATTATTAGGAGGATTACAAAGACCATCAAAGTTATTTAAACCCATACTCAATTTAAACGGCCTCAAAAATTTACGAGACCTCCGACTTTATCTTATTGACAATGGCGAACCCATGAACTTAAAAATAAGTAAATTAACACATTTGAAAACTCTACGCTTAATAGATGCGAAAGATTTTGATGGATACCGTGAAGAAGTGCTAGCATTATTCAATAATTCACAGTCACTAGATAGCGTTGATCTATCTGGAAATTTCTTATTCCAGTACTCAGATCAGCAGCTTTGTCAGCTGTTTGAAAAACAAGGTCAGCTGAGAACTCTAAGTCTCACCAGAAACTATCTTTCTTATTTACCCGATTGTATATTTAGAGGGATGTCTAACTTAAAGGCACTGCTCTTACATTCGAACAGAATTGTCTCAATTCAGAAGGACTTATTTAAAGGGCTCAACGATCTAAGGTGGTTAGATTTGAGGTATAATTCAATAACATTTATTGACCCCGGCAACTTGGTCTCGATGACAAAACTGAGACACCTGAAAATAGACCATAATAACTTTGACTGTAACTGTGGGCTGATTGGCTTACGTGATGTACTTAAAAATATAGGGAAGTCAACGAGAATACAAATTTACAAGTTTGAAAAGTGCAGCATACCATTATCTCGCAAGAGAGAATTCATACACAACTATATCATTCCTTGGATTGAATGTAACTCTAAATTAGTCATAACAGCATCCTCTGCAACAGGAAGCACTGTTATATTCCTTGGAATCCTCACAGCTGTGCTATTAAAACATTTTTGGAAGGACATTGAGTACAGAAAAATGGTACGCATGGCGAGAAAACATGAGGGATACGCTCCGATATCGGATGTTCCAATAGAGAATGATGCATTTGTCAGCTATCATAGTGAAAAAACATTATGGGTTGAACGAGATTTGTGCAGGGAGTTGGAAAATGGAGATGATATTAAGTTCACACTAATGTACGATGACAGAATCATGCCTGGTGGCTCCATCTTTACATCACTAGGTAACGCCATGAATAGCTGTAGGAAGATTCTATTTGTGGTGAGTCGTGGATGGGTGGCGGCTGCTATGAACCAATTTGAGGTAAATATCTCTATCAGCTTCAATATATTAAATTAATGGGGTGTTCAATCACCTTAGAAAATAGATTTATCCACAGACCATGCTTACACACTGTAAATTTCTAGATATCATAATTGCCAATTACCCGGGTAATAGCAATCTCAGGTCATATAGATACTATGGAAAGTCATAAAATGAATATGCATAGAAATAACAGTAACTGGTTTAGTTTGTTTCACCAAATGGACAGATGGACCAAAACAGACCCTACCAGATCCCATAGGCTCACTGAATGAGCCAAAAACCGGGCAAATAAAACGTATGCATTTATTAATTTAAAATCATTAAAATTCATGGATATGACAGTTATGATATTGAATGTATCTGAAGATGTAGTTCTGTGTAAAAAATAGGTTGATATGGCCTTGGTGAAGATGCTAGATGACCACAGGGACATGATCATTGTGCTTCTCATGGAACACATTCCTAAAGCAGAAATGCCTGACAAGCTAAAAATGATGGTGAAACACAACACCTGCCTCAAGTGGAGTGACAATGAGAGACAACAGGCAAAGTTCTGGAGGGACCTGAAACTGGAACTCGGGAAACATCACTTGGAAAGGACATGAAGCTTGGAGAAAGCATAACCCCTAATGACAATCCTTTGGCCTATATGCATGGTATTAGGTACAAGAACTGATAAAATACCTGAATGTAATCTGCCATCATGTAGGCACATTAGACATTGAAGTTATTTTGAAATGAATACTAATAATGTGACTTATACAAAATGTAGTTACACTCAGCTGTTTCAAAGACATGATATTAGGCATAGTACAATGTATAAAAAAACATTTAGTGATTTGATTTGTAGATCTCTATTATTCAAATAATTGTGATTTTTGGTTTTCAAAAAGTGAGAGCTATATAACATTTTCAAATGCTTTTCAAATGGCTATATATTTTCGTCAAATCCCAATGTTACAAAATCACAAAAATTCAGTGTCAGGCTTTTAACACTGACCTCCATTTTGGTTTGCTCCCCTCCTTTCACAATCGGTACTGTCTTTCCAGCATGTATCCTGTAGGGACTGATAGAGTGGCCATTCAAGTTTCTGATTGCTTTCACTGTAACAAAAAGCAATGCAACTATGATACAAAATTTGATCCATCACTTTTGAATCACTCCTTAAATGTACTTCAAATCAGTTTTGTCAGTTTACTTTACATTAACAGAAAAGAAGCTTCATAGTTTCTTTCTTCTCCCATTTAATATCATCTACCAACCTTAATCAATACATTTTTGTTTGACCAAAATAGCTTAAATGAGATTTTTTAGAAATTGTACCATTTGGTGTGGAGTCACATAGTGAATATCAAAAAATGACATTTTGATGTCAAAAGGCTGATTTCTCAAAAATGAGGCAAAATTAGGCACCTGGACCAAATTACCAGAAATGACCCCATAAAATGGATATGTGTGTTTGTTCAGTTGAATGGCAGTTTTCATTGTCTGAAAATAGCTAAAGGATGGAAGGACAAACACAGAGAAGGATGGACAGATGGGCAAGTGGGCAATGTCAACTATGTGAGCGAAAAATATTTGAGGAAAAATCAAACAAGGAGTACAAACCTTGGTATGTTTTTCCTTCCAAGTCCACCTCATAAGACTCCATTACTTCCTGAATGGCCTCTCCAATGTCACACAAGCGAACATCTATCCCCGCCTCTTTGATACCAGTCTCTGTAGCCTCTTGTACAGCTTTTAGTAGGTTTTCATACTTAGGGTTGGGTGCCCATGTGAATGCACAATCAATAATCCGACCTGGAAAAGTGTACAGTTACAATGTACTTCTACTACATAATGTATATACATGTACGTGTAAATAAATACTTATTTTCTGATGTTATTTTTTAAACAGGATTACCAACTAACAGTCTTTGAAGCCTTGAAGCAGCCAAAATTGAGTTTATTATCTCCAAACATCATAAAGATTGCAAAAACTTTTATGAGTAACTTGTGTACAGTTGAAATTATCTTTACAAACTCACCATTGATGTGTGTTCCAAAGTCGATCTTGCAAACATCATCATACTGTAAAACTGTAGTGTCTCCTGCATTAGGTGTGTAGTGGGCGGCACAGTGATTGATGGAACAGCCAGTTGGAAATGCGAGCCCAGCTTTTAGGCCATTCTCATCAATTAATTTACGAGATGAGGTTTCAAGAGTCTCACTGGAATCAGATAAGTATTCCAATTGATAAATGAAGAATCATAACATTAAAACTACACATCCTTTGCAAACATTTTACAAATTAGAAAGTGTTTGTGTGGAATCATATCAATTAAAAATTTGCCTCTTAATTGATTGTTTCTGAACAACAGGAAATATGTTTGCCTTACCATATTTCTATCATAGTCATTCCAGGTTTGATGAACTTCTGCATGTACTGCCTTGTCTGCAAATAAATATAAATATCATGATCTGATGAATGATTATCAACAAATTATTAGTTTCCGACAATTACATGTATGTTTACTATTTTTAGAATATATGTACACATATAGTCAAAACAGTTATGTTTGTGACTACTTTGAATTTAAAAAATAAGCAATCAAATTACCATATTGAAACAGTTTATGTAAAAATAGAAACATTTATATTAATCCTTAACTTTTGTATATTTTAGTTTGTTTTCTCGTTTAGCTATCATATCTGTGTCCTCTTATATTTTGACACTTCTCTGCCATGTTATTTTGGGAAAAATTAACATGGCTGAAACTCCCTAAATTACAAAAGGCCAGAGCTTTGCTGCACATTATACATTACTATCTGAAATATGCAAAAGTTAGGATGAATATAAATGTTTCTATTTTTACATAAACTGTTTCAATATGGTCATTTGATTGCTTATTTTTTAAATTCAAAGTACTCACAAACATTACTGTTTTGACTATAGTCAAAAACATATTTTCTTCAAACCAGCCACTCAATTATCTACTGCCCCGACTAAGAGTGAATTAAATGGTCTGATTGAACCATTACCATTAGATTTGGATTAAAGAAACAGCAAAAATGGCAATGTATCAAATGTATATAATTTGCTGTAATTCTAAAAATACTAAGAATAAATATTCATTGCAAATACATATTGCGAGTAATCTCAAATTCACTCCTTCATAAACATGGAAATGACAGGATTTGGTTTATTAATATTTCTGGAACCACCCTTATGTACCTGTCTATGTGCCTCTGCAGCTAGGCGTATCTCATTAAGCTCCTGTTCATTGACAACATCAAGCATCCTCTTCTCTTCAGATGTCATCCTATTCATGGCAGTTCTCCTGAAATTAGATATACATGTATCAACAAAATGAAACAATGGGAGGCTATCTAGATAATAACCATGGAACAATGGGAGCTATGTACATAGCCATGGAATAATGCGAAGCTATCTAGATAACCATGGAACAATGGGAAGCTATCAAGATAACCATGGAACGATGGGGAGCCATGTACATAGCCATGGAATAATGCGAACTTATCTAGATAACCATGGAACAATGGGAAGCTATCTAGATAACCATGGAAAAATGGGAAGCTATCTAGATAACCATGGAAAAATGGGAAGCTATCTAGATAACCATGGAACAATGGGAAGCTATCTAGATAATAACCATGGAACAATCGGAAGCTATTCATGTATCCATGAATAATGGTGAGCTAAATGGAGAAGGAAAAGAAAGCTTGAGAAAGTGTGTTCACTTTAAATCTAAAATCGGGCTGTGAATGGCTGAGTAAGTTTAAGGGTTTACAATGCTGGAGTGACATCTTATGAATGCAGATGTCCAGATATCAACCACTATACTGCTTGCTGAACACTGGACACTGACTGTCAACAGTGGAACTTTGAACAATATGTGACTACTTCTTTATTGTGACATAGTAATAAAAATTATTCTTACTCATCTTTGGGGGTAGGATGCTCCATTATCTGTCCCTCAGGATATTTACCCTCTGGGAATAATTCTGTGATCGGTATAGTTGGTGGTTCGGTCTGTTGGGGGATACCTTTCAATATAAAATATAGAATTTCAACTTGAAAAACTACTTCAGTTCTGGGCTCCTTTAGGATACATGTACTGTTATCCGATCATTGGAACCCAATATTCAAAGAATTTGAAATCTTAATTGAAGATACATAGGTATGCATATGTAACAAAGGGAAATGACCAAACAAGAGTACACAAGTGATAGGGAAAACAAACACAACCATCCCAAAACATGATAGTGAAAAGAAACAATGTCTAATACCCCTTACCCCACCATTCAAGTAACATTATCACAATCCAATAATGCAACCCCAAGGGACATTCCATTACAATACACGTTGAAAAATAAATTGAAACTGATTACTGTAGATTGGGTTAATTTGGCGCTACTTAATTTGGCGATTTTGCCATTTTTGGAATATTGGCGGCTATTTAATTAAATGCAATGTTAAACTTACGCGCTGTTTGCGAATTACCATGTAAATGAGCATGTTTGGCTATGTTCATGTTTTCTTTTGAGGACCACTGGCGATATTCACCACGTTTGTACATTTTAGTGAGATCATCCTTTACATTTTGCACCTGGATCGATGCTGCTAGGGCCCTACTATACCGCGTTATTTCCTGAGTATTAATGAGTGACTGACCAGTTATGAGCCAATTTATGAGAGACATTTTTTTCATATTTTTGAAAAAACTAAACCGGAAGTGACCTAAATACACTGGAGGAAATACCCTAGATAATTCTCGGGGATTCATTCTAAATTTTGGCGAAGATTTATATTGGCAAATTTTCAATTTCGCCAATTCGCCAAATTAAAGCAGGCGCCAAATTAACCCAATCTACAGTAAATACTCATAACATCAACAATAGTAGTTGTAGTACTCATACAAGATAGAGCATTCAGTCTCAAATCAGGGTTTCCTACATAAATTCTTAGAACCCTGAGAAGAAAATTTGCCATTCATGCCTCAGAAACTCATGTCTGTAAATACATAAACTTACCATTGCTTTGACCTCCTTTCTTCTTCTTCTTTCGCTTACGTTTCTTAGCAGTAGCATCACTGCCACCTTCCTCTCCTTTATCAACAGAGACAAACACATCATTAAGCTTTTTGTATGAACAAACATCATATCATTTAGCCCTACTATATAATAATAAAAATCACTTCTTTATGATGCTTCAGTGTACATCCAGCTCAATACATTACAAAGAAAAAAATAGGAAATGTCTTTGGAAGTAATTTTGCAAGGAAAGTCAGCAGTGTGTCAGTCTTCACTTAAGTAAATACAATAAGCCTGGCATATCATTTCAATATATACATGTATGTACAAGCTTTAATGAAAAGGGCAAAACTGTGTAACTTCAAGAGAAAATATTAAAGGGACATTCCTCGCCAGACCATTTCTCTCCTGATATGGTAGCTATAATCAATAAATATACTTTCCACATTTAGCAAAACATGGGAAAATGTTTTAATATGGTCAATATGGATCATTTAAAAATGTAGTGCTCATTTCCAGTGAGCTGCCATCTTTCAAGATTTCTTGCAGGAAGTGATGTCATCAACTCTCAACTTAAATAAGCTTGCCCATAACAGTGTAGGAAAGTAGCACAAAATTACTTCCAGACAAGTGATCCTCAATTTCTGTGCAAAAACATTTTCAGAGCTTGTCAACTTAGAATAAAACAAGAGAATTTCAGAAGAATTAAATCAGATACAAAATTGAAAAAGAATATTCAGCTGTTTTTGTAATTCTTAATAGCTCCTTCCCTAATGCTATATGCAAAGTTGAGAGTCGATGACATCACTTCCTGAGTGGAATCTTAAAAGATGGCAGCCTAGTGGAATTGGGTACTACATTTCTAAGTGTTCAATTTTGACCATATCTAAACATTTTCACTGCTTTACTAAACATGGCAAGTATACAATATGATTATAGCTACTATATGAGGAGAGAGATGGTTTGGCAAGGAATATCCCTATAATATCAAGGACTGAAAATACCATTTCTTAATCATTGTTCTAAATAAAATTCACCTTCTTCTGCATCTCCATTGAGGGTTTGATTCTCCAGTTGCTCACTTATCTCTTTATCTCCATTCACGTCTGCAGTGCCATCACCTTCCTTATCTGAAAAAAATAATCAAATAATCATCTCATTTGGTTCACTATCAATATTTCTAACCAAATGATCATAACTGAATCAAGGAACAATAGTCGGGTTATTCCAAATCAACTATCCAGCTATAATGCTGTTCAATGCCCCTGGATAAGCACTCACATCAAATCCTACATCTATATATTTTTTAGAGAGCCACAATATCACATGATTCTTTTGGTTCTCATCAAATTATTTGATTAATTTGATCAGTAAAACAGGTTTGAATTGATGTTTGGAATGTGTCCAAATAAAGAATCAAGACCCATATATCCACCCATTCTTGTAAAAAGGGCAGATCTGGAAATTCACAAGTGGGCCCTTTTACCCGAGTAAAATTTGAACCAAATCCATCCACAAGTATTTGAGTTATCTAAGATTATATTTTTTCCAAAAAATCGCAGCCATTTTAAAATTAAGCGGCCATATTGAAAATTCTTTCTCGAGCAGAGGTCCTACACCCAAAGCATAAGCCTATAAAATTTGAATGAAATCCGTCAACCGGTATTTAATCAATGAGTTATCAAAGATAATGTTTTTTTACAAAAAATGGCCACCATTTTGAAATATGGCAGCCATCTTGAAAATGTCTTCTTGAGGAAGGCTCTTTTGTACCCAGGCAACAGCATATAAAATTTGAACCAAATCCATCCACTAGTATTTGAGTTATCAAAGATTATATTTTTTCCGAAAAATGATTTAGACTCTTGTCTCTTGCTTACTCTTGTCTCTTGCTTTCCACCCTTGTTTGTTCTAATTTTCACCAGCTAAATTACCAAAACCATTCACGCCGTATAGTTCAATAAAGTTCAACCTAGTCTTGGGGCCTAATTTTTACGAGAGCTAAATAAAATGCGAACATTAGAATAGAGCATCGAACAAACATTCCATTTTCACACATGTTCGGTAATATAACGTATCGCAACATCCGGAAATGACACATTGTGGGATCCACAGCCTTTACTATCCTTTTGGAATAGTTCAGAAGCGTTAGGTAAAGAGGGGCTCTGATAAATCAGAATGGAAATGACATGCCTTTCGGAAAATTTTTGAGAATATTTTCAGTTCGTTTACATTTCTTGTATAATTGTACTTATTGTTGATCGGACAGAAAGATAGGCTGATGTAGTTACACTGAAGTCCGTTTACTACCATTTGGAAGGCACGTGAGGGTCCCATTCATCAGGTAACACTTATATGTCGAAGTTAAAGCGGCTCTAAGGTCTGTGGAGAGAAAAATGGAGAAATTTTACCTTTTCTGAGCTATCGGGGCAAAGTTTGGTCTAACATCTTCTTCCGTATTCCTATTTTATAAAAATGTATGCATATGGCAATATTCATCAACCAGTAGAACTGGCAAATCGTTTAGAATCTACAATTCCATACAAGGAGTCCCACTTATAGATTTTTCAAATTCTTTCCAAGTCGACGTCGAAACACCTAGCGGGTGAAATTGAAACTAATATTTCTGGCCGCTCATATCGATAAAATCTCTGACAGAGTGAGTCTTTTTATGAAAACTTTCTTATAGAAATCACTTGACGATTATTAGAAAGCATTAAAAGTTGAATCCGAAGCGTAATCTGAAATAAAAGTTGCACGGATGACAGAGAACAAACTTACGGTTTAATAAAAAATGGCGGAGACGAAAGGAGAAAGGATGACGAAAAATTGGAGGAAATTTCCAAGTCACTCATGTTAGGTGTTCCCAAGTTGACAGGCCTGTGATAGGCCCAGGATCATTGGATATGACTCGGCAGTCGATGTTCCCACTTTAAGTTCTTGCTTTTTTTTACCATGAAACCGACTTTAGAGGACATAGTCTATAACATGAGGGGGGGGGCTTCTATTCACTATGCCCTGATGTTCTACCCCTCCTCATAGTGCCAATGATTTCGAAGAAAGACTGAACACCAAGTCTATGACTTGTGTATGAGTAGGTAAACTAAGATAGAGAGTAGAGCTAGCTAGACTGAAAAATTTCCGCTCTTGAAAGCCCATGGTAAGTCTAATAAGCTAATTTTAGCGTAATAAATTGTTCTACTCACCTTTTTTCTTCTTCTTCTTTTTCTTCTTCTTCTTTGTTACTTCTTGCTTTTCAATTCCATCAGCGATCTCTTCAATGTCTTCATTTTCACCATTTTTTACTTCATCTCCGACTTTTTCAGAAATGACGGCAGCCATGATGCAAGTTGAACTCCCAGATAACAATATTGGTAGTCTACTTTTAATGACAATATTTGATTTGAATTTTGAATTATGAATAATTTTTATATTAATGCGATTTTTTCCTCTTTGAGATATTGTTTAAACTCAAGATAAAGTTAGAATGAAAGTAAACAAAATTTTATTTACTCAGTATATTTTACCATTTTGTAATTATCGCAAGTCAATGAATGCAGTTTTCCAAATTTGAAAGATGTTTGTAAATTGGTATGTACATTTTGCCGTTGTGGCTGCCTTGGGACACAGTGCAGGGGCGTAGCCAGCTTTCAGTCAGGGGGGGGGGTGCGATCGCCGAAAGTTTTTCAGTTTTCGGCCAGGGGTGCGATTTTGCCATAAGCAACACAAAAAATTAAGATTTCTTTTGAATTTTACAAAAATTGATGCAACTTCCTTCAAAATTGAGCTAGAAGCTTCAAATAAAAAGCATTTTAAAGCTCTTTTCTACCTCTATCCAATGGTCATATTTTCAAAGGTTATGGTCGCACCCATCGCACCCCCCCCTGGCTACGCCCATGCAGTTTGTTGTGTGTTGCTTTTATGTACATGTAAACCTTTATACTTTCACTTGGCTACATGTTGTGCCTATTCTTTTTGAAGTTGTGGAACTTTGTTTTGGACTGTCTGTTGTTTCTTGTCTTCATTCTCAAAATTCATTTCGTTCGTTGCGTACCTTCACTAGACTACCTCTCTAAGGCACAGGAGGTACGGATGGCACTGGACGAAAGGCTCGGAGACTGTCTTGTCTTCATTCATTTCTCAAGAAAGGCAGAGGATTATCACAGGCCTGTCAGCTGTCTTGCAATTTGTGTATGTGTCACGCATTTGCTGAAGAAAGTGAAGTTACGATTCTTTATTATACGGCCGCGCCTGGAGAGCCTTAAAATTTAAGGCTCTCTAGCCAAAATGCTAAAGAGCCTTAAATTTTAAGGTTCTTTAGCATTTCGGCTAAAGAGCTCTTTCGGCTAAAGAGCTCTTTAGCATTTTGATAGCCAATTCTGCTAGAGAGCCTTAAAGGAATTCCAGGCAACAGAAATGACGAAATATTGCTTCTGGGACAAGATCAAACGACTTTGACATATTCTATACCCAAGCAACCTATTTTGTAATTTAACAAATCAGCACAAATATACATACCATACTAGCAGATATCGGACAAATTCAAAAAGAAATATTTTTTGATCGATAAAATCACGGATTATTAAACCGGAAGTGTCTTCTGAGGTCCGTAAAGAAGATGAAGAAGAAAACATATAAAGATTTCAGTCAATTCAATTTTGCCGTCGATTTAATTTTAAATGGTTTTGGATAATCTTTGAATGCTTACTATGACTTCTATTAGTACTGTTTTAACTTCCCCACTTCATAAACAGAACATTATCATTCTTTACTCGACTCATAAATTTACTTCCGGTCTACCGGGAAAAAAAATGTTCTAAAACCTTTTCAATCCTTAGTCTAAATTTGGCTTTTTAAAGGTTCAAACGATGACTTTGAATGGACCTTTATGCATATATCGAAAATAGGTTCACCAGAGAAGGTGTAAGACCAGGCAATCACGTAAAAATGTCTGAGAGTCACATTTATTGATGACTTTGATGCTAGCCTAAAATCGTTGATACATAACAGACTTTTGAGCGGAAGTTTTTGCAAAAAAGTCGTTTGAAAAAATATCTTGTCAGCTGGAAAATCCTAAAAACAGCATTGAAATCAGCATTATCACTTTTTGCTCGACTCATAAATTACTTCCGATCTACCGAGAGAAATAAAAGTTCTTAGAACCGTTTCAATCCTCAGTCTAAATTTGGCTTTTTAAAGGTTCAAACATCGATTTTGAACGGACCTTCATGTACATGTATGTATCGAAAATATATGTCTCTGGTTCACAAGAGAATGTGTAAGACCAGGCAATCACGTATATAACCAGAAAAATGTTATTTTTACCATTTTATCCACTATACATGTAAATCGCAATGTCTGTTTAGCAAATATGTGCTCTCTCATGTGCTTAAATTCTCACTTGTGAGGAAGACGTTTTTGCAAAATATTATGCAAAAATATCTCGTCACGTGAAAAATTCTAAAAAACAGCATTGAGATCTAATGGGCAATAGATTTGGAAGTATATTCTGTGATATCCCTGGGCTGATGTCCCTGCATTCACGATAAACTGTGTCAAGATGTGCTATATCTAGAAGAAACAAGATCCCTTTTCATCCCCAGGTCTGCATCATACTTTTTGCCATCTTAAAATGGGATTCCCTGTATTCTCAAAGCTTGTGACTATAGCAAAGCCAATACAAGTGATTAAATTCATTAAACATTGATGATTGAGCGATGGTGCAAGCCCAGGAATTCTAGAAAAAAATGTGTACATAATTTCCGGACCTCAGAGAACAAACTTCCGGCTTGTTATTCATAAAAAAGTGCTTCGTGGGGGAATCGAACCCACGCCGCAGAAGTGAGAAGCGAGCATCCTAACCGCTATACCAGAGTGTTTTTCCGTGATGGGTAAAAAATTTTGAAACTTTATAGTGATAAACATGTGTGAAATTTTTTAAGTGGCATTCTGGGTTGAAAAACTTTCGAGAGTGTTGTTTTATCATTTTATTGTTTAGATGACGAAAACTTCAATAAAAAACAATATAAACACGGATTATAAACACAAAGGCTCTCTAGCCAAAACACTATGTTCACAGCTAAATAGCCTTAAATTTTAAGGTACTCCAGACACTTCGTTATTATACAGGGAGTCAGTCTCCCCCCCCCCCTATATAGACCAATAGAATATTTTCTATTGGTCTAATTTTTTTTGGGGGGGGGCTGACTGACTCCCCATGCTTTATTATTTCTGATTTGAAATATTTCGAGAGAAGAACAAACAAACGTAGACACATCAACAAATGAACGCTGAAAAAAACCGAACAAACTTTCATGTGAATTGTGTATATGTCACACCATGGGCTTTCAACTAGCTAATTGAAAGCCCATGGTCACACATTTGCTTCAAACCTTTTCGTCAAGATGGCTCATTTTAGAATTCTGGGCTGTTTCCTCTTCTTGGTGGCAGGTAATATATTGTTTACATTCAGGCCTTTACATAAATCTTAGACAAGGAATTGATGTTATTCCAGATTCTGCATTTCTATCACCACGTTCACAGGGTGTAGCGACCTATAGAGAAGATGTCATGTAAGTTCGTCACTGGAGATAGTATTGATGTGCCTGCTGAGTGGCAGTTGGTTGATCCTGGTAGAATACAACATGGCGTGGTAGAGAAGAACAACTATATCAAGGTAAACATGAAGTCTACTTGCTTATCAGGAATTCAATGTAGAATTCAAGTGAAATTTGTAAAAATAGTAGGAAGATCAAAATTTGTTTAAAGAATGTTATATATTTTACAATTAACCAATCACTCTGTCCTATACCATCTTAAATATAATGCCATTGAAATACATGTGTTTGTATATCTTGTTAGGGAACAGTACATACAAGGTATCCGCTTGTTCCGAATGTAAGGAAGAAACCGCTGATTAAGTTCATCCTACAGCTTGATGCAGGTAAGGCAAGGACGTAGCCAGCTTTCAGTCAGGGGGTGCGTTTGCCAAAAAAAATCATTTTTCAGTCTGGGGGGTACAATCGTGGCATTAGCGAGCCCAAAAAAATTATATAAAGATTTGTTTTAAATTTTACAAAAATTGATGCATCTTTCTTCAAAATTGAGCTTGAAACTTCAAATAAAAGAGACATTATTGGAAAATATAAAAAAGTCATCAAGCAACCAGCCTACTGTATAATCCAACAAATCTTTAGTTCCAACCAACCAACCAACTTAAACATTTTGTACCAATCGACAAACAATTAACCAACCTACAGACAGACAAAGAAACAAACAAACCTATACTAATCTACAAACAGACAAGCCTATAAAACCAACCTCAATATTAAAAATTACAAAATGCTTATACAGAAAGTATTTTAATAAACAGTTTTTTAATATAACATAGGTTCATCCATCTCTCAATAGAACACACCTTTTTATTAATCCTTTAATGACCTTTTGAACTGATACTGTTTCAGATGGATTAAAGACCCCTACAGCTAGCACTTCAACTGCCAGCACAGATAGTATAGGGAAAGTCCTAGTCAGTGTTTTCCTTGTTGGCAAATATGCCCAGCAAGCAGATCCATTTTCTCAAGGGGTATGTCAAATTTGGAGTACTTGCATGATTATCTCATTTATTGATGTTCGGGAGAAAGAGAACGCCTTATTCCAATCATTTGTCCAACTGGTTTTAGAGTGGCCATCATCTAATGTCAATACTGTATCACCGTATTTTTGTTTCAATTTATTAAATTGCCTTTTTTAATTTTTATTTATTTATGACATACTTTTACATTTTTTTCTGTCATAACTTAAAAAGAAGTCCTGAATTATGTTGATATTTTACATTGAATTCCGATTTTCTATTGAATTTGGCAGTATTGACAAATAATTTGAAAGCATGATGAATAATCTGTCTTATATTTGATTTTATGGTTACAGAAGCTCTAAAACTGAACATGTTTCAATTTGCCTTTCTCTTTAAATTGCTAGATGACAGTAATTCTATAACTGAACAGATGGCTTTCTCAATGTTTTTAATGTGTTGTGGTTATCTAGTAGTCAACCCTGTACTTTTATATTATAAATGTTTTAGGACTGTGTAGTGCTGAGTGACTTCTACATTGAGAACTCAACCAGTAGCACAGTTGCCAACTGTACTAACCACGTGGTCCTCGATGAAGCCAAGTCTCAAGCAACTATCATTGTAAGTGTTGGTCACTATTTTTAAAGTAATGTTTTGTATTGCACACAATATTATGAAATATGCTGAGACGTCTTAATATCCATTTATCAGTTTCTATGTTTCCATACACTCCCTCTTTTAATTGGTAGACATATTTGTTTTTGGAGCATTCTCTCATTTTATTGTTCTGTCTCCTGCTTATCTATTTACCTTTAGTTTTTATCTCAGTCCTTGATTTTCCTCTTTTTCTCATGAATTAGTTTTAAATACCTTAAATCGCAGATTTGTTTCCAATGTATGGAATTCTCCAATTTTTAAGAATTAATTCCATTTTTCAAAATTTCCAAGATTTTCAAAAACTCTCAGTCTCTCCTGAATTTCCAATGAGAAATCTTTGCTTTTATCAGCATTTACATGGATTTTCTTACATAGGCTTTATTTTGAAAGCCCAAAAGCCCATAGCATTTATAATTTAACACCCTGAACTTTTTCTTCCAAAAAGGGTTATCAATTTGAAAAAACTGAATTGTGAAGTATGGCTAATGTTATTGTTTATATTTGATATCTTAACAAAAGAAGTATTGGTACATAATGATGAAAGTGAAAACCTTGTGCGGGTAGAGACTAAGGCAGGACAAGTTCAGGCAAGCATATTATAACACCTGGTTGGCGAAGCCCTTGTTTTTCACTGTCAAAATTCCATTGTATGATGCCCTTTTTCCAAATGGAATATTTATTATAGTATTATTCTATAAACATAGGCTTTTGCTGTAAATGCTATTATTGATTGTACATCTTAAATATAACATAACTGCATAATTATAAAGTGGAACTTTTGCATTTGATTAACAAATAAAATACATGAACCCAACCTACATTGTTCATGCAAATTGGAATATAGGATGAACAAATCAAAAATTTACAAAATGTCAGGAGAGAGGGTAAATTTTTTCTTTTTTCTTTCTTAAAATAGTCATGGTAATTTGGATCATTGTACATTTATAAATAAAATGCAGGGGTTTCACTAGAATTTCTCACAACAGGCTAAATATATGTAAACAAGTTGAAGTCCCAAAAAACAACAGGCGATTTTGTGAAAACAACTTGTGAAAATTGCCTGTTGCCTGCTGCTAATGAAACCCCTGAAAATGTAGAGTGAATATTGCTATTTATTGGAATCAAACTGCAGGGAAATACATGTACATTCTATACTTTCAGATTTTACACAAGAAGAAATCTGATGTAAACACAGTTAAAAGACCACATGGGCCAGTGACAGCAAAACCTGCTTCAAACATGCCTAAGACTCAGGTATTTATTTGCTATTTGTTAGTCATATCTAATTAATCTTAAAAGGATTTATTAAAGGCAGAATCTGATCTATAGGGGGTGACAAAATTACAAGCAACATGTATAATTGACCTACCAATTTATTCCTTACAATATCAAATACAATATCTCCCAAAAGGTTCACAATATGTTATAAATTGGTGAAGTTATTAATGATTCAAAGTGCAAAAATGAGTGAAAAATGTTTAAATTCTCCCAAATAATAAGAATGGTAACCATTCTTATAGAAAAATAATACATTATTTTAAAAATCTTTAGTTTTCCTGGAATAAAGTATGCACTTTTGTGATTTTTAGAAAATAGGCATGACAAGGAATGGCATGAGCCAAAAATATTCTAAAATTGAAACAATTTTTTGTTTAGCCTGCTCGCTATATCTGATTCTCTCTTTAATTTTCTAGAAACAAAGTGAATAAGTAGACCTTCATACAGATTTAAGCTACTTTCCTAGAGCATGTACCATCGATCTTTCCAGAAAATCTTTCAGTTTTGCTTCATTATCTTTACAGCAATTTATCCAATACGCAAGACAGCGTTTAGGGGATTCATTCATATGTGAAGGGTTCTTTATAGACGAATGTTATATTTATAAACATTGTTTGTATGTTATAATTCCAGAAAGCGAGGGAGTACAGTTATACGCCACTATCAGATCTATTGGTTGGTAATACATACTGTGTATATGGTGTGTGTAAGTTCTACAAACCTCCTAAAAGAACAAAGGGGTCTGGTATGCATACTTGTAATGTTTTCATTCATTTAATTTCCAATTTAACGAGAACATACTCAAAATAAAATACAGTATGTCCATTATATTGTTTTCATGATTTGTCCCATAATTATAAGAAATTGAAAGTAAAATTAGTAAAAGGAAAAATAATTTCACAGGTAAGGAAAATCCTAGCATGGTTTAGCATAATTTGATTTGTTATCATTTGGTTGAGTATATTTTATTGTGTCACCATCATGAGTGGTGACACATTGTTATAGTCTCCAACTTTTTTGTGGACAGCATTTGGCCATTGGTGTTTAGTGTCCAGTGGTCTGTGTTCAGCGTTCAGCATCTGTAACAAATGGCATGTGGTGACATAACACATTTTGCATGTTAATGCCTTGTTATCGCACCTTTGGGTGGTACAGTATATTGTGATATTTTTTTTATTTGTTATCAATTGGTATTATCCTCTGGTTATAGATTACAACATGATTGTGAGCCTAGTAGATCCAAACCTCCATGACAATAATGCTAAACTAAAGTGTTCTATATTTCTGCGTGATGAATCGAACTTCCCCAAAATAAGGGCTGTGGGAGATATTGTGAGGTTTCACAGATTAAAGGTAAATAACAAGTGGTACATTGTACATTCCTCTTGGGAAGTGTTCCACTTATAATGGTTCATTTAACATTAAGGCAGTTGGTCTTTGGACTCTTAAGTGCTCCACTAACAGATGTGTTCCATTTGTAGATGTTTTCCTTTGTACATGTTTCACTGTAGTTATTTGCTTTTCTGTACTGTATCTGCCAACATTGTTTAATGTAACTTTATGTAGTGCACTGCACACAAAAATTAAGTTCTTATTTTTTCCTGCTAGATCACATCATTCAGCGATGAGTTACAAGGGCAAATAGGACCAGGGTTTTCAAGCCTAGTTTGGCCAGGGCAGATAGATGGCAGTCTGGAGCCACGAACAAACAATAAAACATTCACAGTCACTGATGATGACAAAAAAAAGGTTTGGTTCCTCAACAATTGGTTTGTTTTAATAATTGTGACATGGAAAAATACAAATGATATCTTACAACAGTTTTTATGTCTGTGCCAAATGGCAAGTGGTGACATTTTTCATGTTAATGTCTTGTCTAAAATTGCCTTCAGTCCTGAAATGTGCTCATTTTGTTCTAAATATTTGGTAGAAAAACCTGACCGAAAGTACACTTATATAAGGACTATACCTGGAGCTATGTACCTGTATTGGACCAATGCTTCGATGAATTATTCTATTTCAGGTGCTAGAACTACGCAAATGGTACAATGATCTCATGGAGAGGACCCTGATCAAGAACCATGCTTCTCTGAAGGTTTCTGACTTTGTATTGGACCAGTACTTTGATCTGACCTGCCAAGTTGTTGGGAAGTATGTAAGCACTAAAAAACACTTTGTTGTACTACGGATCTGGGATGGCACTAAGCCTTCAATGTAAGTGAAATAAGTTTGTTTGTTTATTATTTATTATTGACAATAATTACTGTTGTAGCAACTGTATACCACTCCTAGTTTTCTGCAAGCAATGCTGAATTTGGTTTTTAAATATTTCTCTCATACTTTAGTAACACACCATATAATGTTACGACCCAAAAGCTGAGTTACCTATACTACGAACCAATCAAATAACAGACATGTTTTTAAATATTTCTCTCATTTATGGTTCAGTTTTTCTACAATAACATGTTTCCAATCATCCAAATGAAGTCGCTCCATAACAACCATTTCTTTGAAACAATCAAATGAGAGACATTTATAGTTCAGTCTTTGTAATATAATGTGCCCTGTTTACCCAAAAATTGAGTTTCTTTGAACTAATGAAACGGGAGACATGGTTTTCGATGCTTTTATATAACATGCTTTTATAACTTAATGAATAAAGACTGAGATTTTATGATTTATGGTGTAATATATGATCAAAGATTTTATTCTGTTCATTGCTAAAAGACCAAAATTGTTCATTGCTAAAAGACCGAAATCGCGTAGTGATTGAGGTCCTTGGCAATGGCATTGACCAATTTGAGGTCACATATTACATATTTGCCATAAATCATAAAATCAAGGTCTTTGTTACGATTCTAATATGATAAACAGAGAAGAAAAACAACTTTTGCATTTCTGAATTTTAGCGGTCATACATACTCCAATATAGACCAGTAAATCAATTGTTCTAGCTATTGTGACATCACGTATCATATAAGAATCTCATTTATAGTCCAGTGTATGTATATGAGGAGTTTGAGACGCAATCTGCAGCTACTGACTGTGATGAAGAGCTTACTAAAGCAGCTAGAGGTAGAATGGTTGATGTTGCTGTATTTGATGAACATTTTACCAAATCTGCACACATACAGGTAATGGTTGGAGTCAATTTTAATCCATTATTTTGCTGCTGTGTTATTTGATAAATGTGCTTTACTGAGAAACTAATAAATGTGCATCGGTAATAGTGAGGTGATTTCTTTGATTATTGAGTTTGTGACTCACAATACTTATATATCTTAAAGGAGGATAAAGAGTAAAAAAAGTTGGAAGTAATCTCTCCATGAATTATCCCAATGACATGTATCTCTTAAAAGCCAAATTTCATTTTCTGAAAAAAATTAGGATATCTGATCAAATATGGAGGTTATTGAATATTTTATTCAGAAATTTCCAGTTTCATTAGAATTGAAAGAGATGACCATTTCTTCAAATATTTGATAAAAGGATTATCCTAATAAAGTCGGAACTGTTCAACTTTTGAGGAAATAGACACGAGTGACATGGAATGACGAGGGTAAAATATTATAAAATTGCGACAATCTTCAACTCATCTATATGCCTTCTACTCCCTTAATCACACTATTTCGATTGTTTCTAATCTTTATTTAAATACTCGTAATTTGATTAATTCCAGCCTGGTGCTTACATAACTCTAGTCAACCTACATGCAATGATCAGTACAATAGCAAAGACTTCTCCTCCCACCGCAGAGCTATGTGTTCATGGGGGCTACTCCTATGGCCGTGATGTCATAGTTCTCCTTAGCACCAACCTCAAGGCAGTGGCATTAAAAACTTTCCTTGCTGATGTACCAATTGAGGTGTCTAGCTCTACTGACAAATCTAAAGGGGATACACAAAAACAAGTAAATGATGAGATCAATGGCAATGTTATAGAAGGTCATGCAAATGATGCCATTGTTGTTGAGAGTACCTCTGATGATATCATTAATAATGCTACGTCTGAAGCTCCTCCTGATGAATCTAAGAAAGAACAAGAGAAAGAGAAACAGGCAAAAAAGGAGACAAAGCAAGACCCTAAAGACACATCACAAGACACAAAACATAATATAATAGAAAACACAAACCAAAATGCAATACATGACAAAGCACAAGAACCCACACAGGCCAAAAATCAAGACATACCAAAGGCCAGGGACACAAAACAACAGACACTAAATGTGACAAAACCAGACAAAAATATTGATAGTGTTGAAGTGACAGATGAAATACTGACTGTGCCAGATGCTAGTCCTGTGGTCAGAGAGCCAGTGAAGAGACAAAGAAATGAAGAAGAGAGAAGTGGGGAGACTCCTGCAAAGAAGGTCCAAAAGACAGACTTTGATGATAAGGTTCCTAGTAACAACTTAGTGGATGATGCAGCAGGGAAGTTGGAGGATGTGAAGCTGGAAGATGCCCAAGGATCAGCATCTCTAAGTGGGGAGATATGCATGCTAGAGACTGCATCAGGTACATATCTCATGAAATAATGCCCATGTATAGTTGTAAACACTTTGTTTTGCCCATGCTTATTCCAGGCATTAAGGAGGCTGAGTTAGCCCTGTATAAAATTTTGGTTCCCTGAGAATTATATTTGTTCTTGGCCATTGGCCATTGACTATAAATGTATAAGGAAAATAATCATAATTAACATGGATTGTATTTTTGAAGTTGTGCTAATTACCTCCTTATTTTATATACAGTAAAACCTGTTAAGTGGAACACCTGTAAATGGAACTCTTCAAAATCTTTACTTGTTTGTATAATATAAAATGAACGTCTAAGTGGAACTCGTTGGAACACTATTTTGAGGTGCTAATGGTGTTCCACTCACACATGTTTTGCTGTAATTTTTTACTGCAATATGCTGTTTCTGTATGATCCATGCCATAGAGCGGTATAACAAAATTTGAAAATATATGTAGCACTAAACTTCTGTTGGTTACAGTTAATCTTCAAGGTACAAACCTAATGACCACACCATACATCTTTATTTTTCTGGCTTCCTTCCAGTCTTAACAACAAATCACCATGTAAAACCAAGTAAACTAAGAGATGTTGAGAAGTGTTCATCCCCAAACAAGTTCCGTATTATGGCACGTGTCTATGACTACCAACCACGAACCACAAAATTAGATGAGTTCCTACGATTGTGTTGTCCTCAGTGCCATTACATGTGAGTACAATAAAACCTAGCTAATCTGAAGACCACTCGGACTGGCCAGTGTCTGATATAAGATGTTCACATTTAAAGGTTTCTTAAAAGGTCAGTCAAGGAGAGGAAACAAAATTGGGACTCAGAAAAAGTGTTCAAATGAGAGGTGTTCCAATTAGAGAGGTGTTTGGATATACAGGTTTTACTGAATTATATTCATAGTGTTGACTATTGTTGAGTATGTAATGCTCTCTCCTTGAGGCAACGAGATACACAGCACCAGATTAAGAATCTGAATACAATATGTACCTTTGTGAAAATTTAAGAAATCCTGACATTGGGGTATGGGGTATTTTGGTCAATTTTGGATATTTCAATAAAGCTAAAGAAATTCATAAATTGTCACATTTGATGAACGGCAATTGTACAGCACCTGTAGCTTCCAAAAATTGAGAGAAATATGCAACATTGAGAGCGATATGCAGTAAAAATTAATAGGGACAAGCAGTATGGTGTAGATTTTCTATATCAATTTTGTGAAACTAAGGCCACTGTATGACTGTCGTACACCCCACATAGATCAAATGTGACTGATGCTTAAATTACTAGAGGATATTTTTAATTTCTCATTTCAATCTGATTAAATTTCTTAATACATTTATATATAGAAGCACTCTAGAGAAGATAGAGGAGGAGTATGATGTTCCAAGTGTGGTCTACAAGAGTATTGGACTCTATAAGTGCCCCAAGTGTGTGAGAGATGACAATGTGACAACAACCAATGGTGCTAGTCCAGACAGTGACATCATAGGAACTCCTACTGAAGGTATTACAGGGGATAGTGATGCAAATGGGCTATGCCAAGTTAAAGCTTATTTGTGCTAGAAGGCACTAGGGGAACTGATAAAGGATAAAAACTTGGTTCCTTCCTTACCTTCTATTTACAGTGATTACCTTGAATGCATCATGTCAGAGAACTTTCTGATCAGTTTTTATTAGCTAATGTGGCAAATCATTTAAAGCAATATATTGGGCACATTACATCATCATAATAATATACACTGTACTTTGCATTAAGCCAAGGTTACACTTTTACGTTTTAAATAAGCTCTCATAATCCTGACTTAAAAAAAATCACCTTTTCAATTTCAGTTGGAGGTCATCCTCTGTTGAAGTATTCGTTCATGTTGAAGCTGCTGTTACGAGACAATACTGGATGGGTTGTAGCTAACCTATGGGGGGACCATGCTGTAAGTATACTAGTAGTGGATGAAACCAAAACACAGTGTAAGCCTCAAGAAATCTGACTTTGGAAGCCATTTAGAGAATAGAATATGATTTGTGAAATTGGATTCTTTCAAAATGTTAGGTAAAGGAAAATTGGATTTTATGAATTGTAATTCAAATTATTTAAGAGAACTGGCCTGTCAAATGTAAAGTCTTAAGAGTCTTAAGTTAGTTCTGCACTTTCACAAATGTCCACATAAAATGTGAAAAACATTAGCTATTTCATTAATTATTGGGAATTCTAATCATGAAAAATACATAAGAATTCTTACAAATGATTTTCAAGGATCCATATAACATTTCTGATTAACGGTTTACCAAGTAAATAAAGTGTCTATAATATGTGTACAATACAGTTGGCATTTCATGTATTTAATGCACTGCTGTTCTCAAAACTTATTTTATATGAAAGTGTTCTACATGTATACTTCCAGGAAACATTCTTCAAAGGTATCAGAGCTACAGCTATGTTACTAGATGACTCAGTCTTCCATGCTATTACAAACATTCTGAAACAACTTTGTCCTTCAACGAACAATAGTGATATCCTGGAGGGTACAGACACTCAAGTGAGCAACAGGCTTGTCTTGAATAATAATGACAGTCTAGTGGATCACGACCCAAAACTGAGCAACAGGCCTCTCCTGGACTGTTGCATATTGTCACATCATGGTGCTAATGGACTGAGCTATCAGATATTTAACACAAGACTTGCACTTGATATAGATGGATAGAAAAAAGGATGTTAGAGACTGAGAGATCTCGAGGGAGAATCTCGGAGGATTCAATATCTATATGGGGTCTTACCCCTTCTTACCTCAGCAAATAGTTAATATTCTCACCTAGATCTTATGATTTGCTCCCTTACCATATGTGTCATTCTATTTAAGGTGCCATTATTCAAGTTTTTACTCTTGAAATGAAAAGGTTTTTAAGAAGAGGCAATCCTATGAAGGTAAAGAAATTAAACATGCAATGTTGTGTACTTTGTTTGAATGTTTATTGATGACATAAAATAAACATACATTAGTTCACATAGAAAAAAATTGTACTGTTCCAAATATACAACTCATTCATTTACACTTGTTCTATACTAAGTGACATTAGAAGGAGATTCAACCAATTTTTAAACCTTGAAAAGTTACAACATTGAGTTAGTTGTGTAGTTCAAAATTGTTGACCCATCTTAGTAAAATGTTTACCACTACAGTGCTATACATGTCACAAAGATTTCAATACTGACTCAAACTATAGGCCAAGGCCATTGGTGGATGTAAAATCTAGCAAACTTTAATGCTGAAATTTATTTTGGTTCAAAGTGTACATTAATTAATTATTTAATTTTTGACAATACACATTCAACAGCAAATACTAAATCTTAATAATGCCCATTTGTTATATTGCCAATGGGCAGCAAATAGAACTTACTTTCACTTAAACACTGGCCCAGGATTTCATTACAAAACAAGGCATTAACATGCAAAATGTCATCACCTGCCATTTGTTACAGATGTCAAATACCCAAGCCAAACACTGTCAACGAAAAGGTTGGGGTATGTCACCACTTTTGCATTAACCAGCCCACATTATATTTGATTAATGACCATCACCTTAGAGAGCCACATTCTGATCTCTGAAAAACAACTACAAGTTACTATCTAGTAGTAACAGATTCAGATGACTTCATCTAGCAAAGCTATTGGAATTCTATGAACAAAAGAAACATTTAATATTAATTACCTAGGAATAATGAGAAATCAGAATGTGCCTCTTTAAAATTGTTTTACACAAGTTACACGTTGAGTACAAACAAGCATATTTTACTGTCTCTTGAAAGCACATGGTTTCTGATAAAGCATTACATAAGATATACACATGCAGGCCTGGCTGTAGCCAGCTTTTGTTTTCAAAAGATTCCACGGGGGTTCACATTCATGGGCGTAGCGCTATTTTTATAAGTAGTAAGCCACCACAGGAATAAGAGTTGAACAAAGCGAAAAATGAGTCTTCTGGGGGGGAGAATTTTTAAGTTTGGTTGTATTTGGAGTGTATTTGTAACCATCTGGTACGTCTGTGCGTACCAGGCGCTACACCTATGACGTTTGACAACTTTGGCCCAAAATCACTTGAAGTACTCAGAATGGTGAGAAACCGCATGATCCTGAAAGAAATTTTGGTGAGATGGGATGAGTTCAAGTGACCTCCTGGCTATGGGCCTGCATGTTTGGACTAGTTTGATGAAGATTTGCCAATGCCTGATAATAACTATATCTGACTGTATTAATGACAAGAAAGCTGATGGTTGCCTTATACTTCCAACCATAAACAGTACAAACCTGAAATTCCAGTCACTTTGCTTGAACCTCAGTATTCATCTTCATAGACAATATTTTGTTGTTAATTTTCACATTGAATATATTCCTCACATTTGAGTTCAATAAGTAAAAAAACTATAATTGTTTACAGCAACCATAACAAGACAGTAACAGGTTAATAAGGAAAGTCTCCTTTTAATGCTTTATTATGTACTCCCTGCTCATATCTCATATTTTAAAATATACCTCTTGGTTTTCTAATTTATTGTTTAATGGTGAAGGCAGATTATCACATGAACACTTTGGATTTGACTATGAGTGACTTGAAAAAAGGTGATGTTACATCCTGGGTTGGGCAGGTTTTGGCAGGTATGCTGTCGTGATCTGATTCATAACAAATAGCGCCAATAAACCGGGGCAACTTGCACACACGTACCATGATGTCCCTGTGACAACAGCTTGGAACCAGCTAGAGTACATCCCCAAAACAAGACTCGCACTTGCTAACATGTACATAAACAACCCAGATGTCGCATGGTACATTTTCATGTCTTTTAGTTTCACAAATTTTTTCACGAGATTGTGGTAAAGAAGGAGTGTTCCACCAGATGATTGACAGCACATGTAGATCATGGTTATGAGGCCTATTAATCCATGCCACGTCGTAAAATGAGATGCTCCATTGCGATATTTGTTATAAACTATTGTGGCTAAACCTCCTCCTGATGTGACCATTGCTGAAAGAGAAAATATGAATTTTCTTTAAGGGCCCTGCCAAATAATCACACTGAAAAAAATACACCGAAACACAAAATTCATTGCTTGACTGGTGAAAGGGTCATGTATGATAAAAAATAATTGGTGAAGTAAAACAAGACACACAGTGATAAATATCGCACTTTGAAGAGCAAACTGGCGACCATGCAATTTATCCAGCATGGCCAAAACCTAATCAGACCTTGGCACTAGTCTGCTCTTGCATCTGTAAACATTTCAAGTTGACAAGGTTAGCGGTTTTCCTGCAATTTTGATGACAAGAATTTATTTGTAGTCTTGAACTTTGGGAAAATTTAGATAACATTATTTGTGACCTAATTTGATGAGCTTCGACCTTGAAAATTTCACTTTTTCAGACCTCAGTAGGTGTTTTGTAATTAAGCTGACCTAAATTTAAATCCAAAATATCAATTTAGAAAATCAACTTTCTGACCTTTTCAAGGTCACTCAAGGTGAACGAAAGGTCAAATCTGAAATCTAAGGTCAGATTTGAACTTCTGAGAACTTGTAGATGTTTTTAAAAAAAAATGTGGTCAATTTGGAGCAAGTTGAAAAATTCAAAATGGCCGCCAAATTGAAAAATTCAAAATGGCCACCATGTAATTCAGCCAGCATACCCAAAACCTAATCAGATCTTGGCAATAGTCTGCTCTTGCATCTGTAAAAATTTCAAGTTGAACGGATAAGTGGTTTTCCTGGAATTTTGATGACAAGATTTGTTGAAAAATTCAAAATGGCCGCCACGTAGTTTATCCAGCATGCCCTCAACCTAATCAGATCTTGGCACTAGTCTGCTTTTGCATGTGTAAAAATTTCAAGTTGAACAGGTTAGCGGTTTTCTTGGAATTTTGATGACAAGAATTGATTTGTAGTCTCAAACTTTGAGAAACTTGGATAACATCATTTGTGACCTATTTTATTGACCTTGACCTTCAACCTTGAAAATTTCACTTTTTCAGACCTCAGTAGGTGTTTTGTAATTAAGCTGACCTAAATTTAAATCCAAAATATCAATTTAGAAAATCAACTTTTTGACCTTTTCAAGGTCACTGAAGGTGAATGAAAGGTCAAATCTGAAATCTAAGGTCAGATTTGCACTTCTGAGAACTTGTAGATGTTTTTAAAAAAAAAATTTGGTCAATTTGGAGCAAGTTGAAAAATTCAAAATGGCCGCCAAATTGAAAAATTCAAAATGGCCACCATGTAATTCAGCCAGCATACCCAAAACCTAATCAGATCTTGGCAATAATCTGCTCTTGCATCTGTAAAAATTTCAAGTTGAACGGATAAGTGGTTTTCCTGGAATTTTGATGACAAGATTTGTTGAAAAATTCAAAATGGCCGCCACGTAGTTTATCCAGCATGCCCTTAACCTAATCAGAACTTGGCAATAGTCTGCTTTTGCATGTGTAAAAATTTCAAGTTGAACAGGTTAGCGGTTTTCTTGGAATTTTGATGACAAGAATTGATTTGTAGTCTCAAACTTTGAGAAACTTGGATAACATCATTTGTGACCTATTTTATTGACCTTGACCTTCAACCTTGAAAATTTCACTTTTTCAGACCTCAGTAGGTGTTTTGTAATTAAGCTGACCTAAATTTAAATCCAAAATATCAATTTAGAAAATCAACTTTTTTGACCTTTTCAAGGTCACTGAAGGTGAATGAAAGGTCAAATCTGAAATCTAAGGTCAGATTTGAACTTCTGAGAACTTGTAGATGTTTTTAAAAAAAAAATTTGGTCAATTTGGAGCAAGTTGAAAAATTCAAAATGGCCGCCAAATTGAAAAATTCAAAATGGCCACCATGTAATTCAGCCAGCATACCCAAAACCTAATCAGATCTTGGCAATAGTCTGCTCTTGCATCTGTAAAAATTTCAAGTTGAACGGATAAGTGGTTTTCCTGGAATTTTGATGACAAGATTTGTTGAAAAATTCAAAATGGCCGCCACGTAGTTTATCCAGCATGCCCTCAACCTAATCAGATCTTGGCACTAGTCTGCTTTTGCATGTGTAAAAATTTCAAGTTGAACAGGTTAGCGGTTTTCTTGGAATTTTGATGACAAGAATTGATTTGTAGTCTCAAACTTTGAGAAACTTGGATAACATCATTTGTGACCTATTTTATTGACCTTGACCTTCAACCTTGAAAATTTCACTTTTTCAGACCTCAGTAGGTGTTTTGTAATTAAGCTGACCTAAATTTAAATCCAAAATATCAATTTAGAAAATCAACTTTTTGACCTTTTCAAGGTCACTGAAGGTGAATGAAAGGTCAAATCTGAAATCTAAGGTCAGATTTGCACTTCTGAGAACTTGTAGATGTTTTTAAAAAAAAAATTTGGTCAATTTGGAGCAAGTTGAAAAATTCAAAATGGCCGCCAAATTGAAAAATTCAAAATGGCCACCATGTAATTCAGCCAGCATACCCAAAACCTAATCAGATCTTGGCAATAATCTGCTCTTGCATCTGTAAAAATTTCAAGTTGAACGGATAAGTGGTTTTCCTGGAATTTTGATGACAAGATTTGTTGAAAAATTCAAAATGGCCGCCACGTAGTTTATCCAGCATGCCCTTAACCTAATCAGAACTTGGCACTAGTCTGCTTTTGCATGTGTAAAAATTTCAAGTTGAACAGGTTAGCGGTTTTCTTGGAATTTTGATGACAAGAATTGATTTGTAGTCTCAAACTTTGAGAAACTTGGATAACATCATTTGTGACCTATTTTATTGACCTTGACCTTCAACCTTGAAAATTTCACTTTTTCAGACCTCAGTAGGTGTTTTGTAATTAAGCTGACCTAAATTTAAATCCAAAATATCAATTTAGAAAATCAACTTTTTTGACCTTTTCAAGGTCACTGAAGGTGAATGAAAGGTCAAATCTGAAATCTAAGGTCAGATTTGAACTTCTGAGAACTTGTAGATGTTTTTAAAAAAAAAATTTGGTCAATTTGGAGCAAGTTGAAAAATTCAAAATGGCCGCCAAATTGAAAAATTCAAAATGGCCACCATGTAATTCAGCCAGCATACCCAAAACCTAATCAGATCTTGGCAATAGTCTGCTCTTGCATCTGTAAAAATTTCAAGTTGAAAGGATAAGTGGTTTTCCTGGAATTTTGATGACAAGATTTGTTGAAAAATTCAAAATGGCCGCCATGTAGTTTACCCAGCATGCCCTTAACCTAATCAGATCTTGGTACTAGTCTGCTCTTGCATCTGTAAAAATTTCAAGTTGAACAGGTAAGCAGTTATCCTGGAAATTTGATGACAAGATTTGGTTTATGTGCCGCCCGCCCGCACGCCCGCACGCCCGTACGCCCGTACGCCCGCCCAACAGCACAAGACGACGACAATATAGCACTTTTTCAAAGTGCGATAAAAATAAATTCTTTTTCAGTTAAATTGAGAATTTAACAAGTCCAGCAAGGATCAAAAATATTTTTCTGGTTTTATTTACAGTTGTTGATTAAATTCCAATAGATGGGGCAATTTAATGGAAAGACCTATTGCCTAAAATTCTTACAGCAGAAAGAAATATACTGGCCAGAAAATGATCACAATGAACAGATATTGATATGGAATCAAAATAAAAGATGCAAGATGTCACCACCTCCATTTGTTACAGACACCAAACGCTGACCAATGAATGCAACTGCCAAACAGGGTCCACTATAACAATAGTCATCACTTCTGGTGATATACATTCAACAAAAACATAGTACCAGTTCTATACCTACCAGCAATCATGACAATCCAATGCCATTGTGTTTTAGACTTCCTATCAGCTGCTTTGAAGATTGAATATGGAGAGAAGACCATTACAGCTTGACACATCAGCAATGCAAACTGAAACATGAGATACTGTATAGGCTAACTGGTCCGAGTGATTAATTTGCCAAATGGTAAAATTTCATCATTTTCCTAATCTTAATTTTTCTAATGACAAGAAATTTCCCATTGGATAACATTATGAAGATAATATTTCCAACATTTAATTTTCCGAACCTGGAAAAATTAGGCAAAAGGCAAATTAAATGATAAGGCAAAGTTACCACTTAATAAACAGTATTCAATTCATATGACATGTATGATAAAGATACAGGAATGCCATAGGTTTCTCTCCGGGACAATAAGTGATGTCCCTTTATAATTCCTTATATAATATCTTACATACCTTGGATATATCTTGAGACTTACTTATGGAAATAGTATTGCCAATATATTGAAAAAATCAACAGAACATTGAACAACCAACTGTCAGAATTGAACACAACTAAGTTTGAATGAGGGAAAACCCTGTCAAGTGACACAAGCACACAAGCGTCTGCAATCTGGGCATGTGTCTTGAGCCAGGCACTAGATTCAAAGCTGGTTTTCAATTTCTTTTAGATTATCAAGAACTGCCATTTACTGAGTTCCTTTATCACATGACAACACTAATAACAAAAACGACCTTTCAGATAACATATGAATTTACCCAGTTTATTTGAGTGCAAATAATTTTCATCTAAATTAATTGAAACATCCCTCTTTCACTGTTTGCAAGTCAGTGCTTACATGCATCTGCCAAAAATGCATGTACTACACACAAATACATGTACTTTTCATTAGTTTTCATACTACAGTGTATAGAATATCTTCTTTACATTATAATTCATTATAACACGGGAATCAATGAGTTACTTTTATCAAATTGAACTTTGCCCAAACTGCAAAAGCGGCCTCACTGTGGTTGAGTTGACATGGTCATTTTGACATCCTCTTAATCAGTGTAGTAAATTGCCATTAAGCATGCTCTTCGGTACAATATTGCCCTTTGGTATACAATATTGCCCTTTGGTATGATGCAGTTTGGTATGACACAATTTGGTACAATGCTCTTTGGTAAAATACCCTTTGGTAGAAGGTCCTTTAGTACAATGGCATTTGCTACAATATCCTTCAGTCCAATGCCCCTTGGTATGGTGCAGTTTAATATAACATATGGTGAACTCAAGCATACTTACCGCAATTGTCATTAGGGTTGGATGCCAGGAAAAGAGACCTGAAAAATAAAATTGTAACTTAGATCATGGGCTTTCAACTAGATGCTTAGATCTGTATACTGATGATACTGAGAGTGAGGACACCAAAAAACCACAAAAGACCAAAAAGACTTGATATAAATTCCCGTTGTTTTTATTGATGCACACATGAGTAGGCTTATGAAAATTAAAATCAGAAACTTGAGCTAAAAAATCATCATATCAAAAAAGTATCAATCAGAGAAATTGTGGTCAAAATTTTACTTCCAAGATTTTGCTGCTGTAAATATACTAACTTGAACCAGGCCATGCGGTGTAAGTGATGAATCCCGCAAATATAATACTTATTATGTATACTGCCATTGTTAACAAGGGACGATATACTGCAAAATCTGAATAAAACCAAACTGGACTTTTCTCTACATCTGTACCGGAAGTCATTTGAAAGTAGGTCATGACACACCACATTGTAAACAAATACACGTGGCATTGTTTACATATAATTCAGGTCCTGAGAAAGTCTGTTCCTAATTTCAACATGTATCAAAGAATGAATTTCTATTGTAGTGAAGTATTTGTTGATAAGTTGATTTTGCCAAACAACCATAACTTGCACAAGGTGGGTGTGTAGATGGGGATCGATGCTAGAATAGTTTATAGTACAGGGTGGTCCATTTTCCTTATTTCTTTGTCCCTTTAAAAAATTACTCCCTGATATTTCACACATTTGTACATCATTCAATTTCCTACCACTCAACCATATTTCAGGACCATCAGACTGATATTCACAATTTTACAGCACCTTGAATAACATGCTTCAGATTTGGTCATCATCGCGTTGTAGGCAAAACAGCAGTTGTCAATGACCCAAATGCATTCCTCAGCAGGTGTGACCCGAATGACACGATTAATCTCATTTTTGAGGTTTGCAATTGTCCTGAGGTCATTCTCATATACTCTTTCTCTGTCATATCCCCACAGGTAAGGACATTTTAGACGATGAGTACAGGTTTCCCCACAACGCAATAGCGGCCAATGGGCATGTTCTTCAAAGTACTGTAACATTGTGACTATCAAACTGATGGTCATGACATAAAGTAGGCTGGTAGCAAATTGAATGATGTACAAAAGCCTAAAATATCAGGGAGCAATTTTTTAAAATGACAATGATACGAGGAAAATGGTATTAGGGTTTCCATTTTTTTTTTACACCCTGTATATGGAGAACTACCCAATATCCATGGCCAACCTTTTATATAATACAGTATACAGAAATGTGTTTCATTGTATTCTAGAAGTACAAGCCTCACCAGTGGAATGTGCATAGGTGCACACATACATTTACGTCTTTATTCATTATATCCCATCGTCCAACTCATAGCCAGGGCATCCCCATTTCTTCTGCCAAGTGGCAAAACTGAATGCAATTTTGAACAAAATACTCATTGGCTAGATGCCAGAACTATACGTCGGAGCAAATGTGACCACGGGATTACTAGTAGCTGTTCTCTTACGGTCTGCCATTTTGAAAGATATTCTTATGGCTAAATACTAAATTTACATTTAAAGAATAAGCAAACAATTTGGCTTTTTTACCACAAGACTTATATATTTTATTAAAATAATACATTTTCCACACATTTTATGAATATGTACTTAGTACAATATGTACAGTACATACAGCACATCATACAACATGTACAGTTCACAAAGCAAATAATACAATCTGCACAGTACATTTAGCATATAAAACAATATGTACAGTACATGTGGCATATAATACAAAGGATACCAGTATACTATATTAGTACAAATGTAATTCCATAAAACAACATATTGCAGGCAATACATAAAACTGATTATCAAACCTAAAACTAAAAGTTAACTTCATAGATTTTAATGTTGACTTTAACATGAATCAGTTTTACTGTATATTGAGCAATCCATAAGAATAACATAACACAATACTAATATTCATTTATCAAATGTTTGGATTGTAGTGTATGTCCACATATAGTTCTCTTAACAAAATAAGATGTACAGTACAGCTAATCTCATGAGGTATTGTTTTTTGCAAAAATAACAATTTAAAGGACACCAGTGTAGGAGGTCATGGCAAATATATAATTACAGGATTTAATTTTTTCATGTATTAGTATGTCATTTTAGTCATCCTACCAAAATAAACAAAACTTAGTTTCTAACATAGTTGCGTTTTTTCATGCAATAACATTGTGGTTCTTTGATTGCATATTTTTCTAAAAACAAATTTTGAATGAAAATGAATTGTAGATTTAATATTGCATTGAGTTCTTTGATTGCTTATTTTTGCAAAAAACAAATTCAATCTTTTTAAATGAATTGGATTGGAGATTTAATATTGTATTAATTATTTGATTGCTTATTTTTTCAAAAACAAATTCACACTTAAATTTCACACAATTTCATATTATAAAAAGGTCTACGTTTTCTCTAATATTGCCCTTGTCTTTTCTATTTTCAGTTGTACATGTACATACAGGAATATATCAATTGATACATACATATTCCAGATTCAATAGGTTGTTCAAATTATATTATCACACCAATGAGAAAGCATTTATGATCGAATAAACAGAAGGATGCAATGTTTCCTTTTAAAATTGGCAAGTATTGTGATTTTAATTCTCTAACTAATAATAGATGTTTTGACAATCTATAGTTATATCAATACATCAGAAATTGAACATGTTTTTGGACATGCAACATTCTAATAACTAATGTGTAATTTTCACAATTAACATATTATATAAACGTATTATACTATATCATCTTTACCCTGAATATTTTCATTTTCAGATTATTAATTCAATAAATATACGCTGTATAATATGCCTGAACACAAGTAATGACTATGCCTGAACAAGAGTTTCCCATTTTCCATAGTATCCCATGGTATTCATCGTGTAATTCTGGTTTTTGGCGATAAACCAAAACATCAAATGTAAAAGTGAGGTCTGAATAAATTGCACATACTAAGATATTGAAACTTCTAAAACTAAAGTACCAATTGTTGCGTATTAAATTCAAGATACATGCGACAAACTATCGAATCATATATCATATTTGCACTTCATTACTTCAGTGATCCAATTATTTTTGTGTTCCAATTATTATTCTAGTACAAGAAGTTTGAAAAATACAAAAGTAACATTCATTTTACCTGTTTTAATCACATACCTGTGAATCAATCTTCATCTTTACTTCTAGAATTTATACAAAAATAGGAAATCAAGGTTTGCGTATCAAATACTAGCACTAATAGTACAAACTAATGCGTTTTTGCGTAGTTATTTTGACAATACGTGATATGTACAAATGTCACAATAAGCAGCCCCCATCCAAAAGCAGAACCTACATTCCATGATACATTTGCAGTCCGTTTGGGAAAACTTGAACAATATTTTATAGAGTTTTTTAATGGAGGGAATAACTTATCATCATAAAGCAGTAAAAGCACTGATGATCTTGTTGGAATACTCATTAAGAAAAAGTATCCCAACTAATACTTGAAACATCATTAAAAGTGACCTACATTTTGACATGTAAACAATATAATATCAGAAATATTTTAAATATTTCATGAGAAATCTGCAGAAAAACAACAAATAGATTATGATTATTTAAAGTAAGGTGGACATTAACAACTGTTAATTTACTGGTCCAATTCACCTAGTGGTCGAAATGGAACTCTTCATGAAAGCTATCACTTCTCTACACAGTACTAATACCCATAACAAAAATTGCTCAAGCTATTTCCAATTGAATCTCCATGATTACTAATTACAAAATATGTACATATTTTACTGTGTGGCAGTCCTGAGCTTATAATACAAGGCAGACCTAGCTCAAGGAGTTCAAGTTAGGACATACACTTTGAATTCACTTTTAATCAAAATTGGAAGATCTCTCTGATTTTTTTTTGAGGTGATAGTCAGTGATGTCACAGAAGATCACAAGTGACTACTTCTGAAAATATGTGCACTTTTACTAAACTGAACATATTTGAACTTATACAGAATTTAACATATTAGAACTTTTACAGAGATGAACATATTAGCACCTTACTGGGTTGAACATATTATAACTTTGACTTAACTAGTCATTTTAGCACTCTTACTGAATTGAATTTGAACATATAAGACTTTATATGAGTTGAATATATTACTTCTTCTAAGGTGAACATATTTGCACTTTTACTGAACTAAACATATTTGCACTTTTTTTGAACTGAACATAATGGAACTTGTACTGAGTTGAACATATTAGCACTTTTACTGAACTGATAATATCTGCACTTTAACAGACTTAAAATATTAGCACTTTTACTGAACTGAACATATTTGCACTTTTACTGAACCGAACACATTAGAACTTGTACTGAGTTAAAAACATTAAAACTTTTACTGAACTGAACACCCCCCCTCCTTTATGGTTATCTTACTCTGTAAAGTAAACTGCAGTAAATAAATTTTCAAAAAATCATGATTATAGCAAAAGCTGCAATATAACATGTTTTACAATAAAGTCAGTTTCACACTCTTTGTTCCTCAATGGTCCATTGGTGTAATATCATGTCTGTATCATTTTGTCATCTTTACACTGCTTTAACTCTTTCCAGTCTGCCTTTAACTCTTTCCAGTCTGCCTTTAACTCTTTCCAGTCTGCCTTTAACTCTTTCCAGTCTGCCGTTAAATCTTTACAGTTTGTCTTTAACTCTTTCCAGTCTGGCGCATTCCATCAACACACCTCCAGGCTGCAAGGATTTAAGTGCAGGAGTGGTTGTAGGCAATGAGTAAAATGTGCAACAAGGTTCAGTGCCTTCGCTGAGGTATAATCACTCGAGGAAGAATCGTGGCTCTAAAGCAGTCATAGCTGGTTCGATCCCTACTTCATTGAATACATTTACCACTAATCACAGAGCCACTTTGTAAGCTCATCAAATGCAAACTCTTGTAGATTGTTTTAACTCAAAAAGAGTCTCTACTCAATGCCTGTACAGTTAATTCTTGGTTGTTCTTCATTTATAAAAAAAAGTCTATTCACAGGTATTATTTACATCAGTTTCAGCTGTATTAACTCCCAGAGGGATAGGTTCACTGTTACAACTAATGAACTCCCTCCCCAGGAATTGGGTGACACATTCACGGCCTTCAGTATAAATGCTTCAGATATGCTCTCTATGTTCACACATTAGTATCTTTGGAACTCTGAAAATAAATGTTAATGATCTATCAATAATCAAGCCAAACACACTTTAACTAGATAACAGCAATGCCAAAGCATAGCAAATCCCATCGAACAGCCATGGTTGCCATTTTTACAAAATTCTTCAGTTATAGCAAAAATTGTAAAATAACACACATAAAAATGGCTATATTTTCAAAATGGTCACTCACGGGCCAAACTGTCTTAAGAAAGTGTGATATGCTTTTAAGTAGGCACATAAAAAATTTCAAGAAAATCACACACACATACATGTAAATTTACATGGCGTCCATTTTTCATTGTTGATGGGTTAATTATGTTTTCCTTACCGCAGATTGAACCACATTTTGCTCCTAGTCGTTCCTCCATTTTGATTGTAGAAAATAAAATTGTTGCTCAGTTCACCACATTTCTTGTCCACCTTTGTTTCATAGCATGAGAAATTATAATCAAAAACTTTGTTATACTTTAGTATACATACCCTCAAAACAATGATACTGCAGCCTTTTTATACATGGCCATTGCCTTTGTTGATGAATGGTACAGATGTTTCCAGCGAGCGTGCTTTGGGCCAGTGGTCAGGGATCTGGTAGGGCTTTAGACGAGGGGTTGTCAGGGTGATCATTCTCTGTAAGAACCAATTTAGGTGTTCAGTCAGTCAAGTATTACTTTTTATCTACACTGTCTCTGACTGTTATCAAAGAGTTTAGTTTTGACGCTTATAAGATCTTAATCTACTAGTCAAGAATTCCTAAAAATTTATCGATTAATATATATTTTTTCCCCCTTACTCCCTACTTATTCCAGTGTTAACCATTTTTATCTATCCCCTTACACCACCCTCTTTAAACCCACTGTAAACTATACATCCCTCCTTCCTTACACCAGCTACTGTTAACCATACCTATCCCTCCTTCCTTACACCACCTAGTGTTAACCATACCTATCCCTCCTTCCTTACACCACCTACTGTTAACCATACCTATCCCTCCTTCCTTACACCACCTAGTGTTAACCATACCTATCCCTCCTTCCTTACAACACCTAGTGTTAACAATACCTATCCCTCCTTCCTTACACCACCTAGTGTTAACCATACGTATCCCTCCTTCCTTATACCACCTACTATTAACCATACCTATCCCTCCTTCCTTACACCACCTAGTGTTAACCATACCTATCCCTCCTTCCTTATACCACCTACTGTTAACCATACCTATCCCTCCTTCCTTACACCACCTAGTGTTAACCATACCTATCCCTCCTTCCTTACACCACCTAGTGTTAACCATACGTATCCCTCCTTCCTTACACCACCTACTGTTAACCATCCATCCCTAATAAATCCACAGTAAACTATACATCCCCCTTACACGACCCATAACTACGTATCCCTCCTTCCTTACACCACCTAGTGTTAACCATACCTATCCCTCCTTCCTTACACCACCTAGTGTTAACCATACCTATCCCTCCTTCCTTATACCACCTAGTGTTAACCATACCTATCCCTCCTTCCTTAGACCACCTAGTGTTAACCATACGTATCCCTCCTTCCTTACACCACCTACTGTTAATCATACCTATCCCTCCTTCCTTACACCACCTAGTGTTAACCATACCTATCCCTCCTTCCTTACACCACCTAGTGTTAACCATACCTATCCCTCCTTCCTTATACCACCTAGTGTTAACCATACCTATCCCTCCTTCCTTAGACCACCTAGTGTTAACCATACGTATCCCTCCTTCCTTACACCACCTACTGTTAATCATACCTATCCCTCCTTCCTTACACCACCTAGTGTTAACCATACCTATCCCTCCTTCCTTACACCACCTAGTGTTAACCATACCTATCCCTCCTTCCTTACACCACCTAGTGTTAACCATACCTGCTTGAGTGTGCCTGGAGTGGTCACTATTGCATAGATGGCGTAGACAGGGATACAGATCATTGAGCTGAAGGCCATACAAAGCCCTATGGCTTGGGCCCAGGCTGGGTAGATATAGGTCTTGTTGTACTTTAGGGGCTTGAAGTCGACCCAACTGAATATGAAAATACTCTACAAGAGAAAGCAGGCGAATCATAAATATCATAAGACAAATAAGTTCATTATAACATTTTACTGGCAAGTAAGTTATATGAAGTATCATATAATCAAACATGTTATGGTTTTCTGTCAATGTGAGGCTCTTAATTAGGGCAGCAATGACAAATCCAGAGATCATGTCCTTAAAATGTTGAGGATGTAGAAGACACTCTACTATACCTAACAACTAGAAATGCATAAGATACTCTGTTTGTCTCATTGTATTGTTTAGTATATTTTTGAAAGTACCTTATTAACATCTAACAGTCATCCGATAAACCATTCATAAGGAAAGGACACATAAAAACAAATAATATAATCATTGCTAATAAGCCAAATGGGTTGCTCATGAACACCAAATGCAAGGTATAGTAGAGTGAATACGAACTATTGTTATAGACTATAATTGTGAAATCACCATGGTGATAGGGGTGCAAGGATGAAGCATGAACCATCATAAACTTACCATGGTGACCAGCGGTGTAAGGACGAACCATGTGATCATGAACCAGGGGTTGATTCTGAAGCCAAGCATCACCTCCAGGCAGTCATAGTAACGTTTAACACCTTAAAGTAAAACAACACTTTAATCATTGTATAAACTATAGGTCAGTTGGTGTGTTAACAAAGTATCTGTGTGATTGGTGATAAATGAATTCAAAAAAGTGAGGAGAAAACTGGTTTGGACTTTCGAGCAATGATTAGTCTTCAATTGAGCAATAATACATCAAAAATTGTACTGAGCCTTATGGAAATTTTAGTCTTATTAACAAGAAGAGAAACTTACCAAATACCCATGCAACGGCAATAGCTTCGAAGAAGCACACCCATAGTAGTGCTATACCACTAGCAGAGTAGTAGTCAAACATTTGGAATACATACATGCCACCCTGAAATAACCAACATGATAATATCAAAAGAAATTCTGTTTTCATTGTACATTTCAACATCAAAAGTGCTTCCATAAATACTTACTGAGCCTACATGCTTTTCAGCCACACATGGCCAAAAGAAATAGGACATTTTCTGACCAAATATTGAAGATTGTGCATTTTACATGGACATTAGCTACCAACTCATGACAACAATTTCATGAAGTACTAGTATTTTAGAGTTATGAATTGAAATACATTTTTCTCTCAAATTTTGCTGAAATCAGCTAACATTTTCAAATACGACACAGTTTTCTCGTAACATGGTTCATTTAATGAAGTCTTTTTAAAGACCAATTGGACGTGATTAACAAGGAAGTATTGATTTCTACAGAAACTTACCCTTGTGCACATGGACAGTCCTATCAGGTAAGAGACTAGCGAGTATAAAGCAATAAAGATCTCTCTGTTTGGACTCTTGCGTAGAAGTTTTGGGAACATGTCAACAGCCACTGTAACAAACGCTTCCATGCCAACAAACTAAAACAACAACATCTTAATTCCATTATTTCTTTAACCAAAATACCAGACTTACCCCAAGAATACCTCTTTTCTAGGTAATTTATGATTGTTGTTTATGATAAAGAAATAAAGTTGGGGCTAAAGAAATATATTGGAGGTTTCAATAGTTTAGGAGCAAATTGTGAAGAATAGACATATAAAGAAGGTTAATGCAAGAAAAACTGTATACCTGACTGTCAAGTCCAAGCATAACAATCATGAGGAAGAACAGCACAGCCCAGGCTGGGGCCAATGGCATCTGGGTCACTGCTTTAGGGTAGGCTATGAAGGCAAGACCAGGCCCTGAAACAAATAATTGCATGTATTGGTTATTCAAATATAACAACTTTTTTGCAACACAGTAATACCTGTATCTTTGAACACCTCACTCGCTAGAAGATTGAGATTTTCTCAGGTCATGTATTCTTATAAAAATAGCGTGATCCCATAGTGGGCAAATCTGAATACCGAAATGAGCATCTCTCAAATTGTATTTTGGCAGATCCTAGTGGTGTTTGAATTAGACAGGTTTTGCAGTATTAACATATAATACTAAAAAGTAGGTTTAGTGTTAATGAATATGCATATTCCAAAGTAAAAAAATTACCATGTTAAATTTACTAATGGCCAACAGGTATTAGCATATTCATAGGCACAAAATGTAATTTCTGAATCTGGAAATATACCTGACTCTGCCACGTCTGCAACACTGACACCCTGTTCATACGCCATGAAGCCAAGCACACTGAAGATGACGAAGCCAGCAAACAAACTGGTGAAGCTGTTGATGACGGAAATGATGATCACATCTCTGAAAATGCACAAAGTAACATGAAACTTAAAATGAAATGTGGCCATATAATTTCAACAAGGCATTAACATGCAAAATGTCATTTCAAGGCTTCAATTAACTTTCAAGGAATATTCCTTTAAAAGTAAGCTTGTCAACTTACTTGTAACAGTTGTTGTGGAACTTGTTGTAACTGCCCAGGGCTGTCATGGCACCTAGGGCAATGGCGTATGAAAAGAATATCTGAGTTCCAGCATCAATCCATACCTACAATCAAGAACAATGTTGAAATACATGAACAGTGTACATGGTTAAGTTCACCTTGTATCCCACATTTGCAGTGAATGCAAAGAAGAATTGTAAGATGTTATTGTGCACTCTGCTGTGCAGAAGATAAACTTCCAATGCAAACTTTTGGGCTCAAATCCATGTTTTTACCTCCCTTCAATCCTAAATAGATACAATTTATCATTTGTGTTTTCATATGAAATATAAACTATTATTCTTTAAAAAGAGTCTATTGCACAGAACTTTGCAATATATTAAACTACTGTATGACCATGATCAATTACTACCATTTGCACTTTCACAAATTTAAAGCGATATTTCAATAAAACAGTCTATTGCATAGATAGCAGAAATACATCAATCTGAGGCAACATTTGAGCTCAATAACTAATGGTCATGTTTTCTTGTGTCTGTGCCCTAGACTGAAAATGCTATACCTGTACATCCGCAAGTCTCGACCATTCAGGTTTAAGGTAGAAGATGATACCATTAGTAGACCCTGGCAGAGTGACACCACGCACTAATAGTATGCATAGCACCACATATGGGAACGTGGCAGTGAAGTACACAACCTACGACAGAATCAACAGACTTAATCTTTGAATTTCCATCTTGTTTACTTATATGGTAAGAAGAATGATGGTCAGTTATTTAATGTTAAAAAAATTGAGTGAAAGTGACTTTCATGTTCAATGAATAAATGACTGCATTTTTTTCTTGTTAAATTATCGTTTCAGTTTGTCGTCTATTTTCAAATTTTCAAAAGTTCACTCACTAAAATTCCCTGGATTATTCCATGACAAACAAGACGTAGTATTTTGACAAAGTTTTGGGATAGTCAATATTTAGCAGCGGCTACCATGTAACATAATTTGAAGAATTACCTTCCCAGTCCACTTGACACCCTTCCATACACAGAAATAGCAGCCCACCCAGCAGAAGAGGAGGGCGAGAGCTAACTGCCACACAATACCATTGGGCTGGTCAACACCAGGGGAGATCTGCAGAATTTGATTCCTGAAATAAGTCAAGATTTAGATTGTTTGATAGCATTTATGGTGATATGAAAAAGGATATATGATATGAATGGGCTAATCGACATCATCAATGAAACATGATTGTTTTTTGGGAGTTCTCAAACTGGAGTTACAGTTTCAAGCTGAAACTAAAAGAGGGAGGACTTTGTATGCTTATTACTTCTTCATTGTCTAAAGCAATTGATAAGAAGAACACAATGGTCAATTATTTCATGTTAGTTAAAGTGAAAATTAAAAGTAAACATGAGTTATATTTTAAGAATCCAATTTCAGTGACACATCACCCAGAATTCTAATGCAGAGGATACTCACTCCCAGAATTCCACAACAGGATCTACAGGTGTAAAGTTAGCTGGCCATGTGTGGTTCAGACATCTTGCACTAATGTTAACTGCTCCTACTGCAAGGCCTGTTGAATTGAGAGCGCCCTCTGGCTCACTGTAACTCAATGCTGCGGTAATGTTAGTGCCATTCAAGGCTTTAAGCCCACTGCATTCTGGGTCATCTAAGAATGACACACGACATCTATAATCAGAAAAAATAACTTGAATTTAACTTAATATGTTTTCAAATAGTCATGGTTCAGTTTCTACAAATGGGCCATACATAGCAAATAGAATCTGGCCTATTTATTACAGAATTATTTTAATATTTATCACAAATCTAAATTGGTAATGTAAGCTTAAAGGATAAAAACTATAAAATAATTCTACTCTGTTAAAAATTAAAAATATTTAACTCCACTCCAATATTCATTAACCAGAGGTTGAGATTTCCTTTAGAGTTTAAAGTGCATATTATTGGGGAGTATAAATACTAAAAGCAAAACCAGTGTATGCAATATGTTCTACAATCCTAATTGAAATATTTAACCCCCTATGATGTCCTAAAATGAAGCAGTTATAGAACAAGGCACTAATATGACAAAATATCACTACTTTAGTTATTACAACTAGTTAACAAGGCATTAACATGCAAAATGTCACCACCTGCTATTTGTTACAGATGCCAACCACCAACAAACGCTGTTTACAAAAAAGTTGTGACATATTAAAATGATTTTGGAATGAAGAATAATCTAGGAATTTGAATAAAATAAAGCCAATAAAGGATACATTGTGAGAATGTTAAAAAATAAGAATGACAACTGAGTGACATGGATAAATAAACATGTTAACCTAACGTTTAGAAACAAAAACATTACTCCTTGTGTCTGATTGTCGATTTAACAGCAAATGACCTTGATAAGAATACTGAATCAGTATAAATCATTGGCTACTAATTGACACAGATTTCAACAAACGACAAAGTGTGACTTGAATGAACTTTGAGTTCTCTAGTTGCAATGGAAATTTCCAAATGTAATTCAACAAAATAATTTGTTTTTATGCCAATTTTATGTCATTTGTTAGGTGTCAAAGATAGGGCACCTTTTTATTAAAGAATATTTAAAAGCACTTTTTTATGACAAGATTAAATGTTTCATATCAGGTGATATTTATATTTAACGAGGCTATATAATTTTATTTCACTTTTTATGTAATTTTTGGAACATGAATACCGTCCTAGTATTAATAGTTACATGCTACATCCTAGAGATGTAGTGCCCTTCCAACAGTGTTGGTAATCTAAGCCAAACATGTATTGTTAACCCCTCCCCCTCTTTCACTGGATAAAAAGATAACTCTAATAAGGGATCGACGGGGGGGGGGGGGGGGGGAGTAAGACATCACTTCTTAATTTAAACTAAATTGAAAAATTGATTATTCCTACATGATAGTCCAGTTTGAAAGTCATTTAAGGTCATGAATATTTACACCAAATTTATGGGGCCATATCTGAATCTCATTATTCAAAGCAGTACAAAATCTAATATTTCACACCTATTATAATGCCAGCGCCAAACGAACCCCCTCTCTGGCTATACCCATGCTCATTTGACTTGAATTTTGTTTATGATTTATTATTGCAAAGTACATCCATATAGTCATATCAGGTCTACAAGCCTTGAGTGGCAAAAATGTCCATTTTCAAAACAATGTCAAGTTTATAAACAAACTAAGAAGGACATTAACATTTAACACTTGAAGGATTGTAAATACAAGCTACAGATAAAATATGATGCATTTTGAATCTCAATAAAGATGTACATGAAGAATTTTTTGTATATGAAACTTTAAATGATAATGAAATGTGAATGAATTTATGTTGTTTACATAAAAGTTTTAAAGTCAAAAGTGTTTTCAATATCAAAATATAAGTCATTGCATAGTTTAAATAATTTCTTCTTTTTGCTTACATGATTTAAAGTTTATACTGAAATGGGCTTGTTATGTTTCCTTCAATTGAAGTTTAATTTCAAAAGCATGAATCAATCAAAAGATAGCATGAAATATTCATGTTTCCCCCTTTGGAAGTCATGTTTTTATTGAAAGAATTCAAAGCACATGAAATTGGCCCCATTTAGATGTCACCGGATTATTTCTCAATGTCTGGTACTTTTCAGGAATGTCATTTTAGTGCACGGAATTAATGACTTCTGTCAATGTGTATCAGATCAGTCTGAGGTTAGAAGGCCAATATATGATTGAGGCTGCAAGAGTAAAAATATTTTTTCTAGCAATTAAAAAAGTCCCTATTCCTGGGTCGGCAACCTTTAGTTCACAACAGTACTGGGTGTCCAATTCCCAACTCCCCCTCCCTCTCGCAAACTTTTGAATGGAGCATTAATGAAGAATAAGAGAGGTGAGAGCATATTTCAAGTCTGAAAAAATTTTCCTTGGTTGCGCAGAAAATATTTTGGACCCAAAAATAAATATCTTTGGACCCAATTTTTTAAGGGCCTAGCCCAGATCCATCAATGAATACAAATTACCTGTCAGTATTCCATGGATTATTACAATGGGACCATGGTAAGACTGGAGCAAAGGCCATCACCATGTAGTAAACATCCCATGCTAGAATCACTATGTAGTAAATGTTCAGATAGAACACAATAACAGTGGTGGCTATTCCAATACCTGAAACGAAAAATGTCACATCATTTTATTTGCATTAAAAATCTTTAATAATTGTATTGTATTGAATAACAGAGAGCAAATTACAGGCTTGACTTTGTGTGGTGAAATAAATACAGTTGTAGAGATGTCACGGAACAACAAAAATCACAACGGTTCGGTTTGGAACACTTTGGATCAGAACAACTTTGGAAGAGTTCGCAGTGGTGGATCCAGAAATTAACAAGAGGGGGGCCCAATTTTGATTCTGGAAAAAATTTCCATTGAAGAGTTTTGAAAAATTAAGGCCTATTTTTTGATAAATTAGCCCAAATAAGACCCAAGAAGACCAAACTATGCTCAAAAAGGCCCATTTTTAGGCCCTACAAAATGTTGGGGCTCAAAAACTTTTTTCTGAACCCGGGTGGGCAGGCACCCCGGATCCGCCACTGGTTCGGAACAGAGTGACAGCGTGTATAGATTATAATAAATTAATCGTCTAGGTTTATTTGATAAATAAACCTCCGTGACACCTCTAGCAAAAACCTAGATTATCCAAATGGAACCAAAAGTACTCAGATTAGCAGGTGTTCTCATTTCTAATATGTGAATCAATAACAAAAATTGGAGCCAAGAAAGAGTGTAGTAAGAAATGTTCAGATAAGAAAGATGTTCATATATTACAGGTTTTACTACATTTCTGTTTGGTCAGAAATGTAGTGAATTATTAATCAAATCAATGCTATCCATTAGCTGACCAATATATTCTTTACCAGCACATATATGTATTTTATCATTGCCAACTTTCCAAAATACTCAAAATGCCAGTTTAAAGGCAAAAAAGCTGTAACTCTCATCCTAAATGACCCCATTCTTAAAAAACTGTTAATGATATATAACTTAGACAATCAATCAACAGATTGGGACATCAACATTTTTCTGTTATTATTAAAGTGCATATCCAAGTTGATTGATTGTGTAAGATAAATATCATGAATTAAAATAATTTGGATTCTTAAACATGAGAATTACATCTATTGACCACTGTTATAACGCTGAATTAAGTAGAAATATAGGGATTTCACTGAAATCATCAATGAACTATTTTTATTTTTAGACAAAATATGTGAAATAAGAAGTAATGTATGTTAAATATTCTGAAAAGTGTTTTATGCATCTCGACTCATCAAGGTATTTTCCAAAAAGAGGCAAATAAAGCTGAATATGATAATGTTTGAAAATGTTGCTCTCATTTCTGAATCTACCTTTGATATGTCCTGAAGACTTGAGGGCCACTTCGACTCAATTGGCAGTTTGGCATAACTCTTGTTCTAGATCATAATAAAAGACATGTAATATAACACATGTATCATTTTATGGTCAAGTTGGATAAATATCCTGGCAAAATCCATGATTACATCCCATTGGGGCTATCTTCTAACCAATTTTTGAAGTCCAACCTTGACAACAGAGAAATCATCCTCCGATCACAGGGCTATAAGCAGTTCGCATTTCCCGATTAAGAACTTGCAATTTGATTCGCTGTTGCAACACTGCGACAGCAATCATGTATACGCCATTGGCGCATACTGTGATCACGTGATTCAGTTTAATCGTGCGCTTCCAACTTGGTTATAGCAGGGGAAAGAAGGAGGTACGGATTCTGGACACCTGGTTAGGAGGATGCAGAGAAGTTTGTTAGAGATGGATGTAAAGAGCTTGTTATAATGTTCTTGCAGGGTGTTGATGTGAGATTTTGCGCTAACGGAACATTTAATAAATGGTAACATTGACCATCAATAATATCTACTTCACATGGGACAATACCTCAAGCCTGGCAAGGGATACTTTCAAAATACTCAATAGTAAGATATATCAAAATGTTTTGATTCAACTGCTGGTAATGCTAGGTAATACCAATATTTAGATTTCACATGCAATGATTCAACTGCTTGTTATACCAGGGGCCAGAAGCAGTTATGTGCCAGTTCTCATTAGATTGTTGAAAGCCCTGCATGATAATGGGCAACATAAGGTTTGATGTAAGATGAAGAAACAACAGTCAATGGGAGTCCATACAATCTGACACCTCATTACTTGTTGATTTAAGAGTCCAATTTAGGCTTTCAATTCCAAATTGGCTTATGGAGTCATTTGAGTACAGCTTCTAATTCGTTTTACTTTGTTCATTCTGCAAATATTTTCTTAAAAAATCAGAATCATATATCTTAATCAAGGGAATGTTAGAATGGCTTTTGCATCATCAAACAAAGCAGTGACATGGAAAATGTCACCACCTGCCATTTGATACAGGCGCCCAATGTTGAAAACCTACTGCTGTCCACAAAAAGTTGGAGACTATGACATTATGAGTGTTATTATGATTCCCACTTGTTTAAGACTATTTCTTCCCTAATGCCATGGTCACATTTGCTCCAAGGCACCGTAGTAAAAATCGGAGCAAATGTGACCACGGCATAACTAGAGCTCAAAATAGTAACTTCCGACCTCAGGCAAAATCTATTGACTGGACCTTTGGTCATTATATTCTGTTGAATTAACATCATAACATCCCATTTAACTTGATGACAAAGAATATAAATATCATTCAATTGTCATGCTGGGCATTTCTAACTAAAAGAACAATCTTTTATTCCCATCAATCACAACAGCAAAATCAATATGTTTTCAACCCCCCAGGTCACAATATCCCAAAGATAAGCAAAGTACCTCCTTGTAGAAACATCTTGTTGACATTGTAGCCTTAGCAAAAACAACTTAATAAAAATAGGTATGCATTATTATGAGTATGTATGTACTAAACAAAGGTTCCGGTTTCTGGGCTGAGGGGGAAGGATGCTATAGGGCGAGATGAATTAAAAATCAACATGTTTTCAGTGAACTTTTGTTCTAAAGCCATAAATACAGAATTTGAAGGGTTGATGAGCGATCTGGCAGCTACCAAGGAGATATGATGCTGATGTTACTTTGGGGCATCAAATGGTTTCAGTCAAAACAACAAACAAATCAAATAATGAAATATGGATTCTTAAAGCCTTTGATCAGCAAGATAACATCCTGGTTTACAGAATGCAAGTACTGTACATGTACAATATACATCTATTATTACATGGAGCCAAATAAAATATTTTGTGCTTCATATATATAAACCCATCTATGTAAAAAAGAGACCTTTACTTATTGATCACCCCTCGTATATATAGCAAAGGTATACATAATGTAAAGATCCAGACCTGGAATTCTGTCAATCCCAAATCAAACATCAGAAATAAGCATCCAATAATACGCTATCTATCAGTATTTTCTGAAGATTCAATAATTGTTACAAAGTATTAAAGATGAGTATGATAACTGTCTTAAAAAATGTTATTAAAGAAAACAATTTATGTTCTACTTCAAACCTTATCTTATCTTAGGTACACCTTGTAAATAAAATTTACATAGCATGTATTATGACATTCAAATCTGAAATCTCAAAGTCAAAGAATACGTAAGTTTTTAACTTTTTAAGGTCACCTTGGTTAATGACAATTTTATGACAAAAATGATATCATGTTTAATTTCCATGACACACTACAATTACTGTATTCTTTATAAAGGGCATCTCAAAAAAGAATGACATTGCAATTACATCCCTCCTTCTTACATCTCCTTGAATCTACTGACTGAGATAAAGTTTGTGTAGAAAAAGGTATAAAACTAGAAAATTTCATGGAAAATACACAGTGACTAGGAATGGAATGAGCCAAAAATCATTTTAAAATTGAACCTATTTTTGTGAAGGTCACTTTCTAGATCTGATTCTGCCTTCAATTAGTGACAATTTTAAACAGTCATGGTCATGCTGGTTAGTTTGACAGTTTGCCACTTACCACATCTCATTTTTTACAATAAAGCAGAAATTGCCCCAGTGACCATAATGTTTAATTATTTCATTTCATTTCTTATGAAAAGATTCTTTAACTTCATTGAGGTGGGACCTATCTTTAAGTTTGGAGTTTCAAACTGTTACAGATCACACAAGCAAGAAGTGTAAAGGACGTGTAGTGTAAACGATAAATATTTGATCATCTCAAACTTATATTTGGCTTAATATAAGATGTAATTTAAATCTTAATCTGAATGCTTAGAATTATTGACCATCTTAAGCCATATGTACACATCTAAGAAACAATTACCCATTTGCTCTCTTCTAGAGGCTTGGAGAAAAAAATTATGAAACAAATTTTATATAAACTTTGACACATGTGATTTCAATGAAAGCATCGTTTCAAGTCATACTTTCTCATCGAGAGAAAATCTTCTATGGCTTCACTGTATTTTCAAGCTATGACTTTCTCCCCAGTCTCGCAGATCTCTCTCTCTCTCTTATTCCCCACTCACCCATGTTAAGAGAAATGAAAGGGAGGAGAGGGAGAGAACCACATGCAAGACTGCTTATGTATGGAATATAGATCTCTAGTAACCCCCCCCCATTCACCTGCACAAATGTTAATACAGTAAGCAATCTTTCATTTTTTAATTAATACCAAAACAAAAAGAATTTATACCATAGCATAATCATAATGGTACAGATACTGGAGTTAAACATTGTTTTTCATACAATTATATGATCCTTTGAAGAACTCTACATTGCTGATCTGGGTTCACCTGTTGGTAGACTAGACAGGCATTCCTGCCATCACTGACAAAGCACAATCTATTTCTATCTGCCTCAGAATGGGGCTCACAAAGGTGCAACTTTGATTCTTATCATACATTCTTTATAAATTTTGGTGAAGAAATCACTGACATCCTTTTGTATAATTTCAAATAAATTACTATTAATATCTTTTTTACATAATTTAGACCATTTCTGTTATTTAAGACCAAACATTCATTTTTGTTTGTTAGAAAAACATCTTATCACATTTATGCTTTCCCCTAGGTGCACCTTGTATTTTGTAAACGCATATGATGGATTAGCACATAAAGAGTGATTTATGACCATTGAAGCCAGAAGGTATATGCACTGTATCTTTCTAAATATGATTAGGAAATTCTTTCTTATTGACCATATTAGGTAATGCCAGGGATTTATCAAGTAGGACTCCTCAGATGGTTTATTCCATACTGTTAAACCAGTGTATTCCTACAATCATACAGGTATGTAATACCTTGATGGATCAAGATGGTTTTATTCAGGATTGTAGTCTAGCTACAAGCCCTACACACCTCCCCACAAGTGATGTGTTGGTAAAGTATATGAGTATTGGATTTTGAAAATATGCTTGCACCCACCTGAAAATCCATTTTCACCCACTTAAAAATGAGACAAATTATGAAAAATTGGCAAATTTTGACCAATTTTAGTCTGAATTGTGAAAATGAGATTTTGCACCCACTCGACTAAAAATCCTGAGGAGATCACTGATGAGGGACAACAACAAGGTCCATAGTCTTGAACCAAGACTATCAGGAATGAATGCTTGAAACTCAACATGCTATGTACTATAAATGTGTTTGCTTCAATGCATGTCCCCAATAAACATCAATCAAATTCGATGAAAGAGCACAAAGGGCAACATTATAATTAGAATATATACTTACCATAGAACAATGGGACCAGCTTCCATACTCCCAGGCCGCCTTGGGCCATGAACTGTCCCAGGGAGATCTCCAGAAAGAAGACAGGCACCCCACCACATATCAGGCAGATGGCATAGGGAATGAGAAATGCTCCTGAAAATACAAAAACACCTTATTAAATACATGTGTTCATAATGAAAAATAAGTGATGTAACACAGGTCTGAAATTGAGCTTGTTCCTTAACTTTGTTGAACAGATAGCAATAATCAATGTAAACGGATTGAAAAAGTTACTTGGTAACAGCATGGAGCTAACAGAGACCAAAGGAGATATTCTATTTGTACATGTTTTTGTATGACAGGCCATGTTGTATTGCCTATAGTGTCAGAGTCTAGTACATAATCATTAATGTAGTTGAATATCTCTTTGAAAGAAAATAATCAAATATAAGAAAGTGTTTCCCGATGTTCGTATTCTGAGGGTCTCAAAGCTCATAGCCGTATTTTCACTAAAATTGCAACATGTTGCATATGATCACAAATTGAATATTTGAAACCCAAAAATATGTGAGGTAGCTTTATCCAGATTCAACATCCTTTCCATTTCATGCCCAATTGAATTAAACATAAAAAGCAGTTTGAATGAATGGTGCATTACTAAATAAATTGTTTGGCTCTGTAATCACTAATTGGTTAATGAAAAAAAACACAGCCTATATAATTTTTGCCATTTAAAAGCCCCATGAAAGTATGCTACAATAACTATATATCCCAGAGGTAGATATCATGGAAAGACAACATCAGATTTTCATCAAAATTTTAAGAGACTAGAAACTAACAACAAGGCACAAACCATTGATTTGTTGCTTTATAATATTCTTTCTGAGGCATACAGAATATCTCAGGGCAAGAACAAACTTTTTGCAAGGGTAGACAGATATATTGACTCATTGACTGGCATTCATCCAAGACTTACCTTGAAATAACAACAATTGACATGAATTGACATAACAACCCACTGACTTACAACATAAGCTCATATAAGGTAACTCCAGGAAAATATAAACATTTAATAACAGTATAGTGTGGTAATAAATGGTATCAATTACATAACAATTTCCTTTAATGCCATTTGCCCAACTGAACCTCAAAAAGCAGGTGTGTGACTCAGACAACTATACTGGCTCTGTAATCACTAATTGATTAATTAGATGAACAACAAAAAACAGCTTATGTAATTTTTGCCATTTAAAGTCCCATTAAGTATGCAAAACATGAGACAGATTCTTCACTAAGATTAATGTATGAGTTATTTGTAAGGGTTGAAGACAACTGAACATAAGGCTCATTTATCATCTTTAGTCTTCTCACACTCCAGTACCCTGCGTGCAGAGTCTAGTTAAACTACACTCTGCCTAGTAGAGACCATATTACAGTTTAGTAGCCCCGCCTCCACGACGGGTACCGGTGACAGTTTGGGTATATCACTTTTGACCTACGCGCTGACCTTCCACCAATCAGCGATCTTGAAGAAACATACGCCAAATGTTCTAATTAAATATGCGCATGTCATTGGTCAACTCCGGGCTCAACGATTACGTCAGAAGGAATGACCATATAAAGAACGTCGGTCAAATTTGGCCGATGAACACTGATTGGCGCGGTGAGTTCAGAGGTTTATTTTAGTTTGAAAGAGTGAAGACGAAGCTCTCTTTTAAGAAGTGAAGTCAAACGAAGGCAAAGGGTAGCACTCCAGGCACACTCCTAGTCTAACAACATTTAGAGTAAAAAATGGGAGAGATCTATAAATCTATAGATAGACCTGTTACTTAAGGTTTAAATAATATCACTTGGTCACAATGGGAATTAATATTGTCCATCTCTATCAATGTTCCAAGTCTAATAAGTAAGGCTGATTCCTGGGGGAAAAAGGTCCTCACCAATATTTTAATAATAATTAGACAGTACATATTAGTGCAAGATTCATTTGTTTCCTCAAAATATAGTTTCACAATTTCGTCTTAGGATTTCAATATTGCGTTATATGCCTTTCTAAAAGCCACAGGCAGTTAGCTTTATGCATAAGAGAGCTATATTTAGGAGCTATTATTATAAGGAATTTGTGGTTGACCTTCATTTTGACAAAGTACCACATCCTGTAGCCAGAAAAAGAGGAGGGAAACCCCAGAACTTAGGAGATGACAGACATACTTATGTCTCTTGCTTATAACTTAGTTTGTTCAAAATGACTAGTTTCCCAATACAACATGTTGATGTGATGTTTTAATTGATGTTAGCAGATTCCTTACACGTTTCTTAATCTTGATGTGAAATAACAAACTATGAAGTTGGTTAACACACCAGATATTAACATAATATTATTTGAAGGGTAGTTAGAAAATTTTGATACCGCCGTTGAATGACGTCATTTGTCTGTCAATTTGACCAATCAGCGAATGCTGTCATCTCAATACATATTACATTATAGATGGATGACACCTCTGAATCCTGCCCCCCCCCCCCCCTCTTAGCCAGAAGGGCTTCCTTGAATATTAGAACAAAGAGACGAATTTCTGTATTACTGATATCACTTTAGCTGAGATTAATGCAGAAGGTCAGTTATCTCAACCTTCCCTGAAAAGCAATATTCTGTAAATAGTTAATTTCAAGATAGAACAGCAACAAGTGAGATGACATTACACACATCATAGTGTTTAAATAAGCAGACATAATATTTGTATACAGCTGGTGGAAATTTCCATAACTAAAGCCAGGGAGCATGGATAATTAATAAATACTACAAACAATAAAATAAATAAGAACATAATCAGAATAATGGACAAAAGAAAAATGAAACAATCATATGAGAAGGGTATTCAAAGAATCTCTGTTTCCTATCTCTTAGTCAGGCTAAACTTGGCAAGGGATGTAATAGGAAAATAATAGGAAAATATCCCCAAAATGTTGAATGTCTACATTTTACATTCCTAAAAAAGAAAGCAAAACAGATGGCCAGAATTCAGAGAATAGCTCAGTATCATCCAGAGGCTAGCTCAGTTTTGTAAACCTTCTTATAATTCACATGAGAAGTGAAACTTTTATGAAGGGCAATCCTCTTTTTTTACTTCACATTGCATTAGCATATTGATGGCTCGATAATTTATTCAACATCATTATATTCATATGAATTTTTACTATTAGTTCAATACTGTTCACTTTCAAGTAGATGGTTAAATCAAGTTGAGTGTCAGATAATAATATATTTTAATACAGTATCTAATGCATAATTCAAAACCCAACCTTCATCATTAATCAAACCAAATAATGAGATAAGATTTACACGCAATTTACATGTTAAGAGATCAACAGGTAAAAGATGATGACTTGAAAGTTATTATCTGATACATTAATAAGATCAGCATAAAATTTCAACACGGGTATCATGGTTTGTGAGGTTTTGGAGCAATAACCATCGTCGGTCCCACGCTCCATCACTACGTTCTATCCTGTGGCTTCATATGACAAACTTGAGACCCAAGTAATATGTGGCGTCTCATTAGTAGAAATGCTTTGCGGAGTGCGCGGGATAGTTCACGGGCAAAATTTCAAACCCGATTATCATCATCGTGGAGCCCTTCCTATGGATAATGATATTCAAGACAGCGCATCAGCTGGGGTTTGTTTATTTAGTGTATAACCAATAATTTGCAGTGAATCAAGGTGAGGATAGGTCCAAAGCTTGATGAAGCAAGATGAAGGATAACTTGATATTCCCAAATAAGTATTCTGAATAGATCTGAATATTTGTGCCATTTTTCCAACAGCCTAACTCTATAAGATAAGCTAAAATTGGGAAATAGGTCAGACTAAATCAGAGCATCTTGCTTGCTGCAAAACAAAAAGATGTGCATTTTTTCTGAGGACATGTGCCATATTGTCTCAGACTTGCCTTGCCCTGAAATGCCTAGTTTACTCTTAGGATTTAAGACTGAAGTATTTACATATTAGGACAAAGAAACTTTCATGGGAAATGCAATCCTTAGATGAGATGCTAAACCTAAGTCAATATTGCGAATTGGTCCATAAGTTTGATTAAGAGGTTTATAATAGTATATCTACATATCATAAAAGGATATATTGTAGTGCCTTAGTATGCTGCTGATTGTATTTTCTTCAAGTATTATTAAAACAGACTGCAGTGCTTGCTCAATAGACCTTGGCACATGATGTATGATTATTCTTAACACCTCTAAAATCCTGGATCTAATCAGGCCCATACCCAGCTTTTGCCAAGGGGGGGGGGCTCATTTTGGTACAAAATCGCTGCATGATTTTGAAAGAATTTTTTGGCTGGGGGGATGATTCCCCTGGTTTCAGGCCTGTAATCAACAAATATACAAAATATGTTTAAATGAAATATTATACTCAAATTGAATAACAACCCAAAACCATTATAATCAGAAACGTGCATTAATTTTTTGATCGATGTTTACGGATATTTGCTACAACATATTTAGGTAAATGTTAAAGGTATATGACCAGAACAAAAACATACCCATTACTCAAACAGGAATCATGATCCTTAGAGTTGAACCATTTGATCTTGACAGGGGGACTTGGCTCATACTTCTTCAACAAGGAATTTCATACAATTTTTTCCGATCAAAGCCTAACCTATTTTTCTGTTTTACCATGCAGCAAAAGGATGTTTCAAGGATAGTATATTTTTGCTTCAAAATTCATTCTAATGATATTTTTTTCTATTGACTGAAGATTGACTGGGTAATATCTAACCTCGAAATTCACACTAAAATGACATACTTCAAATGGTCCATCCCAAACACAGAAGTGCATACCTGAAGTTCATACTTCAAACTGCTACAGCTCCAATGTAACAACTTACACACTTCTTGCTACAATATCCTATTTAGTTTTGTTAAAAAAAGTAAATTTGATTTATCTTTTCTGAATGTGATTTCTGATCAATTTGAGAATTCTGATCTGTATGATTATGTAATGCTACACAGGCCCATAGCCAGGATTTGCCAAGGGGGGGGGGGGTTCAGTTTTCAAAAATTTCCAGGGGGGTTCACATTTGACAATTTTGGCCCAAATATGGATAAAATCACTTGAGAAGTGCTCAAAATGGTGGAAAACTGCATGATTTGAAAGAACCCCCTCCCTGGCTAGGGGCCTGGCTACATGAATTTGATATTTTGAAAGAAGCCGGGGAATGATTGAAAATTGAATACATCAATTTTAGAGTAATTATATGCATTAGTGTCAAATCTAATAAGCCACCGCCCTCCAAGAACTGAGGATTGCAACTGGATGTATTAGTCTTTCACCAGCACCTATGACAGATATTAGATGAATCAAAATTAGGGACATTATATTTGATTAATCTGAAACCCATCCTCCAAAGCAGGTGTCCAGAATCCGTACCTCCTTCTTCCCCCTGCTATAACCAATTTGGACGCGTCCGATTTAACTGAATCACGTGATCTAATTATGCGCAATGACTTATACATGATTTCTGTCGCAGTGTTGCGACAGCCAATCAGATTGCGAGTTCTTAATCGGGGAAATGGTAACTGTTTATCGCAGGGGGTAAAAAGAAAGAATATGTTCTGGATCTTTGAAGCCCTGTGATCGGAGGATGTCTGAAACCCAGTAAATGATACCAAGTCAGACTGTCAGAGTAAAAATCCATGGGTGAGAGCTGCTGAGAGGGTAAAAATATGTGTGTAGTTTGATCCCGGAGTTTAGAATAAATATGTATCAAACTAACTATATGTTGTTGTTGTTCGAACTTAAGAATAAGATCCGGGACTATACTTAGAAGATTTAAAATCATAGAACACCTGTGATTTGCTTAGCGGAGCCTGTAAATCATAATTACATTTAATTTGACTGTACAACTTTTATGCCTTCATAGACAAAGTTGAATGAGATGTTAAAATACAATATTTCATTATGCACTGTTTTCAGAGCACATAAAACAGATGCTAGGCACTTGTATATCATTCATTTTTATAATATTCCCATGTGTTTGTTCAATATAAAACTATTGATCTGGACTATTTCATAATTATAGTATTTTAATCATTCAATTACAAATCAGCCTATATCCACCCCTTCTTCACATTACATTATTGATTTACCATTAACACAAATATTAACTATCAAACACATAAACACATTAACATCTGAATGTTTTATGTTGCAGATCAACACAACATGAAACAATATATTTCCTTTAAATATACGAGCTCATAATAGCTCATAACCAGAAGCAATATTTATTTCCTTTCTAAATATATATTTCAGCAACTTTTCATTAATTGTCAGCGACTTAGCTTGTTTTATATAATTTCTTGTGAAGCCAATTCTGATTTATTACTCCTGCCCTTAGCCTTTATAAAATATGTCTTTTTCATCTCAAAAGTACATGATTCCAATTTTCATTGTTTTGGTCGCAAGTCTACCAGCAATGTCTGTCTGTCTAGCTGTTTACAAATAAAATGAATTGCATGTGGTAAGTAGAAATTTAATTTAGTTATTCAGTGTGAAGTAAGTTTCTTCCAGTGAATAATTCAGCAAACAGTACATTATAAAGATTTAAACTTCTTTATAAATATGTCAGCTTTCCATCCAGCTTGTCGTTCTTTAAGCCAGATTTATCATTTTGAAGAAGTATTTGCATTTTAAATCTTAACAACAATTGCACCATTTGAGAAGTAATAGTGATGCAAAGGTTCAAAGGTAGTATCTATCAATTTTACCCGAATGTCAATTTTTAAATTTTCTGATGGCCCATTACCTCATTCTGATTTATCAGAGTCCCTCTTTACCTAACGCTTTTGAGAGACTCTGATATATCATGAGGCAGAACATGTTCCTAGCCAGTGCATTCTCCAAGTAAATCAGTGTATATGGAGGAATAAATTAGTGCCTAAGAATACACCGGGCCTGTTTTCCCCTTTGTAAACTTTAATTCAATGAATTCATTATGTGGAAAACTTTTATTTGTCTTGATGGTTCTTGTTTTTATATTGAAAGTTAATAACTATGATAATGTTGGCATACTTCTTTTTTTTATTGTTTTCCAATTTAGAATTTTAAACAATAATTATCATGAAAATGTCAAGACTTGGATTATTTGGGAGGGAATTGTGTTTGGTCACACTCATTAGGCTTTGTCTGATTATGTAATCATGCAACTGCAGGTAATTCCTTCCCATGATACTCATGATCAATAGAACTCTGTAAATAATTTAATTGGTCCGTACATTTTAGGGCTAAAGGAAACATTTATTACAGTCAGTAACCCACAGTCTGAACTATTCCAAAAGGATAGTAAAGGCTGTGGATCCCACAATGCATTACCTTATTTAAGTGAATGGTTTCATACAACTCTTGGACATTATAATGAGCATTTATCGATTTTTCAATAGACTGTCAAATCATTGTAATACTCAATCAATCAATCCATATCCTCGGGTAGATATCATTTTTATCACTGAAATGGCAAATAAGCAGGTGTCTTTATCTAACACAGATTCTTGATTACACCCAAGGGCCCCTAAAATAACAATTTTATGCAAAAGGGAAAAAAGCACACTTCTTCACAAAAGTAAGTAATTTGATCTCTGACTTGATTTTACTATTTTTATGTTTGGATTTAATACTGTAATTACCTAGGCATCATTGGTGGCAACAGCTGGGCAAAACAGCAGACTGATTTTGGACCCATCCAAAAAATAGTAACTTGTTTTTAGCACTGAAAGGCCTCCTTCCAACTACTCATTAAAATATCGTAAGTTGTGGAAAATCCCCCAAAATATTACAAAATTTGTGTTTCACTTGAATTTTTCAAAAGCTGAAAAATCAAGTCTTCACTTAGAAAATTATAATTTACCCCCACCCCCATTAGGAATACATAATCAATTATATGGTTCCCAAAGTTTTACCTCCAAGAAAGTTCTTAAAAATCCATCTGGTACTACTTGTCATTTTCAATATTATCATTTATGAAAGGAAAATGAAAGCATGTGAATACAAGAACACAAATGTGTACAAAATGTCCCCACCAAGTGGTGATCCCATGAAATGGTTATCCTGAAAATGAGTAGACAAGACTTTACCAACACAATTTGAGGACGGAAAATCCAAAGTGGCCACCTTAAAATTTACCCAGAATGCCAAAAATTTAGTCAGTTCTAGATTTTCATAGTAAGAACCACCCCTGAAAATTTGAAATTGATCCGTCACACAGTTAACCAGAAAACATGTAAACAAGACTTTACAGACAAGATTTCAGGATGGAAAATCCAAAATGGCTGCCTTGACATTTACCAAGAATGTCAAAAAACTAATCTGTTTGTAGATTTTCATACTAAGAATCATCCCTGAAAATATGAAATTGATCTACCAAACGGTTTACCTGAAAACGGGTAGACAAGACTTTACAGACAAGATTTTAGGACAGAAAATCCAAAATGGCTGCCTTAACATTTACGCAGAATGCAAAAAAAGTAATCAGATGTAGATTTTCATACAAAGAATCATCCCTGAAAATTTGAAATTGATCTATCAAACCGTTCACCTAAAAACGCGTAGACAAGACTTTACAGGCAAGATTTTAAGACGGAAAATCCAAAATGGCCGCCTTGACATTTACCGAGAATGCCAAAAAACTAATGAGATCTAGATTTTTATACTAAGAATCATCCCTGAAAATTTGAAATTGATCCACCAAACGGTTCACCTGAAAACGCGCAGACAAGACTTCACAGACAAGATTTTAGGACCGAAAAATCCAAAATGGCCGACAATAAAAAAGTCCTTATGAGTTTTTGCTGATTTCTTTTTACAAAATTATCACATATAGCTACTGTTAACAATAAAGTAGGCTTTTACAGCAAAGTACATCTGAAATTATTTATAAAGCTACTAAATAGTTAAAGTATGAAAACTCAAAAACACCATTCAATATGATACAAAGTATTATCGCGCGCTAACTTTTCTTAAGACATTCAAAATGGCTGACATGACTGAGCTAGCAGGTCCAAAACCTAATCAGATCTAGAATGAAGTGAGCTGAACAAGATGTTAAAGTTTTAAAAGCAACTGTGAAGCAGTTTTTCTTAAAGTTTGCAGACAAGGATTTTAGCATTTGACTTCAAAATGGCCGACAGGAAGTAGGTTTCGAGTTAAATTTTTTTCATCCACATCTATAGGCACTCATAAGTTATTCCTGAAAATTAGAAGGTGATACCTGTAGCGGTTTTAGAGAAAACTGCCGGACGTACGGACGGACGGACGGACGGACAGACAGACAACCAGACAGACAGACAGACGGACGGACGGACGCGCCTAGGACGACAATATGGCCCCACACTATGTGGTGGGGACATAATAAAAGTAAAGGTAGTTTTGTATTCAAATAATGAGGAAAGTGGAAATAATATTATATTTTATTTATATTTAATGTAACTGTTTGCTCAAAAGGCATTCAAGAATTATTTTCAGTTCATTATGACTAACATTAGATATAAAAGAAGATTTTCACTAGCACTTATAATATCTAAATATATCTAATAAATAATCTTACTTACCTCCTCCATTTTTATAACAAAGATAAGGAAACCTCCATACATTTCCAAGGCCTACAGCAAAGCCAACGCAAGACAGGATAAAGTCAATTTTTCTCCCCCATTGCTCCCTCTCTGGCTCATCTCCACTTTTTTCCAAGTCTTCTTCGAGTATCACTGGTTTCGTTTCACCATTTTGAACAGGTTTCTCATTGACAAAATCATATTTATTTTTTGTCATTGTAACACGTTTCTAGTTTGTGAATAGAAATTATCTTTTGTTTTTAAACTGTATCTAATTTGTTCTCTAATGATTGTCAAAACTGAAGTGAATTTAAAACACTTCAAGTTAAATCCAAAATTGTTAGATCACATACAAATCCACCCCTTGAATTTGTATCTGCTGTTTGAAACACACGTGTTTGTTCTGCACAAGTATAGGTATATCTGAAAAGTAAACAACACAAAAATTATTTACATAAATGCAAATGATCCTTGTTATTGTTGTTTATTTGTGCTTCATCAATATGGATGCAGTGATAAACAGCTCTTTAGTTTTATAACGATTAACCTTCCAACAATGATACTTAAAGGGACAAAGTGCGTAAATGAAGTCTCATTTTTGATCTTCATAGTATTTCCAATGGATTAATAAACACCTGATCTTTCATATGACACCAAAAAAAGCTCAAACAGACCTCATCAGAGTTGACACTAGCTCATGAAAATATTTTTGATCTATCAATTTATGTATGTCAAGTTTTTAGCAATGCCATAGATAGATGGCATTGTTGTTTGCATTAATTATCCATTCAGTTTTGACAGGATTTTCAAGCATACACCATCTTTTAATCCAAAAGTTATTCAAAACATACACTTTGTGAAAAGTGGTAATTCACTTTTTTCAATCTCTGAACTTCAAATGCTGTTTTCTATGCGAGTAATTTCACTTCAGTATTATCCCAAATTAAAGTTTTTATCATATTTGATTGACTGTGTGAGTGACATGTCTCAAATAATATTTTGTCCCTTTTCCTTCAAAAATAGGCGCATTGCCTGTTTAAGTTAATGTTTTCACAATACTTCAATGCAGCATCATTAACCTTTTCTCAAGTTGTCAAGATTAATTGTCTATATAATATATCCACTTTCCAGTTCATAGAAAATAAATCATGTTAAACTGGACTGACGGAAATGTTCCCTGTTGAAATTTCCCATGTAAATCCTGTAGCCCTTTCACTGATTGATTGGCTGCTTGGTTGGATCAGGTGTTGAAGCCATGTGACACCCAATGTAAGGGAAGCCACATCAATTATAATATCTGACTGTCTCCCTTATGAGAAGCCACTCAGTTCAATGCCAGTCTGACATGATACATATAAACCAACAGGTTGATTTTCCCTTGATTTTATATGAAAGGGCTGGTCATGTAAAAGCAGAAATAGAAAATATCATGAAGGGAAAATAGAAATTGATAGATTAAGGATGATCTAATTTCCACTGTAATTAGAGCATAACTATCATCTATGGGATTCTTGTTACATGTAGCAAGGATTAGCACCGATATTGTAAATAGCTTAAAAATTACAAGAGGTGAATTTTCAACAAGGATACTGTATTCGTCTATAATTTGGCAATTAAATGGTCCCCAAAAACCCCAGGAATATGTCATGTTTTTCATTCTATGCACTTTCGGTTGTAAGAAAGATATTAAGATGGCTGGGCTGTTTAAATTTATAGAAACAACAAAAAATATTGAGGAAATTTATATAAACAAGAAATATTGAAGAAATTGTTCATCAACAACACTAACAATGAGTATCTTGAATTGGCCCAATAGGCCCAAAAACAGAAAATCACTGAATTAAGTAGCGCCACATTAAAGACAAATACAGTATATGCAATGTAACTATTGCATGAACTTGGCACTTGTTTTAATTTTGGATACATCTGCAATTTAAATCTTCATCAATAACAAGTCTACAACATGTGTTATAATCCAATAGAATTCTGAAATATTTTCTAAAAATCTGCCTAATTAAATTATACAAAAATAAATACTTCAAAATTAAACCAATTTACAGTTATTTTAGGGACTTCAGTTTCCTTTTTGGAGACTTTCCTTTTAATCCTTATTGTATACACAAGCATGTTCAGTTATTTGAAAATAGTATGTTTATATTGTGATTTTTCTGTTGAATTATGCCTTACAACATGTTTTTATTTAACCTATGCACAGGAAGTTTGTCTTTACATTGATTGAAGGTTTGGGATCAATGCAACAACAGAGGATAGGTAAACAAAGGAGATATGAAAGTAAATAGATCAGATTTGTTTTTTTGAAATAGAACATCACTCAAAAGGACCTGACTGATCATTATCTCACTTTGTGGCTTTGAAATGATACTGAGCCACAAACATGTCTTATCTTTCTCTCCACATCCTTTAAAATCTTTAAAACACAACATATTGATTGTGAATTCATGTTTTATTGATTTTCTTTAAAAATTGGCATTATGTCAAGTTCTGTTTTAAAGCCATACTCATTCTGAAGTGATTCTAATAGCATAGTAAGAGAAAATTGCCTCTTGGGTAAAATGGACTGTGGGATGTAGTAATTTGATATACTGATGATTTACTATCTTAGTAATGAAGGATGCCATAGCCATATAATGTATACTAGTATATATCCAGAAATATGTAGCACATACAAGCAGCATGAACCTTGGCTACACAGAGAGAAGTCTAGCTACAAGCCTCTGTGACCCCCCTCTACTTGACTAAACACCTTCTCACACAGTGTGCAAGGGCTATTGTAGCTAGACTATGCAGAGAAGTTTTCTTAACTATGATACACTTCTACCAGAATACTACAGAATAAAATATGGCAGCCCAGGGTATGACAGGGTGTGTATACTTGCTAGTCTACCGGGCCATGATAAGGCTAGGTTAATAGGTTTTTCCAAGTACTATGGTAGTCGTAAATGTTCAAAATATATGCAAGGGTATGACAGGGTGTGTATACTTGCTAGTCTACCGGGCCATGATAAGGCTAGGTTAATAGGTTTTTCCAAGTACTATGGTAGTCGTAAATGTTCAAAATATATGCAATTAAATATCAAGGATGGTAAATAAGGTCAATGATCTGCTATTCTATTATCGAGTATGAACATTGGTTGAAAAAAGATCCTATTAATATGAGCACATTATTTCATCCCATCCTTAGAACAAGTACAGATGCATGAACAGATAGAAGAGTTCTCTTGAAAAGAACCCCCCTCGAATTTCTGGTAAATAAGAGAGTTTTGTGTATTTTTTTCAGGATAACTGTACATGTACTTTCTGTTCCAGTGTCTGTTAGAGCAAGCATGTTACTGATTTTAACCTAAAACAATCAATAAATTTTGGCACATAGGGGTATAAATCTGAAAATAAGCTGAGGAACCTCAAATGATTATGAAGCCTGTCCACTTCCAAAAGCATTTTTTTCCAAAATGACTCTTTTTCTAAAAATCAGCTTCTGAAATTATTCTCATTTAAACATGAAGACAGAGAACTAAGAGTACTAAGGCTAGCATCATTTCAAATGGACATGATCTTGCATAGACCTAGGCCTAATTTCTAAAATCAAAGTCATGATGACCTGAAGGGAGGTAGACTATATAGCAGTTAGATATACTGCACTTAAATGAGCCAATGTATACTTTCAATGTCCTATTTAGAAAGAATATGCAATATAATTTCTCAGAACCTAATATTAAAAGAAAACCTCTGATGAATAACCCTAGGTGAATAACATTGCAGCTTTGTTGTAAAACCACGTGGTTTGCGTTTCATTGGTTGTATTTGCGCAGAAAATTTTCCAGGGAAATTTTTGCTCACATAATCCCATTTTTCTCTAAGAAAAGCATTTTGAATGAAATCTTTTTTATCGCAAATAATGCACAGACTATTCACACATACACACAGGCTAAAATTAATACAATGAACATCACAGTTAAGCTAAAATTTAACAGAAAAATATAAATGTGCTACTCACCTTCATTCATTGACTGAAATCCGCGCTAGAAACTATTTCTGAGGGAACCAATCAGAACCGGGCACCATCTAGGTCAAATAATTTGTAAACAAAACAATGTTTACACTGGACGAAAGTATTATTACAGGCTCTCTATTACCGGGAATAAGGCCACAAATTTGAGTGTTTGTGCATGGGAGATAATTATCCACATTTGAATTTGATTTCTCCCCGGGATTTCTCCTGATGAAATATTTAATGCGATTTTCAATGTATTTGTGAGATTATTTAATACCTTCATAGCTAAATATATACTTAATTGATACATGAGTTAGGTATAGCCATGGATATTGAAGATAAGGATTGGATCAGTTATATGAAATTCAAATTGTGCTTATATTAGTACATATTAGATGAACCCAAAATAATGTCAGGATCTGTCAAATGAGGTACAGTAGCTCTTTTAAAGGCATAATGATATTATATAGGGACCTTTGGGACCCCAGGCTGTTAAAAAAATACAACTCATCTTACTCATGCTGTTGACTGGGAACCTAAATGTTTAAACAAGGCATTAACATGCAAAATGTCACCACCTGACATTTGTTACAGACACCGAGCACCTGACGCCAAATGCCATTACAAAAAAAATTGGAGACCATAACAATATGTCACCACTTTTGGTGGTGACATTATAGACTGAAAAACATAAAATTCAAACACATGTTATACAGTATTATAATTTTCATTTATTGTGCACATATGTGCACAATGTGCACATATTTATCATTTACACTTCCTATTTACATTTATATATAATTTTTACATCTACAGTACAGTACTAAACACCAACATGTGCTTTCTAAAAATTATCAAAATGAAATCATGTGCAATTCATTCCAGAGATGTTTTTAGATTCAGGATAATACCAAATCATATACATGTACATTGTGTCATCTAGCATGAGGCCTACCCCCCTACCTCCCTAACCTACACATAATGCTACAAATGTAATGAAAGGGGGGGGGGGCTAGAGACTTGATTCATGACTAAGTTGAAAGTGCAGAATATATATAAGACACCTATGGCTTCTGCAGTGCGTATGCCTCAGAAGTAAAGTGAAAAGTGCCGCCAAGTGTCACATTGTTTTAACATTAATCGAAATGCAGAGAAAACAGAGAACCATGTTCCACAACTTCCACTCACAGACAATAATATTTACATACACTTGTTCAAAAGGTACATATTATTCAATGAATTATCAGCCTTATCACTTAAGAATATTGTACAAGTATTTGAGTGTATTTCAAAAGCCCTCATGTATTATTATCAACTGTTACTCGTTACTTGTTTACCCATAGACTGAAAACAACATGGGTGGCATAAAAACAGATAAATGTAGCAGATGATGTCTATCCAGATTTAGCCATATCCTTACATCAAGGATAAATTTTGTCTACCCCCATCCTTTAATGTAGTATTTAATGTACCATTCGTATAACAGGTAGAAATGATGCCATCCAAAATCTTAATGTGAGATTTGTGAAGCCACAACTTAATTTGGATAATGCGAGTGAACAACATTTCAATAAAATCAACATTGACTAAGATTGCGATGACTTTTCAACATAAGTGCACATATTTCAACATGACCCTATCTTCATATTATAATCACACTTTGATTACTCAAAGGGCAGACGCAATACTTGACAACTGAACCCATTCAGTACTATTTCAGTACTACTAGTCTTCAACTATACAGGCCATGTTTGATAAATGTCCAGTAAAGGGTTCAATCTTAGGAGGGTGAGAGGTTTTTTCAGTTGCATGTCCACTAAAGAATAAATAAATGAGGTAACAAACACTTTTCTCTAGTCTTGTATCAATCCCTTGTAAACCCCAGCCCCCCCCCCTCAGCCTCTACTTACATACATACCTTTAAGGAATGGAAATAGAATAATGGGGGGGGGGTGAGGTAATAATTCAAGTACTACTAGTACTGCAATCATAATATTTGTTGCTATTCATAATATTGTAGCACAATGCATACAGTTGGTTGGTGTCAGCTATGAAATAATCATAGGCAAAGATCGAAAGAAATAATTTTTAAATAAAGATGGCATGGTAATCGATCTGTGTTTATTTATAAAGATAATACTGGATTCTGTTGGTGCTGCCATCTTTATATCGGCCCAGAACCTATGGAAATAATGAATATTACCAATAATGACTTGTAAAAACCAACTGCAAATTCAGAATCAAGTATTAACATCTTTACATAGATACATACAGGTAGCTATACAAGTACATTAATTACAATAATTTCAAAGGGTCAATAGGCTGTCATTTAAATCAAATTTGATTTTATTATCAGCTGCTTCTTGTATACATTCTCATCTTCACTCAAATGTTTGTTTTTTGTATGAAACTGTAGTCTTACATCAAAGCTTTGAACCCTCCCTCTTTTCTACTTATAGATGGGGGTCCAAAGAGCTTGAGACAAGACTAATGACGATTTTTTGAAGTGATCACTTTAAGGCCAAGGCTCCCCTATTAAGCACACATATTTTTGCAATAAATGTTCATTTAAAAAGTGACTAACCTTTGGAGTTATAATTGTATTTCATTTACTACTATAAATCACTTTTTCAAATGTACAACAACTCTTATATACGACTGTCTCATTTATCAACCTCTGTGGCCTATGTATCTATCTGCTTGATTTGTAAAAAATATTAAACAGTTACTAACATTTTAATATTGCACATTTTGAACTCATCAACATTTATTTATACATTGGTACAACAACAAAGTGTGTGTGAAATTGTATGCGTAAACTATGTGATTAAAGCCTATAGGACAAAACTACCTGGCTATGGCCCCTACCATGTATGTTATAGAATTATTAATTATTACAGTTGGACTGCAGATAGGAACACACACTGGCCATTCATAGAAAATGACAAATTCAAAAATTCTATATGAAAATGTCTGCTTCGTTGTTGTACCTTTGTATAATATAAATAAAATATTTAATATTATGAAAGCGAAGATGAACTACATTGAGAATATTAGGTACATGTATTAAGAGTCTCCAAGAGGGTTTTACCTTTCCAAGACAGATAGCATATTTTCTCAAAATTGCACATCCTGCTTTCATACTTTGTACTCCTATTTGACTCTACCATTGAACAACAATGCCAGTTTCAAGATATATTACATGCACATAAGTAGAATTCCTAGATCTCACAATTACATCATTAAGGCTGAAGCATGACAATTGCTTGTCCATATGATATGAACCTTACAACCTGCACAAGCATGTATGCCAATGACTTTTTTAAGTTGCATTAAAAGATCTGAAAAATCTGCTTTATAATAGAAGTTTTAATGTTCCACCCATAAAGGAAATGGAGGTAAAAGTTACAATTAAACATGTATGAGACACCAATGTCCAAACTATAAATATGATTGAATATGTACAGACTTGCAGTCAATTAGTCCATATGGACAACATTTCTAATCATTATTAGCGAGAGAATAAAAGGTGTCGATTTTTATCATTCTCATGTCCACATATTGGCCTGATACAAATACATGTAGCTTAAATTTTGACTTCATAAATATGGTAAAAATTTCCCTGATCAATTCTAATATGAGTAAATTTTCAGGTGAGAATGATTTGATATTCAGTGCAGAACTCATACATGTATAATTGGAATTCTCTATGATATTACCTAGATGCATGTGATATTATTTTTCACAATAATCACAGAACATTTGATCTATTCTGATACATTTACTGTTATAGTTTTGCCCTTGGGGTCGTCAAATCTGTCCATCGTATCCAGCCTCATTATCATGGCTAAACCGAAGGTTAAGATCGAGATGAGTATGAGAGACGTTATGAGCCCCATCCAAATACCAATGCTGAAGAAACCATCACAGTCATCGGGGTATGAGAACTTGCTATCTTTGTCAGTCATAAATGGTTCCACCTGAAAATACACCAAGTTTTGATTATCAATCATGCCGATTTTTTTTGTTATTCACAACTTTTTTGAATCTGTTTAATCTCAAATATATGGCCATATCACAAATACTAAAGCTGTCAGGGAACAAAAATAGAAAATGACAGAAATATTATTATATTTTTAGACAGGACATTTGGGATAGGATGAGACATAAAATAACATCACATTTAATATATTTGTATACTCTGTTTGAGGATATCAAAAGCCATATAAACATGTAGTATGTTCCAATCACTGACCAATATCTTTAGGTCCATGGAACTTATGGAAGCTGTCCTGGAGTTGACAATTTTGGGAAACCACAACTTTCTCTGATGAAATTTTGACAACTTCTAGTTTATATGGTACATTATAGATGGCAGCTCCTCCTTAGTAATTTTAAAAACCCTGTTCAGGTTGGGGGAGGGATTACTGTCATGCCATATTCAAGAATATAAAGAGATTTTAACATTTTTTAAAAGATAATATGGATTTTTAGATAACTAACTTTTGGCACATTGCTTGGAAATCCAACGATTTTGCTGGGCTCGTAGCTAGTAAATGAAAGATTTTTTGATTTTTGAATTCTAAAGATATTGAGAGTAATTGAAAACATTTTCTTGTAATTTTAAAGATTTTCTTGAAAGTTTAAAGATTTTGCTAGTAATTCAAAAGATTTTCTTGGAATTTTAGAGATTTTACTTGTTATTTTGTCACACATTATACATACTGTAGCTCTGATCGTAATTTGTATTGTGAATACAATTGATGAATCTCTTGAGAGTATCAACGGACTTTAGAAAAAAAGATAAGATAAAAACATACAACAATTGCAACCTAGAATGACCCATATGTTTATTTCTGAAAGTAAGTATAGAGGGCAGCACCTCCTTGGCATATTCATAGCTGTATTACAAAATTTTGACCACTTTGTTGCCAACAATTGACAAACAAACCCAGAATATAGAACAAGTTATTGAATGATATGAAATCAAAAACTAAGGGGAGGGGTATTCATAAAGGGGAAGAATATCAACCGATATCTGATCTCTTAAACAACACCTTTTAAATAAATGAGTTGGGGGAAGGTCTTATTTTGCTTTATTTCCCTGGGAGTACAATCCTTTTCAGCGTGTATATAATTTACCTGAAGTCCCTGGAAAACAACATCGGCCTTGGTTGTCCCCTCTGTCTGATTGATGCCCCTTGGATTGGTACAATGGTAGGAGAACTTTGTGGCAGCCTTCAGGATCTTCCCAGCATCTGTCATCTTTGCTCCATCACTTGTGAAGCCACCTCCAGCATAGTTTAATGTCATATTGGATGTCCAGCCATTGAAGCCACCTTTGAATGTGAACTCCATCTCTAAGGTTGTAAATGTAGGGGCAGCATTAAAGGCCAGCTTTATCCTGGAAATGAAATAACATTACATTACATCATCAGGGAAACTTTATGAGGCAAACTTTATAAGGCAAACTTTATGGGGCAAACTTCACGAGGCAAATTGAATGGGACAAACCACTCAATTTGTGAAAATCATATGCCTATAATTTGTGCAACTACTGTAACTTGCCTTCCAATTTGTGCAAGTTTCTTGTTTTACAAATTGTGCAAGTTTCTTGTTCAACATTTTATGCAACTTTATGTTTTACAATATGTGCAACTTTCTTGTTAATATTTTGTGCAACTTACTTTTCTAGACTATGTGCAACTTACTTGTTTTACAATATGTGCAACTTACTTGTTTTCTGTGTCGGTACATGTTCCCGTAACTGAAGCAGGTGGCAACATATTGGCTGTGAGAACCTGCACAACTTTAGGGTTCTGCGTCCACACTGATATTGTGATGTTTTTTGCAAATACTGTGATACAAGCTGGACCAGATTCACTTTTCTTAACTGTAGCCAGGAAGTATTTGGCAGGGTCAGTTTGGAGAAGATGACGGCCACCAAAAGCCTCTCTTTCACTGCGCACCTAAAACATTCAAATCATATGTAAAATAAAATTTTTGTTTTGCACTTACAGGTTATATAAGTTATATATATATGTGCATGTAAATAGCCAGAGGAAATCAAAAATACAATAATTCAGTATTTTGTATTCGTGCAGGATCTTTACAATGTTGAAGGACTAATAATAAAGAAGACATATTCTGACACCAATATAGTTTAAGATACTTGTTCTCGGACAAGAAGTTACATTTCTGTCACTTTCTGTACATACAGTAGATTGGACAAGCTATTCCTGAAATTCAATAAATTCAGAATGTAAGATATTATACAAACTTACATTAAATTCAGGGTGGGTTGCATTTTAGCTCACTCGATCAGTGTATGTGAAAAAAAAGAATTTTAATCAAATTCCTTTACTGGCACTGCATCAATATTTCGAGATGCAACATAGAATATAATACCCACCTTGGAAGAATCCTTGGCAGTGTAGATTGCTGTAAATGCCTTGTTAGACAGCTGTTTCATGGTCTTCCCAATGATGATATCTGAAAAACACACATTTAGGCAAGATTCTGAATAGACATTCTTTATCTCCATACAAGGCAAAATTTCATTTGAGCACAAGCATAAAAACTACAAAGCTAAAAACAGAAAATGTTCAATAATCAATAATCAATATCATACTCCCATGCAGATATCAAATGGGGCGTACACAGCTCTCCATATTAACCACACACAGTAAATACATAAAATAAATACATGGCATTTTGTTATAATTAGAAAGCACTGTCTGGGATTCTCAAAATAGCATTATTAGATCTGACTTAAGCAGCACTTGCTGTCGATCCTAAAGCGCTGGTTTTAATGAGCTCAACTGGTGCGAAAATTCAATGTAAAATTCAACGAATGCTATTTTGATCTGGTAGCTGGATTTTTATCAACCAGTATTCCAAAAAGCTGGATCAAAGGATATCTAGGTCAAAGAATGTGGATGAAGCTCTATGTTAAAGAAGGAAAATCAAACTATTGAGATATCATAAGACACTCACCATTCTGCTTCAAGGCTTCACTTGCAGACTTGCCCGGAGAACGACTACCCGGCAACTGAACTATGTACATATTATTGCCCTTTTCTAGGTGGGAAATACCGTCCTTCACCTCATGGATGTTGCCAGGGAATCTCTGCCTGATGGCTGTTAAAGCTGATTCAGGATTGGCTACTTTAGCTAGGTGGGTTGAGGAGTATTTCTCCATGGAATTCTACAAAACAATATGGATACAGTATGTTACATGGCCAGATGATATCCCTTTCAAAATAAACCTCCAGTCAGACATGAGCCAGACAGAATGGCAAGATTATCCAAGGCATTAATGTTATCACTTGCCTTTTGTTACAGAATCGAATCACCTACCGCCAAACACCAAGCACCATCCACAAAAAAGTTGAAGACTTAAAAAATATGTCTTGTCACCCGTTTTGGTGGTGACATAATTAAGGCTATATGGTAGAAGAAAAGTGCAATCTTAAATCCCAGTATTTTGGAGTTCAATGAATAAGGCCATCCAAATCACCTTGATTATTTATCTCACTCCGGCTTTATTACCCGAGCATTCAGAAGCATGTTTCAATTCCATATTAAAGGCTGAGATAGGAATTACCCATCAGCAATAGGCCCATTTTGACCAATGAGAACTCCTGATTTAATGTAACTGAGTGAGACAGTATGGCTGAATGGCTGGCCCTCTACTTACCTTTACATTATGGAATGTGTCCCCAGTGCCTGCCTCATTATATGCATCTCCATATAAACTGAAGTCTTCTATACTGAGCTGAAAGTAAAATAACAATATTTATCCCAATACTTGGATCACCTCTGCTGGGGGCACCTTCCAGATAACAATCGGATATAGTCGGAGCATGGGCAAAGTACCATTGCGTAGCCCCTGAAATCCGAGGAAGGGAGACTACTGATGATGTATCTTGGTAGCCAGTATAGATGAGCACTATGTGTTTTTATTTATGAAAGTTTTAGTTTAGAAAGGTGTTACTTCAACAACAATCAATAAACTTTATTTCTTCATAGCTATCATTGTATTTTCAAAAGGAAGGGGCCTACAACAACAATGCCAGAAAATACATGGACTATAATTGAACTTAAAATGTTTATAATCTTGTATGTTACAATTATGCTTTGAATAACAGAATAACACATAGAATCAATATATTGTTTACCTTGTCTTGCATGAATACAACTAGATTTTGTTCTTTCTCTTGTATTAGTTGTTCTAAGTATTGTTTAGTGAAGTCCTCTGCATTTATTGAGTGGCCAGCTAATGCTGTTGGAATAGCTTGCATTGATCTGAAACAGTAATATCGGAGATGGAATGCTGTTTTGAAATACAAGGTGACACAAAAAGGTGCCACCCACATCATATTAAATGACTTTTTGTCTCTATGATTCCTGGCTTTCTTTTTTGCAAAGTAAAACTAAACTTCATGGAGCAACTCCACAAGAAGTTTCAGATGACTAGCTCAACTGGATACACTTTCATGAGCATTATAAGATTTTCTCTAAATGTCAGGCACACCTGGATTCTATAGGTAAAGTTATTGACAACCATAACATATTCCCCTACAAAAATGGCCCTAATCTTTCTTGTGACCTCTATCTTCGGGTGTTCTATGGTTTGAAGGTTTGTTACATACAAATGATCCTTCAAGTACCCCCAGAGATAAAAATCTTGAGGGGTTTATGTCAATAACTTTGCCAGTAGAATCCAGAAGTGTGCCTGCAATGGAATGGATGACATTTAGATCACATCTTGTAACCATCATAAAAGTCAACATAATTGATCTTGTCATCTGAAACGTCTTGTAGAGTTGCTCCATAAAGTCTAGTTTGAATGTGCAAAAGAAGAGATCAGGAATCATATAGACAAAAAATTCATTTATGATCATATATAGTTTTATATTGACAGGGACTTGGTAAGTGTGGTTGTAACGAGACACAGGGTACAAAATAGACAAATTGAAAAAGATCTCTGCATGTGCAATTCCAATGGATGAACTTCCATTGGAGAGAATAGTAAGATTTTTTATTTTCATAATTTTCACCAACAAAGAGGTTGATTTGTGTCCAGGTGTTAAAAATGTAATAAAACTGTTTTGGTAAATCTAGATTATATTTATGCCACTTTACCATTACTCCCATAAATGTGGGGTTGATTTTTCAAATCAAAATCTACCCTACACATTTATATAGAGGTACTTTACCGTATGAAGGCCACCATTTACAATGGTGAACCACCTACACTTCCAAAAGTTTATATTAGGGATATAAGGTCAGCCCATGTCTGTTTTTGTGGGGCACTGTCACATGGGGCATATAGGTGTAACATGTTTATAAATGTAAACAATATTGGGCTGATGGTATTCGGGTTATTGCCAGACATATGTAAGTATGCAGATAAGTACATAATGGTAAGAGCCGTTCTCTATATCCCCCTGAACTTTGTTCGACGGACTCCAAGATATTCCCCTTTTGTGTAGAGTACATGGCGGCAATGTGGTCAATGTAAGCAATTGTCGGACAAATTACTGCATCCACTGAGTGTATGACAATTACCTACAAGGACAACATTGCCTCTATGTTCTCTAAAGGAAACAGGTCAATAATTTCTCCAATCTCTAGATTTCAAAATTTCAATTTTTTTCATTTTGATATGTGTTATTTTGAAAGTGAGCATATACAGAGTGTTCTTGTCTAACATTCTCTAATAATCTTAGAGAACTGATCTAATGATCATGAATCAAGATTTTTGAAAAGGGGTGTACTTTCAGTCGAAGAGTAATCAGACATTATGCCAATATTTGAGAGTCAAATCGAGATCAATATAGAATTTTTTGATGATAATAAATTCCTTCTTACTTTTGGTTGCTCCATATCAGGACTGGAATGTGGTTAGAGGCCACAATAAGGCCAATTTGTAACGAAATGAAAAAGAAAATCGATTTTCTTCCGTCCGCCATTTTGACTTTTCGATCATGTGACTCGGCGAAATCCCGAAAATCCTCGTAAAATGTCACGTGTACGTTCTTTTTTCTCGCACAGAATTCATCATGGGTGAGTTTTAAAATTCTCCATAAACCTTTTAATTTTACGATAAATACTCGTTACATCTCATTATTTCAAAAGCCTAAAGGTAAATGATATATCTAAGCAACATCCTAAGTTCATAATAAGATAACTGATTCATTGAATGTGATGATTTTGCCACCCAAAATTTTATAATTTGTCCACCATTGCTGAACATGTGCTAAATTTCATGTACGAAATCTCGAGGAAGTAAGAGCAAGAAGTTAACGGTTGACAAATTTTTATATCTGGTGATCACAGATTTATGGCCATAATTGCAGTTACATTTTGTAAAGATTGATGTCAATGTCCTGAGTTTTTGATTATTTTATGAGCTAGATTTTTTGGGAAAAATGGCAAATTGTTTCTGCTCCATTATGATGATAATGATAATGATGATAACTAAACTTGACACAAAAGCATAGTTTTTCTTCATGATTTTATATTTTTAGGTAAGCCCAGGGGAATTCAGACCGCTCGTAAACTGCGAACCCATCGTAGATTACAAAAGTGGCACGATTTAGGCTACAAGAAATCTCATTTGGGAACAAGATGGAAGGCCAACCCTTTCTCTGGAGCTTCTCACGCTAAAGGAATCGTCCTTGAGAAAGTGTACGTATTACTTAACTTTTAGTGAAATTGTTATCAATGTCGATCTATATACCAAAAACTAGAGTCCATTTCACTGCTTCAGTTCGTCAGTAGAACGGCAAAAATAAGAAATTGGAAGACCATTGTGCAATAATATATGGAAAAGTATATTCATAATGTACATGAATGACATTTGTATATCTTGGATTGCTTCTAGTTTGGCTTATAAAGTGTGTGGCCTCTTCAGGGTTCGTACACACCTGGAAATGTCAGGGAAATTGATTTATTTTTCCAGGTGCTGGAAATGTCAGGGAATTTTAAAATTGGGTCAAAAAGGGCCAAAAATGTCAGGGAATTTTGAAACAGTAGATGTGTCAGGGAAATGTCAGGGAATTTTGTATCATTGTTGAAAAAATAATGTTCCAGCAAAATACATTTTAGGGCTCTGACAGGATATCAGTGAAATCCCAAATCATTTAGTTGTTTCCACAAATTGCAAATCTTTTCATTAGGGTTGATTGAATGACATTAGATCTGGTATTGTCTATTTGTAAGAACAGTGTGAACATAATACTGAAACCGAACAATAAAAATAATGTATAGATTATTTAATACAATTATGCTTTTCCATGTAGTAAGCTTAGTCTTAGGCCATTCAAATTTAATTACTGGTATATGTTTCATGGTTTGTTGAGGGGTTAATCTGAGGGGGGAGGTGAAAAACAAAAAAAATTCTGGGAGCTCTTTACAGTGTAAAGTGTTAAGTTGTATTTTTATTAAGAAGCTGTCTGTTCGACAGTCCGGTTGTACGTCAGTCTTTTCAACCTTCAGGGGCTTTGCCAATTTTGAAAACCTTAGCACATGGAAGTACGCAACCAAAATGTGTGTGGGGTACTATTAACAGTTGTTGAATTTGGTCCAAATTTTTCTTCGTGTAAAGATGAACCCAGCATTTTACTTTGGCTCAAATTTTGTATGATGTAGCCTTAGGGACATTGGACCTGCTCAAGAAGAAATATTCAAGATGGTCTCTGAATTCAAAATTGCCACCATTTTTTATGAAATCTTTTATCATTTAAATTTGATTCCTGATAACACAAATACCGATTATTTGATTTGGTATCATAGGCCTGAGCCTTATCGTGGTGCTACTTGAGAATGGTGTCAATTGTTTTGGTGTAATTTTCCCAAAAGAAGACAATAATAATGCCAGGTTATTGCTATATAATGTTCACAATGATAGTATTCAATAAAAATATGTTTCATTAGGTGGGAATTGCCCCTCAAGTGAGTTGCTATTTTTTCTAGTAGGATTTAGATCAAAATTTTAAAGTTTTAGTTGTCATTTGGATTCATTACAAAACATTAACAAATTATAGTTTGAAATGCTTAGAATGCACCTTATACAATATCAATTTAAAATAATTTCCGGGGGTGAACCTCCGTACCCCTCCCCCCTTTGGGTTACTTTTACTCGCAGTGATGCAAACCAAAAAAAATTACACCCTCTTGACACTTGCTGGCTTCACCCCTATACATGTCTGTTTACCGTTGGCCTTATGCAATGTAAAATATGTAATATTAAAAATATAATGTATCAGGAATAAATTGGTGAATCAGATGGCCTGTACAAAGTAAAGTTAAGTCATGAGAAATGGTACTGAAGGAGAAACCCAAAATGTTTCATAAGTCTTTTTGTCTTGAATAACAGTTGTTTGAGACATTTTAGAGGCCGTGCGAGGAAAATCAGATCTGGAAATTTCCTTTTTTGCCTGGAAATGTCAGGGAATTGTCAGGGAAATTCATTATGAAAAAGGTGTACGAACCCTGCTCTTATATTTGGATGTTTCTCTGCCATGTTATTTTCAATAAGATTAACATGGCTGAAATTCTTCAAATTACAAGACGGCACAGGCTTATTGCACAAAAAACTAAAAAATCTGAAATATACAAATGTCATTCATGTACATTATGAATATACTTTTCCATATATTATTGCACAGTGGTCTCCCAATTTCTTGTTTTTGCCGTTCTACTGACGAACTGAAGCAGTGAAATGGACTTTAGATTGTGAACCAATCATGAGTGCAAACAGTTTTATTCCATATCAACAATGCCAAGGCATCTTAAACAACTAACAGCCCATTTCATTGTTTTATTTGCGTCAGTAAAATCTAAAACATATGAAATCAAAAGATCATTATGCAATAATATATGGAAAAATATATTCCTATTGTACATAAATGACATTTGTTTTTCTTGGATTGCTTCTAGTTTGGCTAATAAAGTGTGTGGCCTCTTATATTTTCAATTGCTTCTCTGCCATAGTATTTTCAAAACGATTAAGACATGTCTGAAATTCTTTACAGTTGGGGACATAAATAAATGACAGGTGGATTTGCTGAAGTGAGGATTTCCCATATTAAAAATAAGAGAATTTACAAGAGGCCATACATCAGTGGATGAGATTATACAAAATGTAAAATATACAAATTTTAAGGGATATATATCTAGACAATATTGGAAATTATGGGCTTTCAGACCACCATAATTAGGAAATGGTGATCGAAAATCGACCTGTCATTTATTTTTGTCCCCAATTGTAAATTACTAGAGGGCACAGGCTTATTGCACAAAACACTAAATAATCTGAAATATACAAATGTCATTCATGTATAATGTGAATATACTTTTCCATATATTACTAATATTGCACAATGGTCTCCTGATTTCTTATTTTTGGCGTCCTACTCAACTGACGCAATAAAACAGTGAACTGGGCTTTAAATGAATGAAGTATGCTTTAGAACTTGCTATGCATGTGTTATACACATATTATACATTGAAAATGTTAGCTATTGTTCCTAAAGCAGCTGTTGTCTTACAATATATTGTGAACACGCTTTTCTCCTTTTATCAACAATAATAAAACGAATGAAAATTGCCAATTGTCTCCACCAATGCCTGTATCTATTTTATTTGATCTATAATTATGTCCAAGCTCATTGTTGCCTCGTTTTAAAGAAATTTGCTCTTTTCACCATGTGAGCCTATTGATGATTATTGAATGATGTTATTTTTATTGCACAAAGTGATTTATTGCACTCTTATGCTGATGGGTGTTTGTGCGGCTGCCACATAATCAAATCTTGTCATCATGAATTCCAGAAAAAAACACTTCCCTGTTCAACTTGAAATTTTTACAGATGCAAAAGCTAGTGCCAAGATCTGATAAGGTTTAGGGTAAATTACATGGTCATCATATAATTTATTAAATAAATCTGCCGATTTGAATTTCAGGAAACTGATTGTTGAGTCTGGAACTTAAATTTTTTACATATTAGACCATCAAACTGTGATGCTTATAACTGTGTCTTGTTTGAATTCTTTGGAATTGTTACTGTGATGATAGAAAGCATTTGGAGACCTTTTGATTATCTGTGATATCAAAAGTGCATTAACCATTTCTGAGTGACATATTTCCATAATCCAGGGCTTGCATTAACGGCGTCCCTTACATGTAAGTGACGCAAAAAAAATTTGTAGGACGGAAAAATAAAAAATATTTCCGTTTTTGGGACGGAAAAAAAATTGAGTCAAAACTTTGAACATTTTTTGAAAATCTTGAAAATCTCAATAGTTGATCATGTTTGACTTCTTTGAGGTGTATATTAAGATCAAAATATGTGAGATTTACAACTTTATTTTGAGTAAAAAAGAAAAAGAATGCAGAAAAACGAACTATTGTAATGGGCGATAATAGGTTATCAGTTTGCATGTGACATATTTTTCTCACTGAAAAGCTGATATAAAACCTTCAAAATGAGTTCAAATGATGCATACTCACCTAGGTGAAGTAGTCTATTTGTGATTATATAACGTCAAAATGGTCTAATTTATGATATAAATCAGAGGATTCTGATCATGTAGAAAATGTAGTGATACACTAAATTACTGAGCGTCAGATAAATTCATACTAAAAAATGTTCTTATTTTTTCAAGCAGTTGTTCAGTGCAAACAGCAAGTATAAAGATAATCACAGTATAATAGTACTTACTATAACAGGCTGGAGGTTACATAACATTAGTGAATTGAATATAAAGAACATGTTTAAATCACAGGGCACGAATGGCAACATTTTGAAAACACATAAGACATGTAAGATCAAGTCATGCACATTCCAAAATAGCCCATTATAGCTAATTTAGCTAATTTAGCTTATATATTGGAGGACACACTTTTTTCAGTCGGGACTCACTTTTTAAAAATTTTTCCTTCATTGGGACTCACATTTTTCAGAGCCTAATGCAAGCGCTGCCATAATCTGTACTTGCTTGCTTCGGTGATGCTTCTGGATTTCTTCTAGTTTGGCTAATTAGTGTTTGGCCTCTTATATTTTGATGCTTCTCTGCCATAGTATTTTCAAAATGATAAACATGTCTGAAATTCTTTAAATTACAAGAGGGCACAGGCTTATTGCACAAAACACTAAATAATCTGAAATATACAAATGTCATTCATGTGTAATATGAATATACTTTTCCATATATTACTAATATTGCACAATGGTCTCCTGATTTCTTATTTTTGGGGTTCTACTCAACTGACGCAATAAAACAGTGAACTGGGCTTTAAATGAATGAAGTATGCTTTAGAACTTGCTATGCATGTGTTATACACACATTATACATTGAAAATGTTAGCTATTGTTCCTTCAGCAGCTGTTGTCTTACAATATATTGTGAACACGCTTTTCTCCTTTTATCAACAATAATAAAACTAATGAAACTTGCCAATTGACTCCACCAATGCCTGTATCTATTTTATTTGATCTATAACTTCGTTCAAGCTCATTGTTGCCTCGTTTTAAAGAAATCTGCTCTTTTCACCATGTGAGCCTATTGATGATTATTGAATGATGTTATGTTTATTGCACAAAGTGATTTATTGCACTCCTCTTATGCTGATGGGTGTTTGTGCTGGTGCCACATAATCAAATCTTGTCATCATAAATTCCCCGTTCAACTTGAAATTTTTACAGATGCAAAAGCACACTACTAGTGCCAAGATCTGATAAGGTTTAGGGTAAATTACATGGTCATCATATGATTTATGTAATAAATCTGCCTGTTTGAATTTTTCAAAGATATTGTCATTAGAATTTCAGGAAACTGATTGTCGAGTCTTGAACTTATCATTTTTACATATTAGACCATCAAACATCAAAATGTGATGCTTATAACACTATGTCTTGTTTGAATTTTTTTGGAATTGTTACTGTGATGATAGAAAGCATTTGGAGACCTTTTGATTACCTATGATATCAAAAGTGCATTAACCATTTCTGAGTGACATGTTTCCATAATCTGAAGTACATGTACTAGCTAGCTTCGGCGATGCAGAGATTTCTGAAATGGGATTCCTCCCAAATATTATATTAAGTGAATGTTGTTTATTTCAGTGGAGTAGAAGCCAAACAGCCTAACTCTGCTATCAGGAAGTGTGTAAGAGTACAGTTGATCAAGAACGGCAAGAAGATCACAGCCTTCGTACCCAATGATGGTTGTTTGAACTATATTGAGGTAAGTATACATGTTTTGTCTGTTGTAGTATCTGTATCGGATCTAGTGAGCAACCTTTACAAGTCTTCCCAATTTTGGAATATTTTTAGGCTCAGATCATTCCTTGTCATGTCTATTTTCTAAACATTCCCACATTACCTACTTCATCTGAAGAAAACTTAATATTTTCACCATAATGTGTTCTCACTGTAAATAAAAGATGGTCATCACATTTATTATTTGATAGACCTTTTGGGGTATGTTTGAGTTGATAAAGAATTGTTGTTCTTTGTCACCACATATGTCTCACATTCTACCTTAATAAATCAAATAATCACCATTTGCTTTGTTTCCAGGAGAACGACGAGGTCCTCGTTGCTGGATTCGGTCGTAAAGGTCATGCTGTGGGAGATATTCCCGGAGTACGATTCAAGGTGGTCAAGGTCGCTAACGTATCTCTGCTCGCTTTATACAAAGAGAAGAAGGAACGACCAAGATCATAGACACTTCTAATTACCTGTAGCAGCCAACTTGTATAAATAAATACCGTAACAAGATTTAAGTTTTATGTTTTTTGAGCCTGTAGGGGCCATTTCAGTAGACATTCAAGTAAACATTGCCCTATTTTGCAAGATCCATGATGTAAGAGGTATCAGGTTCTAGAAAGGTCCAAAAATTATTGACAAAAACTGATCTGTTGCAACTTCTGTGACACGGGTTTGCTATAATGTTCTAATGTATAGGTGGTGCTGGTTGAGTTAACAGTCATGTAGATAAAGTGAATATAACTAATCAAAAATCTCATTGGTTGACATGCTCAATATCTTGAATATACATGTGATGTCACTGGTCCCCCTTTCACCAACAAAGATGTTGATTTGTATCCAAATATCTTACCTGTATGTTATTATGTCACCACCAAGAAGTGGTGATATATTGTCATGGTCTCCGTTATTATGTGGCAGAGGTTGGCGATTGGGGGATGGCAGTTGGTGTCTGTAACAAATTCTTAAAACTTCCAATAAGTTTCAAATACTGTTTCGATAGACTTCAATTTTGTTCCAAATCATCTACAAGTTTTCAGAAGTTCAAATCTGACTTAACATTTAAGATTTGACCTTCAATGACCTTCAATTTTCAAGGTCAAAAATTTTTTCAACTTGCTTCAAATTGACCAATTTTTTTTCAAAATCATCTAGTTCTCAGAAGTTCAAATCTGACTTTCGATTTGAGATTTCACCTTCAATGACCTTTTCAGGGTCAAAAAAGGTATTTTTAATTTGCTTCAAATTGACCAATTTTTTTCCAAAAGAGTTCTTAGAAATTCAAATCTGAATCATCGTGAGATATCACGGCTTTCTCTCAGTGTCCTTCTATAACTATTCTTGTGCATAGCAGAGATGGTCTGAGTATCAGAATGAATCTGAATTAAGATTGAACTAGCAACTAGGTGGTGACATTTTGTCATGATAATGCCTTATTAAAGAATTTATTAAAGATAGACTATATTTTCTAGCTCTGTGCCAAATTACAATCTGCAACTTGACATTGGTTTAAATTGAGAAAACAAAAAAACTCATAACCAGGAAGTTTATCCATTTTGTTACATTGGCATTGCATCAAAGTAACAAGTTGTGGAACAGTGATTGTGTTGCGTTAACACCCTGGTTGCTAAAGCAAGGGGTCTCTCACTTGATTATTAGAGCCCCTGAATGTATATTCTTGTGACTGATTCGCTTCTCAGTAACTAGATTTTACTATTACATAATGGTTAAATATTTGAATACATATCAAGCTCCTTATTTGTGAAAATGATGTAAAATTTCCTCCAGCAGAAGTTCATCCATTTTGTTGTTAATATGTAACATCTTTTTAATCAGGGACCAGTGACTGTATCACAAGATTCAAGATTTTATTGTGTTTCAAACCAAACACTTGGTTTCCTCACAAAATCAATTACAAGACATTTACATATAATTATACAGTTAAAAAACAACATGCATTGTTTCACAAATACTATCATACAATCTAATTCTTTCCTTTTTCAAATAGCTCCCGACGCTGATTAAAAAGTTTATTTATAAAATGTATCAATTCGTTAACAATTTCAAAATCATCAGAAGTCATTAAAAAGTTATATTTTTCTTCATCCGACATATTATCAAATGTGTCAATAAAACTTAGTTTATTAAAAACTATATCTAGTGAGTGGGAGGGGGATGAACTCTTGTTCCTGTGCCTGGGAACCCCCCCCCCCCTCCTTACTGTACTTCAAAATAACAGGGAACTCCAGAGGAGGAACAATTAGAATTTCCGCTTGAACCTTAGACTAGGCATTATACAGGTGTTGTATCTTATTAAATTGCTCATTGCTCACACACTCCATTCATTGATTTCGTTTTCTTTTTACCTGAAAAGTTTGAAATTTAGAGAGTACAATGTGATTTCCGGTTGAACTTCCGGGTTAATTTTTATTTCGAAATTTTATAAGATTTACTAATATATGTGACTTACACATGAACAAGAGTTGCGAAATAAGTTCACTAATTATTTTTGTATTAGATCCTTCAAATTCTGAATAAAAGATTGGTAATTATGCCGCAGAAAATCTGTGCACCGGACCTTCAAAATATTTGTTTGAGAAATATTGCTCAAAACATGGACAAACATTGGGCAGCTGACTATAAAGACAATTTCCACAACCAAATGGACGTGTTGCATCTAGTAGGACCATTTGAATATTTCAGTAAGTGCATGGTGCTTCAAGTTCCTGCAGGCCTGGGAACACTGTTCTAACCACAGGCCCAGGAAGATTTAAATCTCCCCCCCAGTCACTGGATCGCTAATGTTACTCGAGTCTCTAGCTTACAGCTAGACGAAACTTCATTGATTTCGTATGTACTGTGCTACACGCACCTACACGCACCTAGAACTCATTTTTAATAAATTTTATAAATATTTTTAAGAATATTAATCATATTTAGGATGAAGCGTTGCTTGTCTGGATTTAGATATTTCAAAATTTCATTTCGGAGTTTCAACACATGGTGAAATTTTCTCGCTGTAGCTAAAAATGGCTTCCGGTTCTGGACGTGAATAACATTTGAAATTATTCTCGCTTAAAGAAATCAAATACTAGTATAACAATAGATTCAGACGGGGATGTGAGCTGGTGTTCTTCAAATCTATACATCAAGGTATATTTCATATTATTATGCCATATTTACTGTGCGTGTGACACAATGATTTACAATATTTATAATACTAAGGCAGCTCAATCTTCCTCCTCAAAGCCGGAATATAGAGAAGGCTTTGGACCGAAGTAACGCTAATGTCTTTTTTCTAAGTAATACATAGTGAGTGGGAGGGGGATGAACTCTTGTTCCTGTGTCTGTGGTCCTAATATGAGTGACTTACAAACGTTGAACACCTTTTTCAAATTGTGGACACCTTGGTCCAAATCTAAACACCTTGGTCCAACATCTCAAAATTTTTGTTACAAAAATAGGCAAAAATTATATTCGTTTTTTTTATTTTCTGCAAGTCTCATCTAACATATCATGCATTATAACTGTAAAATGAGTGAATTACTTTCTAGCATCAGCATTGATCCAGAAGTTGATTGATGTGATGATCGCCACAAAGACGTTACGTCATCATCACTTCCAGCTATTGATACATGCCAGGATTGAGAAGGTCGACCTATCAAAGTGTACCATAGGAACGCTGGATAAAGCTGTGAAGATCATTGGTCAGAGATGTGATGTGAGTTACTAACTTTCTGAGCTTAAATCCATTGAGTTATTAATTTAAACTAAAGATGCGCTTTATGTACAGCATGAGCACTTAAGCATGAGGCCACTTAACATATTATGATAAGAATAAGTTCCACACTGGAAAAGTTGTACAACTCCCATCAGATGATATCAGATTAGTAATATGCTCAACTAAATGGACTATATTGAAAAACTATTAAAAATATGTCTCGAGTTTCATAATGTATTTGCAGATGGCTGACCTGTTACTTATTCTCAGTAGGGCCCAGTAATGGCCACCTTATAGTTCTAGTTTATTGAATGTTCACTCTTTCTTTTTTGATATTTTAGAAATTGAAAGTGTTGAACCTAGCCAACAGATCAAACGTATCAGCCAAGACCTTAGTACAGGTCATCCCAGAGATGTTTAACCTAGTCACATTAAACCTAGAAGGAACAAAAGCCAATGATCAACTGCTTCAATTTATTGCAAAGAATCTGAAGAGCATCCAAGATCTAAATGTTCTAGGCTGTCCTGTCACAGATACTGGTAGGTTATTTCAAGGAACCATTTTTGATTTTCCATTTTCAATTTGGGTATTTCACAAGTACCAAAATGGGAAAGCAGAAGTCTTTTTGACCAGACTGTAATTTCCAATTGTTAATGAATTTGGTTCTGTTTTGAATGTAGATATTTACAAAGTTTTGCACAATACATCGTTCAATATCAAAATAATAATAATGTGTATCAATCAAATGTTGCTATTTCATTTCCCCAATTTTTTCAACAGTTCAGAGAGTGTGGTGCTGGCTTAAATAACATAATTAAAATGAAATTAGACATAATGACACTAAATGATCTGTTTGTTTCATGTTGTAGGCATTATCAATCTCTGCATGGACTTCACAAACGAGAACCCGAAGTGCAGCTTGTTAAGGAAACTTATTCTCAGTAGTGGTCACTTGACTAGGAAATCGGCAATTATTGCCCTGGGGCACTTACCTAGTCTCGAATACCTCCATCACCCAAGCATTATGGAAGCCCTCACTATTATACATGGGGACGCATTTGTATCCGGGGCACCCATAGCCGTTGAGGACACACACAAAATCCGGAATCTGACCCTCTCAGGGCTTGATTCAATCACTTCAACATTGACTGAGAAATGTTTTGATATTGCTGCCACATATTGTCCAAATGTTACAGAAGTTGTGTTTCACCATGAGATTACGAACAACATGATGTCACATCTGTCCAGGTTTAAGTATTTGAACTCGTTAGAGCTGGCAGGGTCAAATGAAGATGACCCCAGTACAGTTAATTTTGAAGATGGACTTCTACCATTATTGTGTAATATCGGGAAGCAGCTCGTCAAGTTGAATGTTGTTGATATGAATAAGTTTGACCTTGATGCCCTTGGTCATTTCTGTCCCAACTTACGAGTGTTTCACTACACTACGATGGAGCTTCCAACTGTAGAGTTTTCCGAACATTTCTTGGCTAAATGTTTGAACAATAATATTAAAACTCCACACAAGCCTTTTTGTTACCTTAACCAGTTACAAATTGTCATCATGATGAAAAATTGTGAAAATCTATCAGAGGCAAAATTCATCCGTCTTTTCAACAACTGCCAAAATCTCCAGGATTTGCACTTATCTGGTTTACCATCATTCACTGATGCTATATTTGACACAATTTTGGATTTGACAGAAAACTTGAAAAATGTTAATACACTGCAATTGTATGAATGTGATAACATATCGGATGTTCCAATATGGCGTGTAGTCCAGAGTGATAGTATGTTGAAAACATTGTACATTAACCATTGTAATCATTTTACAAGACAAATCTACACATCAATGCTTCAGTATATCAAGACATCATGTCTAGATTTGAAATTGACTTGCATGGAATGGAAGGGTGTCTTGAATGAAGGTGGTCACTTAGTTATGTAAAACTGAGAACATTTTGTTTGTTATAAAAATTGTTGCAATGGGTAAGGCCAGTAGAAACTGAATTTCACCCTCTGTTACAAAGATTGTTTCTCTCAAATTGGATGTTAAAACGGGCCTCACGAAATTTCTGAAACATGATTTGACTTACTTAAATTATCAGTGACATTGAGATAAGAAGATTTGGATGCAATTTTCTCATCTGTTACTTTAGTTTTGTTATACACTCTGGGTTATATTAAGAAAATGACTAGAATCTCCCCAATGGAGAACATTGCACTGTTGCAGCATAAAAACTTTATATAAAACTATAGTGTTTATTCCCAGAACACTTTAACATGCACAAAAGATGCTTAGAGTCATCTTTTCATATGTATGTAAGTTGAATCATTTGGTTTCAGTAATTGTAGTATTAAAAGCATATATATTTTTGGTGCCCTCTACTTATTATAATGTAAGTAATAAATAAAGCCCATGGACACATTAACTGGGAAATGGTTTTGCTAAAAAATCTATTAAATCAACTTTTAATTACAAGCATTGACTAAGTATTGCAACATTGTTTTTAATTGCTTATTTTTACACTCGTGGTGAGCCAACATATTGTCTGACTTAAGCTCATATCCATCTTATGGTGGTCCACATTTGAAATTTACACCATTGGGCCAGAATTGTTTTTCTTATTTTGGAGAAATCAGCCTATTATCATAAAACATAAGGAATTGCCACGTGAGCCCATCAAAATTCTGCCATTTGTACGAAGTAGTCATTTTATTTTATCTCTTGAAAACTTAGTGCAGAACAAAACTTGCTGCAAGTGTGTAATCAGTCTATCGTTACTTATTTTACCCAAGTTAGCATTATTTATTGTACTGTATGAACGAGTAAAACGGCTTTGTATAAACAAACTGGTATACATGTTTTAATGCCATCCGAAAAGAAATATACTCAAACAAAAGTGTTTTCATCCTTGCATACACTGGGATTGTCATCCATATTATCGTACTAGAATAGTACTATGGTGGAAAATATTTATATATTGTTTGAGAAAGACTTTGGCGTATCAAGTGGAATCATAATTATATTTTCTCATAGTTTGACAAATGTGATCACATATATATCCTACCTTTTTTTACACTGCATATATTCCTTTCAGAACCCTGAGCAGGGGTGTCGCCATAATTGTAAATAAATTGAGCAAATTGAGGCTAAAGGAGGTCTAATACTACTATCCATGGCAAGGGGGATTTGCTCCCAGAGTTCAACATTGATATTCTGTCCCATATATGGGCATGTCATGATACAAAATTCGAATCCAAACAGCTGGCATTTTGTTCACTGCAACATTTGAATCATGAATTTTGGTCTTATTTTCTAACAAAAAAACTCAAGAAAAGATTGAGATATAAGTTTGAATCTTTTGAACTGTTTATTTTGAATTCATAGCCAGTTATAATTTCAGAAAATGACGACATTTATATGTCTTTATTGTTGGAAAATATCAAGTTTCGATCCTGGGAGCCAATCCTCCTTGTGTCCTTGGACTTCATTTCAACAATTTAAGTTGAGAAAATGTCTGAAAAACAGATTTGTAGAAAACAGATTTGTAGAATTTGCAAATGTGCACTCATTAGGGCCTGTGCAGTATTTGGCATGATTATGGTAAATACAGAATCATTTTATATATCATCTAGTCACAAAATGTTAATGATTGAGTGCTGAAAGTAGCTAGCTTAAAGCCTCTAATTTATTTATCTTTATGGACCCTTAGAACAAATAGTTAATGAACGACTCATCCGCATCGAAACAATTCACTCCCATGGGGTTTCTAGACAGTATCTATCTAATTAGATAGATATTACACGATCAAATAGCTGATATGTTGAGTCTTTTCTCAGTCATTGATAGAAAGCATTGTTTTCTATGCATTATTTCATGGTAATGCAGTGCTATAAAAATGATGTAGCATGATTGTTAGGAAAAACTTTAATTACTTGGGATGACTGAATTGCAAAGATAAATAAGGGATCCTCTGAACACAAGCTCCAGACATCCAATATGTTCCTTCATTCTTCATAGGGACATACTAGATGATGTCTTGAGTCCTGCGTGTGGAGGATGTTCGGATCTGATTGTGCAAATGTACCTCTGTTCCCTGACTTGTATTACTTTTGAAAATCAGTTTCCCAATTTCATTCCCAATATTATGTAATTTTACATTATAGACATTGTGAATTTTGTATAATTTATTTATTTACATTTCATAAGCTTTATACAACAATAAAACAAATTGCAATTATTTATAGATTCTATTTTGTTGCCATTTATTAATTCAATAATTCTAATAATATTATCATGCTGACAGACTGGCCAAATTACATTATGTCCATCTGGAAATAGACATAAACAATCTATGGCAAAATGAAAATTTTCCAAAAAATCATTGGTTCTTTTTCAGTAAATGCAATCACAATGCGAAAATTGTCTTTTCATGAACTTATAACTTATATCTGCATAACATCTGTTTTGTTGTTGACAACTTCATGAATGTCCTAGGCGATGGCTGTTTGTTGTTTTCATTGGTTGCTATGACAATGTCCACTGTATCCACATATTTACAACATTTTTCTTCCTGAAAAAATATGAGAATAAGATATTTTCTATGCACCTATTGTAAGTCTGAACAGAATCTAAATATCTTCATTTGATCTCAAATAATTGTTCAACTACTCTGAAGCCAAGAGTCTTGAACTATTATTGACATCCTCTGAATACCACAATATACAATTTTGATGCTGGTGAAATCATAATTACCCCAGTAGTAGTTGGAGTAGATTGTTTAGAAACTCAAATTTTTCTTCTGCTTTTTTCTAGAAACTCAGATTTTGTCTTGCTTCTCCAAGTGCACTTACCTGGTTGCCATGACTAGTTGAAAGCTATGACAACAACCTATGTCTGACTTGGTATACCCATGGTCTAGTTGCTATAACTAGTCTATGACTGAGGCTACAGACAAAATATATGACTGACTATACATACCAGGTTGGCATGAGTAGAGTCAACGTCTGGTTAAGTAAGTAAACATACCTGGGTTGCTATGACCACAGCCAACCTCTGGTTAAGTTAACATACCTGATTCCTATGACTACAGTCAACCTCTGGTTAAGAATACATACCTGGTTGCTATGACTACAGTTAACCTCCGATTAAGTTAACATACCTGATTGCTATGACTACAGCCAACCTCCGGTTAAGTTAATATACCTGGTTGCTATGATCTCAGTCAACCTCTGGTTAAGTAAACATACCTGGTTGCTATGGAATTTTCAGTCAAACTACGGTTAAGTTAACATACCCGATTGCTATGACTACAGCCAACCTCAGGTTAAGTTAACATACCTGATTGCTATGACTACAGCCAACCTCCGGTTAAGTTAACATACCTGATTGCTATGACAACAGTCAACCTCCGGTTAAGTTAACATACCTGATGCAATGATTACAGCTAACCTCCGGTTAAGTTAACATACCTGATTGCTATGACAACAGTCAACCTCCGGTTAAGTTAACATACCTGATGCAATGATTACAGCTAACCTCCGGTTAAGTTAACATACCTGATGCAATGATTACAGCTAACCTCTGATTAAGTTACATACCTGATTGCTATGACTACAGTCAACCTCTGGCTAAGAATACATACCTGGTTGCTATGACTGAGGAGCAGGAATGGCCTCTGCTGCTGCAAGTTCCCGTACAAGAAGAACGCCACCAGCAAAGAAGGCTAGACTTTTCACAACTGACCTGCAAAATATAACAATATGAGGTCAAGATTAGAAATAAACAAAGTCCTACTGCAACTACAGTACAGGGTATTAGGCCAGTGTACCTGATAAGATGATGAGTACCAACGTATCTGCATTCACATTTACATACCCCCATAAATGTTGGATATTTCTGTCTTCTTTTTTTGCGATTTTATAATCCAGTAAATTTCACGAGAAAAATATGAAGGCCATACATATATGCTGGGCTATATTATGCAATTGAAATTCCAGAATAGAATACAATACAATATAAACCCAACATTTAAAAAATAGATCTATCATCATCATCATGTTTAGGAGGGTAAGGTCAGTCCTGCTAGTTTTATTATTTACATGAATTCTTATGGGCAGTTTTCAATTTCTTTGGTGTTTTATTTCCCAAAGACGGTAGTGTATGTAATTTAATGTGACAGTTGCACTAAAATTATATTATATTATATGGGCAAAAATACTAGTGTAGTGTGAACTGGTCATCCTAGGTCTCTTGTGATCTTCTACATGTCTGGGTAGTAGTAGGCGTCGACCTTTGCTTTGAAATCATCTAATGTTAGGGCTGTAACTACATTCTCTGGGAGGTTGTTACAGTTGTCTATGGTACACTGACTGAAGAACCCTTGTCTCAAGGCAAGGTTTCATCTGGATTTGTAGAATATTTGGCTGTGGCCTCTTGTGTTGGTGTGACTTGGGGTAAAGAAGTGGGATGGTTCTGTCTTGTGTATGTCATTCATTATTTTAAATATTTGAATTAAGTCTCCTCTTTTCCTCCTATATGTCATCGGAAATAGATGTAGCTGCTTTAATCATTCTTCATAAGATAGGTCAGTCATGCCAGTGATGAGTTTGGTAGCTCGCCTTTGTATTTTCTCAATCTTTTTAATGTCCAATTGGTTCACAACTTACTCATTTTAAAATTAAAAGGAAACTCCCTGGTTGGCCCATGTTATGTACCCCCTAGGAAGTCCCTTTGTTGAAATATCCTGGAACGACTGTCAGGCTACCGCATTGACATTGCCCCTCTTTACCAGTAGTGCAGGCTTATTGTTGCTGTGATTTTATGATTCTTTGTTTATTTATAGCTAGACATGGGCGTAGCGCACGGTACGCTGGGTACGCACAGGCTTAGACTTAGATTTAGATCATGAATGGTCCAAGCCTGTTCCATAGAAGGAGACCCTATCTGTTGCAAGACTTAGCCTGGCGTAACCGTCACCATGTTATTCAGTGTTTTTTAAGTAGCGCAAGGATCCTGCCATGACCGTGGTAATGTTATCGTGAAAGCCTAGTATAACCGCGACAATGCTGTATTATATTAAAATGCCTGCCATGACCGTGGTAGTGTAATCGTGTAAGCCTGGCGCGACCGTAACCTTTATATGACATTAATGACCTTCAGGTTTCGCCCGTTGCAGTTGGTATTTTTTATGGATAAATCTTATTAATTGATCATTATAGAAAGTATATGCTTTCGAATCGAAGCTCCTTGAATGAGAGTAGAGATATAGTTTGTTTGCAAATTATTAATGAGTAAAAATTATGTTTTCGTTGTGAAATTAATACACATTTTTAGTAAGGCTAGTCCTTATTTACATATTTAAGGTAGTAAAACACGAAGAAAAATTGTCATTACGGTGTTCTCATGCTACTTTAAATACAACCACGGTCATGAGAGGCCTTGCAACTATTGTCACGGTCATATCGGGCTTTAGTTTAACCTTACCACGGTCATGACAGGCTTTAACATTCTGACGATCATGACAGGCCTTTCAATCATTATGACGGTCATATAATATATACGGCAATATAACATAACAATGTCACGGTCATGGCAGGCTTTACAAGCATTGTCACGGCTACATCAGGCCTAACATTACCACAGTCATGACAGGCCTTGCGGCCATTGTCACGGTCATACTGGGCTTTAACATTACCATGGTCATGACAGGCCTTGCAATATAATATAGCATTGTCACGGTCATGACAGGCCTTGCAAGCATTGTCACGGTCATATCAGGCTAACATTACCACGGTCATGACAGGCCTTGCAATATAATACAGTGTTGTCACGGTTATACCAGGCTTACAAAATAACACTGCCACGGTCATGGCAGGATCCTTGCGCTACTTAAAAAACACCGAATAACATGGTGACGGTTACACCAGGCGTTAGTCTTGCAATAGATAGCATGTGCATAGAAGAGAAGCCCACTTCGGGGAGGCCTTCGTAAAGGTGATTGATGAAACTACACCGAGGCATTGTGGGTCTGTGAGGCATTGAATTGAAACTCTTCCAAACTTAAAACCAAGCAAACAAAGGCAAATTTAGCCAAATATAGTTCGAGATTTAAGCTTAGCGTGTAGTAGATCTCTATTATCGCCCACTTGAGAAATTTATTTTTTTGTCCGTCGTGTAACTCCAAGCATATTCACACCATACTCATTAAACTGCTACATTATAATCTCTAAAACATTTCAATTAGCTTGATTGTAAAGTAAGCTTACCAGCGCAATGGATCATTGTATAAACTCTTCATAAAAGCTATCGCTTTATTTGGAGCTTTTCCTGCCATTTTTTCTGTGTAAAGTGCTGACCCCTGGCGGAAAATTATCCAGTGCCAATAAGAGTGAGTACAAGTTTGTATAAGCGGGAATCTCAGTTTACTAGTTTTAAACTCAGGCTTAACAAAGTTTCCATAACAATAGAGATTGTACAGCAAATCATTTGCACTGATATCCTTCCTAAATTGGTCGACCTAGATCAAGACGTGACACTTTTGAAAAAATCATCCTTGATTTTGAAATGGAAATTGAACCAATTTTATTTGAACTTTTAGTTGACTGTTTCTTATTCAGTTGACCCCTTACTTTTAGCATAGGCCTACTTGTCCGATTATGATGACTACAGAGAGCATGCTGCAAGGAAGACTCCAGGTAATCAACTTCACCCAATAGATGCCAAATACCCAAATACCATCTCCCCCGCCCCACTGGTGGATCCATTGCGCCCGTGCCTCCCCCTCGGTATGATACAGTGCATCAAAATCAAAATTGCCAGCATAGTATTTGATAGACACGAATATAATATTGATTCTTGTCGACACAAGGTGTAGATGTAAACTTCCAGCTGCTGTTTTAAACACGAAACTCTGAAGCTGAACCGTCACAGGTATCTGAAGTAATTGAAAAAATAAAATCGGTAAAAAAATGTTGCCTCCGATTGATATATATTCAAAATCGAATTATTTAAATAGTTTAAGGCTATAAATATGGTCAGTCTTTTACACATTTTCTTCAAAACCTGTTTTGAGGCCACCTCTGGAAAACACCAACCGGTTGGTGGGGTCGGTCTTTTTCGTAAATCCAACACATTATGTTTTGCCAATATGTTAACATAAACATATACATTTGCCTTCCCTTCCTGATAATTTCAACTTGATTCCCTCATGATAATTAAAACGTCACCAATTGCACTTATTGAACAGCCCTCGTATATCAAGTGTGCTTTTACAATTAATCAATAATTTACAAATCCAAAGCACTTAAATTGATTATTGATTTATTGACAGATTTATTGATATTCTCAAGATTATGATATTATTGCGATTAACAACAGACAAGTGAATTCTATAAACTCTATAACAAAGACATAATATGAAATCTTCCAAATTGAAAGGGATGAAATTATCGGTGCGAGTAAGAGGGGAGTGGTTTGCAATACCATGCAATAAGGGTCAGGAGACCATAAAGTATGAAAATCATTATGCCATAAGTATATAAAAGAATATAACATAATATATATAATCTTTTACTTATTCAGACATAAATAATAAAAAATATTTATCTTTTCTTCAGAGTTATAACTAAGCTAAGAGATATTTGGCATAACTGAACAAATTTATGAAAATAAAAAAATTACTGTGTGGAAGAGATATATGTACTGTATTTCAAAATATTGGAAACAGCTTTTTTCTATAGGAATTAATTTTGTTGATTTTGCATTTTATATCCTGCATTATTTTTATCTTATAGTTGTTTGTTTTATTGAATGTTTACTGAAAAAAGTAATCAAAAGATTTTTTAGCCTCAAAATTACAATTATACATTATTTGTAACATAGAAATGTTTGGAACTGGTCAAAGAATTTTCAAGATTTTAAAGACATTAATTTGGTTTGGTGCCTTAATGTAGAGTTTATCATGTGTTTACAGTACATTATATGTCACATGTATAGTTTGCCATAAGTCACAAGTACCACCAAGTACATTACATCATGTTACATGGAAATTACATCAAATTCTACTTATTTTCAGTATATCATAGGCTACATCAGGAGTATATCATATGTACATATGTATATCATATGTACATGTGACATATGCCAGAACATCATATGTCACATAAACATATTATTTCCTCTTTACAGTATATGTCACATGTAAAGAACACCATGTCACATATACTGTATGTACTGTATCATATGTCACATGTACATTGCATTATATGTCTAATATACAGTAAATCCTACATGTAAAGTACACCATATGCCCCATGTTTCAGATGGCTGGGAGAGCAATCATTACAGAGATACAACAAATCAAAAGCAGCCCATGAACATATCTTACACACCAAAGACCCCATCGCTGAGATACGCAAAACTCGTGGTGGCGCAATACTCGATGGGGATGATATAATCAGAGATATTCTAGATGACAATGATTTTGTCTCAGTTGGTAAGTAATATTCAGCAGACTTTCCTTCATTTGCTTGTTTGTTTGCTTTTTTGTTGTTTTGATATCTATTTCATGGTTTATACCAGGAAAGGCTCAAATGTAGCCCTGTAACACAAGAGCATTCGAGAATGTCAACACCGAAACCTTTTACTGGTAATGGAAGTTGCATAACAATAGAACTGCAAGATAAAAGTTGTAGAGCTTGAGCTTACTGTCTTGACATTTACTTTAAGGACCAATCAAGGTCCCATTGTTCACAATAGTTGATTTTACCAAGAATTTTTGGACCCGTAACAGAATATCCATATTGAATAAATTAGTGAATTCTGTATTGCAGTACTGAAGAGTGACAAATCCAGTCCTATAACTGGACCTGTAGAGATCCCATATGTTCCAGAACAAGTGTATCCTTTAAGATAGAACAGTGGTCAGTGGCTTCAAGGACCAAGTTAGCTTACGGTCGACCAACTTCATTACAATGTAATGTTGTTAAAAACCAATTCATTCCTTAAAGCAGGTGTTTGAAATACTCAAACTTCAATTTGACATATAGATTTGTGAATAATACATTTTTCTATTCATACCATATAGAATATTTTGGTATTTTGAGGTCAAGGTCATGAGAAGAGTTAAGGTCATCTCATAGGTCAGTGTTCAATTTTAGCATCCCTAGAAGCTCTATGCTGGTACTAAGTACATAAAGGTCACATTAAGATATAGATATTCTATATTTGTGCTATATATATAGTATATAGAGGTCATTAAAGGTCAAGGTCATGATTAAAGGTTAAGGTTAATCTCAAATGTTACTTTGATACATCATTCAGTTATTTTCATACATTTCTTTATCAGACCAGGAAGATTTAAAGCTCCACTTGACGTAAGTTTAATATGATTACACACATACAGTAAAACTTGATTCAGCCAGAACCAGTTTGAAGTATTACATTCCGCAGATTTTTACATTTATGGGTTCTGGTAACATGAGATTTAAAAAAATAAATGAAGCGGAAAATATATTCAATTTCAATTCAGTTTCACTTGAGAGAGGTGTTCACTTTCACAGGTTTTACTGTATATGTATTAGTTTATTGAAGCCAAAATTTGCAAAAGTTTTCAAAATGTTAAAAAGATATTGTGAATTATTCATACTCAAGTATGCACATATTATAGTAATACTCGCCATAGAAAGACTTCAATGAAATTAATTTGTTCAATTACTGTTGTGAAATGAGTAGTTGTTTTGGTTTTGATCTGATAGGTTTCATCCCTAATTCAAAGCTCAGATGACACATTAACATTTGATCATCAAGAGCGCTGCCAGAATCTAATGTATGTAGTAAAAGGTGAGGCAGTATAGGTATGACAATACAGGTGAGGCAATATAGGTAAGGCAATATAGGTAAGGCAATACAGGTGAGGCAGTAAGGCAATACAGGTGAGGTAATATAGGTAAGGCAATACAGGTGAGGCAGTAAGGCAATACAGGTGAGGCAATATAGGTAAGGCAATATAGGTAAGGCAATACAGGTAAGTCAATACAGGTGAGGCAGTAAGGCAATACAGGTGAGGTAATATAGGTAAGGCAATACAGGTGAGGCAGTAAGGCAATACAGGTGAGGCAATATAGGCAAGGCAATACAGGTGAGACAAATTCAATAATATCAGCATTATCACTTATCTCCGTTTGTACTTTATTTTCCTCCAGTATTTGTCACTTGATGGATTCTCTCTCACTACGGATGATTTGGTTCTGCTTGGAAAAGGGCGATATAAAATACAGGTACGTTTATCACTTTTATGGTACTTGAAATATGTTCTTGTCTAATGCTAATGGGTGTGTGGGGTTGTGATTGGATGGCACAAGAAATCTTGTCATCAAGATAGGAAGTAAACCATTTATCTGTTAAACTTGGATCATTTAGAGATGCATAAGTGTACTTGTGACCAGAACTTATTGTAGAGAAAGTGGAACTGAGATTAAATGACATGCATTTGTGATATAAGATTTGTGATTTTAGATTAATCTTATGTCTCAAAGGTGAAATTGAGGAAAATTGATCCAAGTAAAGTTTATCAAATGTGATTATGTGTCCATAATTTTATTTGTGTATTGATCAAAAATCTAAAATGCTGATGTTCCTCTTTTTTGTAGCTGGAGAAAGAAGTTGCTGAAAGAGTCGTGAAAGGTCGAAAGTTGCTTGAGGATATTGTAGCTGAAAATAAAGGTGTGGGTACTTTGTAATGTAACTTCCATTTATACCCGCCATAGAATGTATATACTTTCAAATCAGAAATTACAAAACTCAGTTGAAAACCAAAAAGTGAAGAAATTCCATTTCAATATTTGATTGGAATAATTGTGATTTTGAACTATGTATTCTTATCATTATTTGTGAATGTGTATATTTCGGTTTATTTCCTTTGGAGCAATTATTTCATGAAAATTACATTTAAATTAAGGCTGAAAGTTTCAATTAGTCTATTTCTGATGTCTGGATAAGTATTCATAGTGCCAGAAGGGGACTGATCAAAATGTATTCAAATCATCCCTAGAAAAGTACATTTAGTCATGAGAAAGCAAATCCCCAGTATCTCAAAACCTGAACTTTAAAAAGAAACTGTATCTATCAACTCCTACACTGAAGTTGATAATCATGAATAATAACTAAGAGAGCTCACACTGTATTTTCTCTATTTCAGTTGTTTATGGCATCACTACAGGATTTGGAAAGTTTGCCAATACAGTTATACCAAATGAAAAACTAATGTGAGTACATTTATTAAATGAAGCTTATTCTATTCCTCATGGATGATAATTGCTATTACAACCACAGGCTGTTGCAGCCATATTGATGTGAGAGGATGCTCTCCGGGGGGAATTCTGCCACAGCCCTGTGAGCTGTGACAATAGGGAGTGATTCAATAGGTACTATATGTTATAAGGGAGATTGAATTACTGCTAAAATGAAAGGCAGCAGAAGAGGGATCTATTTTACTTTCAAAATGAGGGATGGACACAAAGTTGTAGAGAGTACATATCATGATTCTTTAGTTATATTTGGGTTTAAGTGTGTTTGTGTTCTTACAAAGTTGCCTTTTGTGAAGTATGATAATAAAGAGTTACGTTAGACCTGTTTTGAAGAATGCAATTGTGAAACTTGTAAAATTTGGTCCCCTGGGAAAGATGACAGTAATCCCCAGATATAATAATAGTATTACTGATTCAAGTTCTCCCTTTGTAACCTCTCTTATAAAGTGTGAGTGTGCATGATGTGAAGATGTTCACAGGTTAAAGGTCAATGAATCCTAAACCAGAAAATTTATTATTTTGCACCTCTTTGTTAAGGTAGTCCTGCAGTAATTATCTTCAGTTTCATTATTCAAAATATTTCAATTTTGAACTATATATTCTGCCAATATCCATTTATAATAAATATTCAAATTAATAATTTATTATTTTGCACCTCTTTATTAAGGTAGTCCTGCAGTAATTATCTTCAGTTTCATTAATCAAAATATTTCAATTTTGAACTATATATATTCTGCCAATATCCATTTACAATAAATATTGAAATACAGTAAGTATTCAAATAAAAATGTGAAAAATATTTACTATTGGCAATTATAATCAGACATCAGACGATAAGATAAAAATTGTCATCCTGTGAATTGACCTAATATGCGCAGTCAGTAGGCCAATGTGTCATTTACATTCTAGAAAATTTGAACTTTGAATATGATTCTGTTGCTTCATAATCTCCTGTCTATAAACTTTAATTATGAGCTGTCATATTAGTCTGCTTTATGGCATTATCATAAAATATTATAATGTACTCAACTTCATTCATGAAATTTAAGAGAGATCATTCATTTGTTCAATGCATAAAAGTATACTATGGAGTTTACATTAAGGCTATATTTTCCTCAAAATGAATTCTCTCATTATGTCACCACCAAAATGTGGTGACATATTGTTATGGTCTCCGTTTTTTTCTGACAATGGTTGGCGATCGGTGGTTGGCGGTTGGCAGCAAAATCATCTTCAAGTTCTCTGTTCAAATCTGACTTTAGATTTGAGATTTGGCCTTCAATGATCTTCTCAAGGTCAAAAACTCATAATATTGTGAGCAACTTGGTGGTAACATTTTGTCATGTTAATGCTTTGATTTCATTATACTCCTCATTTGTACATCCAATCTAAATATGATGATAAGGATGCAAATGACACGCAATTCATATTTCATATCTCACTGGTATCAATCTTGCATGGTGAATCAAAAAAATAAACTCCAGAAAGACATACCCCAGGGACATACCATCCAAGTGTTGATAATATGATTCCAGAGAGCTCCAGGAGAATCTTATCAGGTCTCATAGTGCTGGAGTTGGTCCTCCACTTCCTCCTGACAGGGTACGCATGCTGTTGGCTCTCAGGATCAATGTCCTTGCTAAAGGTTTCAGTGGCATCTCTCTGAAAGTCCTCAACCAATATGTGGATGCCTTCAATGGTGAGTAATGGTGTTCAACCCGTTGTAGTGGTCTAGACTGTTAGCTTTTAACTCATTAATCAATTTAAAATGCTGAAAATACTTTTTTGTCTTATTTGTGTCTTAGGTAGTCTCCTCTGTAACATTGATCATGAATTCATTTGTCTGATTGATCCAAAACTGATTCTTTTTCAAAGGAAATAATATCTTAGTTGGATGACAATTTTGGTGGACACGTTGACTTGATATTCTTTTGCAATATGTTGACTATCACTTGACAAACAAATAAACAAACAAACAAGCAAACAAACAAAATGCCTTGTTTTACTACAAGTAATTATATGTATCATCTCAGCATCCCATGTTTTATATCATTTCAGCAAACTGCTTACCCTGGGTACCCGAGAAGGGCACAGTGGGTGCCAGTGGGGACCTGGCCCCCCTGTCCCATTTAGCTCTAGGCATGATGGGAGAGGGCAAGATGTGGTCTGCAGAGAGCGGTTGGGGAGAAGCCAGATATGTAAGCATCCATGTTACTAGCTTCACAGATTTATTACAGATTAGATTGTCATTTCTACAGCTACAAGTTACATTTCTTTAGCTACAAATGAGAGTGCGCAAGTGATGTAGATAAGTACTCATGTAGTCATCAAATCGTCTCGCCAAGGTGTTATAGAATTCGTCTCGATTAGGCGTTCAGATTTCGGGAAGTATTTCACGAGTCTGCGATTTGCAAATTTGTATTGTTATTGGTTAGTTATTACACAGCGAATCCTGATGTCAAATGTATTATTTTTCTCACAAACAGTGTCAAATGTATGTACAAATGATTGTTCCATGTATTATTTGTTTTTAGTTGAATGAATATGAGTAATAAATCTAATTCAAAATTAAACAAAATCTAAACAAAATGTTTTAGAGTTTATTTTCTAATTTCATTATTTAATCAGTCCGTTGAACCAGAAAAAATTGCCATGTCAGTGAAAATCAAAATTATAAATGTTGACGAGAGCAAATATATTTCCAATTGGATTTCCATCATCACACTATATACCTAGCGTATCTAGGTCATTGTAGGGTGAACAGCATTGAAAACAGGACTAAAAATTGACTGTAGGACATGATGCAATGATAAAATTTTCTTGTTTATTTTTTTATGAAAAATCACGAATCTTATTCGGTCTCAGACTTAAAATCATGCAAACTACTGTGTACAGTCCATAAATTTAATTAAACGTTAAAGGCTTTTGATTTAAAAGCAGGAGTCCTCAAAATCTAATTAATTGGAATGAGGAAACTTCCCAATTTGTCATTTGTTTTATTTTTTGTTTACAGGTTCTTGAGGCACATGGACTACAGCCAATAAAGCTTGGGCCTAAAGAGGTAAATATTCTTAGTTAGTTTAACATTAGTTGTAGTTAAAGGTGAAACTTTATTTCAGCTTTTATTCTTCTTGAAACGTGGTGCATCTTAAAAATCTATAAGTGGGACTCCCTTTATAGAAGCTTTGAACTAAATTAACACTTCTTAATGCTAAAATTGATAGTTTAATCATACATTTTAAGAAAATAGGTATGTCAAAGAAGGTGTTTAAGCCAAATATTGACCTGATAGCTCAGAAAAAAAAAAAAAAATCGAATTTTCTCTCTATAGTCCTTGTTGCCCCTTTAACTCATTTAATAGCAACATATATGAATTTATGATTAATTGTGGATCAGTCTGGGGGGGGGTAGCAAAATAATTACTTGATGAACTGAATTTAAGATAATCAATGTATCATAGATTTTTTCATAATACATGTATTTATAGATTCTTTTGTATCAGAGAATGAGTGTTTCTCACAATTTTTGGGTCATTCATTAGGGAGATATCAAGTTTATTCATTGTTTGAGAGATAGTTTAATAAAAGAGGATGTGTACCAGAGCCTTGACAAACACTGCAGTTTTGAAATTGTTTCAACTTTGAACAAGTTATGAATTTTGTTTATCTGCATGTCAAGTAGTGTATCATTCATTTGCTCTGCTATTGCTTTACACCATGGTGTGTATGAGTGTATCTACTACATAATACCATGGTATTCTTGAAAGTCCTTGTTCAACCTATTTTTGGGTGTTTATTAATAATATGGACAACTGATGGATAAATGACTGATAAAAGTAGCAAGTTCAGTGCCTTTTAATCTTATTTATTTCACTTCTAATTTTATCTTATGAATATTTATAATTTTTAACTATTTAAAGGTCCCATGTAAAGTTTGTATCATTTCTTATAAAGTGGACTAATTTTCAAATACACTGTATGTGAATTTTCAACCATTTACCAAGAAATAACTTCTTACATTACATTATTGAACACAATGTGAAACATTATTTTCACCTTTAATGGCCTACTCGAGGTCAAAAAGGTCTTTTTTCAACTTGCTTCAAACTGACCAAATTTTTTCAAATCATCTATAGGATCTCTGATATTCAAATCTGATTTTTAGATTTAAGACTTGACCTTCACTTACCTTCTCAAGGTAAAAAGGTAAAAAAAATCATCTACAAGTTCTCAAAAGTTCAATCTGGCTTAAGATTGAACTCATAATATTGTGAGCAACTAGTTGGTGACATTTTGTCATGTTAATGCCTTATATTATGATGTCCTGCAGGTAGCACATTCTTTTGAGTCTATCTCTCTATCAGTCTTTTCTTATAATCACAAACTTGATAAATACCATAAAATTGTCCTATACATAATATTGCATACAGGGCCTTTAAAGGTATCAAAATTGTATATTCTTATTAAGTCTAATAAAAAACAACACTTCAGTAGAACATTAAAGTACAAAGATATTAACTTGTTTTGTGGACCCAAGGACTTGTTAATGATGCAAATGTTATTTTTGATTATTAGTTTGTCATTGATACAATCTTAAAGGACATCTTCGTTCTTGGAGTGACCTAGGAGGTGTGTCTGTACTATGTTAACTCTTTCATACCAAGAGTGACTGGAAACCTGTCACAGAAATACTGCTCTAATTGTAATAGAATTTATTTGATCTATACAAAATATGTTTTAATATGTGCCTGTAGGTCCACTTTACCAGTTTTATCAGAATACACACCAGACTTACCATTTTAAGCTTTTGAAATTCAAAATCTGGAAAAAAGAAAAATGCTCTGGTACCCAAATGGTTAAAGGACATCTCTGTTCCTCAAGGTCATATTGGAGGTGTGTTTATTACATCAATACCTGTCCTAAGCAAAATATCAGGAGACTCATTTAGTATTCACAATTAGGGAAAGAAAGATGCCAGGAATCTGCCAGGAATAAAGAAAACATCCATGCAAACTTTCAGTTGTATAGAAATGCAAGAATCTTAGACAATTCATTTACATTTGAGAGAGAAATATGACACACAAATATGATCTCATATTTTAATCAAGGACTGTTTATACTAATATTGTGTACTTGAAGAAATATTGATTATTGTGACATTCTTGAAATTATGATACGATATGAGTTGACAAATTATCCACAGATAACCTTTACTATCAGATTTTATCCGAAATGTAGTTCAAATTTCACTTTTATTATTCCAGAATGATATTTCTTATCCATGGAGTTTCATGATTTGTTGAAACAAAGATTTTCAAAAATCATACCCCATATCAAAAACCTTTCAGTGCATAGCACTAACATATTTGAATTTTTTATTTCTCTAGGGATATATCCCATACCATGAACCTTCCAGCGCATAACATTCATATATTTTTATTTTTAACATTTACTTCCAGGGCCTGGCTCTCATCAATGGTACCCAGCTCATAGCATCTCTAGGAGCTGAAGGTGACTTTTATATTATTTTATTATTTTAAATAAGCATTGACATTCTTTAAGGGAATTAGAAAGAGTAGAGAGAGTTAAGTGTTGGAAGGTTTTCATAAAGAATGCAGTGTTTTCCTTAGAATACTCATTTTATTTTCAGAAAACTTAAGTTATTGGCGATTTAAGATTCAGATAAAAATTCAAAATAAATGATACTTGTACAAATTATGCACAGATGTTGTTGCTTATTATGTGAAAAATGAGAGCCCGGGATGAGAGCATATTTATCAGAATATATGGATCAGCCCTTGTATGACATATTTCTGGGTGTATCATCATTTTTATGTTCATGAAAACTTTTTGTTAATGATCATTATGAAAATGCATGCAACACCACAACTACTATATGTGTAAATATTGTACCTAATACCCTATCATTGGTTGGTGGATACTATAGTACATGTGCATATATGACTTGTTTACTTTAACTTGACTCTTTGGAAGATATATGGTTTTGTTTATTGACTCAATTTATCTTGGTCTGAAATTTAAAATTAATTAAAAATATTAAGTTTCCATGACATGATATTTGAACTTAAACTTCGGTCAATTAAAAGAGTCTTGAAAATGTTCGATCGATTGCTTTTACAATGGTTAAACAATGTCTTGAGTTTTTTGCTCGGGGCCTTTAATATATTTTATATATTTTCGAATATTGGTCCCAGTTTCTTGAAAATGATGACGAAACTGTTGCAAATAAGGTACATGTTACATGTAATGATCATTTTAAAAATAATACCTATAATATATATTTGAATAAACAGTATGAAAAATTACAAAATTTTATAATGTTCACATCGAATGATATTCACATTACGATATATTCCCATTACATAAAAATGTAGAAATGTGATCACTCAAGTTTCACTTGAGAGAGGAATTTGCATGTGCATATTTTAATGCACATTGTTTGAAAAAATTCTATTTTCACTTCAAAATTCGGCTTCAAAATATTCCAAGGCTAATAAGAAACTTTAATTTTTTAAAAGGAGGGAAAGTATCGCAACAGATTTTGGACAGTCATATGTTGGAGTTGGGTTATTTTCTGAGGATTTAAACAGCTGCATATGTTAGGCCAATGCATTACCTCCAGGAAAAGACTATTTATTTACTTGTACATATTGCTTGTAATTTTGTAACCACTATTGATCTGATTCTGCCTTTAAACAAGTGTTGCATGGAATAAAATACAAATGCAGTAAACAAAACAAAATAAGTAAATAACATGTAAAAGACTTTAAACATTTTTCAGCACTGGAAAGGGCAAATGCAATCTGTAGGCAAGCTGACATTATTGCAGCTTTAACTCTAGAGGTGTTAAAAGGAACAACAAAAGCATTTGACAGTGGTGAGTTTCATATTTTAACAATCAAACTTTAATAGAGAAAACCACCAAATGTCTCCCACACCTACCATGGCTGTAATTCAATACGTACAAGATGAAATATCAGCCCCTTTTGGAAAGGCTATTGGTGAATAAAATACAAACTGATTGATGCAACATCTTTCAATCAGCACTGTACATAGAGTACATACAGATACATATAATTGAAGTATTATGTTGTAGATATTCATGCAGCAAGGCCCCATAAAGGCCAGATAGCTGTTGCCCAAAGATTCCGGGCTGTTCTACACTCTGATCAGCACCCCTCTGAGATTGCTAACAGCCACAGGTTCTGTAACAGAGTACAAGATGCCTACACTTTGAGGTGCTGTCCACAGGTTCGCTTATGTCTAATAATTTTTCTTGTTTTGTGTAGAGAAAGTTTCAGCTTGAAATTAGTTACCCGCCATTTTGTCTCTTGATCGACCCTATTCAATCGTTTTGGCTTACATGGTGAGCCTTTAGAATTGTCCACTCATCTGTCCATCCACTACAATCATTATCCATTAACAATTCTCAGACAAAACTGCCATTTATCTGAACCACCACATACACATTGTATGAGGGTTGATACTGTTGTTCAGTGCCATTGGGCCTGGCTTTTACTTTTGCCTTGTTTTGGAGAAATTGGCAATTTTCACCATGTGAGCTCAACCAACCTCCGGGGGTTTCACTCCAATATACCTCTAAAGACCCCTTTTTTGGGGATTTTTTCCATGTCAATTTCCTCTAAAGATTGAAAGTTTCCATGTATACTACCTCTCAGACTTATAAAAGGGAGTAAATTTCCTGAAATATTGGTATATTAACTACAAAATCTATGTTTTGGGTGATTTGTCCCAGACTTTGCCAACTGAATTTCCCGATTTATTACATTTTTGTAGAAAAACTAATTTTTGACTGAAAAAAGCTCTCTGACAAATTTTCCATGTTTTTTCCCTCTCAGATTGGCCAGGTTCCATGGTTTATGCCCTGAGCCAAAATTGCTCATGCTGCACATACCTACCCAAATTATTTAGAGTGAACTCCCCAGGAACCAACGCACCCATGCACCCAATGGTACTATTTTTATGTCACCACCAAAAGTGTTGACATATTGTTATGGTCTCCGTTTTTGCGACGGTGGTTGGAGGTTGGCGTCCGGCATCTGTAACAATTTCTTACAACTTCCTATAACTTAACAAATACTGTTTAGATTGACTTCAATTTGTTTCCAAATCATCTACATGTTCTCAGAAGTTCAAATCTGACTTTAGATTTGACATTTGACCTTCAATGACCTTCTCAAGGTCAAAAAGGTCTTTTTTCAAGTTGCTTCACATTGACTAAATTTTTTTTCAAAATCATCTACATGTTCTCAGAAATTCAAATCTGACTTTAGATTTGACTTTAAATTTGACCTTCAAATCTGACTTTAGATTTGACATTTGACCTTCAATGACCTTCTCAAGGTCAAAAAGGTCAAAAAGGTCAAAAAGGTCTGTTTTCAACTTGCTTCAAATTGACTAAATTTTTTTTTCAAAATCATCTACGTGTTCTCAGAAATTCAAATCTGACTTAAGATTTGACATTTGACCTTCAATGACCTTCTCAAGGTCAAAAAAGGTCAAAAAGGTCTGTTTTCAACTTGCTTCAAATTGACTAAAAAAAATTTTCAAAATCATCTACGTGTTCTCAGAAATTCAAATCTGACTTTAGATTTGACTTAAGATTTGACATTTGACCTTCAATGACCTTCTCAAAGTCAAAAAAGGTCAAAAAGGTCTTTTTTCAACTTGCTTCAAATTGACTAATTGTTTTTTCAAAATCATCTACATGTTCTCAAAAATTCAAATCTGACTTTAGATTTGACATTTGACCTTCAATGACCTTCTCAATGTCAAAAAAGGTCAAAAAGGTATTTTTTCATCTTGCTTCAAATTGACTAAATTTTTTTTTCAAAATCATCTACATGTTCTCAGAAATTCAAATATGACTTTAGATTTGACATTTGACCTTCAATGACCTTCTCAAGGTCAAAAAGGTCTTTTTTCAACTTGCTTCAAATTGACTAATTTTTTTTTCAAAATCATCTACATGTTCTCAGAAATTCAAATCTGACTTTAGATTTGACATTTGACCTTTAATGACCTTCTCAAGGTCAAAAAAGGTCAAAAAGGTCTGTTTTCAACTTGCTTCAAATTGACCAAATTTTTTTTTCAAAATCATCTACATCTTTTCAGAAGTTCAAATTTGACTTTACAAGTTCTCAGAAGTTCAAATCTGACTTTAGATTTGACCTTTGACCTTCAATGACCTTTTCAAGGTCAAAAAGGTCTTTTTTCAACTTGCTTCAAATTTACTTAATTTTTTTTTCAAAATCATCTACATGTTCTCAGAAGTTCAAATCTGACTTTACATTTGACCTTCAATGACCTTCTCAATGTCAAAAAAAGTCAAAGAGGTATTTTTTCAACTTGCTTTAAATTGACCAAATTGTTTTAGGTGGTGACATTTTGTCATGTTAATGCCTTGTCTGTATAATGTAATACCATGAGGAAGAAATGTATGACAATAGTACACACAAACATAATTATTGAATTCACATTGAAAATGGCCACTTGCTCACTTTGTTTTTATAGGTACATGGGGTTGTGGTGGACACTATATCATTTGTAAAGACCCTTCTAACAACAGAGCTGAACAGTGGTACAGACAACCCTATGGTGTTTGCAGATCGTTCAGAGATCATATCTGGTGGCAACTTCCATGGGGAGTACCCTGCCAAGGCCCTGGACTACCTGGCTATAGCAGTACATGAGCTTGCTAGTATCAGTGAGAGACGCTTAGATAGACTCATGAACCCAGGTAGAGGTCCTTCTAAAATATAAGCTAAGACCTATGTTAACCTCATTATCATTTTTCTTAATATGTAAAAATAATTCGTAATTATGGATGTACAGTTCCATAATTCAGTACTTTAGTAAAATGTGTGTAGGTAGAACACCTTTGGTACCTCTAAAAAGTGTTCCAAATGGGTAGTGTTACATAGGTCTTACTGAGGTTCATTTAAGATTGGGTCAATAGGTCATGTGACTGAAGTGATCCACTTATTAAGGTGTTCCACGTACAGAGGTGTTCCACTTTACTGATTTTACTGTAATATCACCAATTACTACTGTGTGACGTCTTACCAACTTAAATCTATACTTATCTGTTTTAGCATACAGTGAGCTGCCAGCATTCTTGACTAATGATGGGGGTCTCAACTCTGGGTTCATGATTGCCCATTGCACTGCAGCATCATTAGGTGCGATAAATTATATGTATATACAGGTTCGTACATGTATATTAAAAAACATTTTGAGTGTTGTACAAAACAAGGGATATGAGGTTTTGTAATTATCCCAACGAACAAAGTTCGTTAGGGATATAGTGAAGCCCTCCGTCCGTCCGTCCGTCTGTCCGTCAGTCCGTCAGTCTGTCAGTCCGTCAGTCAGTCAGTCCGTCCGTCTGTCCGGAAGATAACTCAAATACTAGTTGACAGATTTTCTTCATATTTAGTGGAAAGATGTATATTGGTGAATAGTTTTACGCAAAAAAAAAATTTTTCAAGATGGCCGCCGCTTTAAAAATGACGGGACTTTTTCGCAAAAATCATAAATTTTTCATTCTGAACCAAAGTAATTAATATTATTGTTTGAAATTTTGGTAGTGTATTCACAACATTTATCTATTTCACATAAATTTCGTGTTTTTCATCCTGACCCCCAGGGGCCATGTATGGGGGGACAGGAAAACAGAAATTTTCGCTAATTTTTAGATCTTTCTGAAGTATAGCTTTATTATACTCAAATGAAAGGCAATTAAGAGTAGATTGCAAATATTGTATCTTTTTTCTGATTCGAGCCTCGTAAAATTCAAAATGGCCGTCTAATGTACGATTTCGCAATAATTTTTCGATCCCTTCAAAGTATGGCTATAGTATACTCAAATTGAAGGAATTTTGGAGTAGATCACAATTATGGTATTATTTTTTAGATTTGTACCTCAGAAAATTCAAAATGGCTGCTTTGCAGGAATTCGCAATTCTAAAATCTAATTTTTTCATTTTCAACCAAAGTAATGAGTATAATTGATTGGAATTCGGTAATTGATATTTTGTTCGTTGGGATTTGCTACTCCGCGGAGTTGCCATTATCTAGTTTTGCAAACTTGGATTCTGTTTCAAACCGCTACTGTCCATCAGTAACTATTAATAAATCAATTCCCATCTCATCCTACCAACGCTAATCCCTGGTCCATATTTTCAGTGTCCGAGAATAAGGTATTGTGTCACCCTAGTTCTGTTGACTCTCTGACTACCAGTGCAGGAACAGAGGATCATGTCAGTATGGGAGGATTCTCCGCACGCAAGGCACTCACTGTTGTGGAGAATGTGGAACATGGTGAGTTTACGGAAACTGAATTATTTACAGTTAAACTTGTATAAGTGGAATATTCATCACAATAGCATTCCACTTACAAAGGTTCATTAAACATTTTAAATCAATTGGTCTTAGGATTCCGCTTTAGAGGGGTTCTACTTAATGACTTAAAATGCATTTAACATTAAATCAAAAGTTCTCATGATTTTGAAATGTGTTCCACTTTAGAGGTGTTCCACTTCCAGAGGTTTTGATCCACTTGACAGTTTCTAGTTTCTACTACTTTTGCTTCATTTATAAGAGAACAAATGGCAAAAGTATAAAAACAAAGATTACTTAGAAATAAAGTTTAACTGTAATGCAAGTGAATGATCATACAGGGTGATCTGGAAGTTCTAGAAATTACAACTATTTTGAAATTATGCTTATCATCCTGTGACCATGGCTAAGTGATATTATATTTTTTATCTCTACAGAACTTGTAGTTTTGAACCAAGCTCATAGACACACATATTCATCATAAAATACATTTCAATTTAATTTCAGACTAAAGATTTTGACTCTCCTGATATCACTGAATTGGTCTTCTGTTTAGTTCTCCTCAAAATAAATAAGTTCATGTGTCTATTTTCTGAAGGACCCACATTCCAAAATGTATCTTTCCATTCACCTTCCCACTTCGAAAATGATCTAAAACATTGAAGTTTGCAGTTAAATGTTGGAGCCTGTCATTTGCATACACTCTCTGAGAATTGGATGTCGTATAAGAGCTTTGATTGTGCGATTCAGGAACTGCTAGAAAAAAGAGACCCCTTGGTTTGAGCACACACCACACTTGTGCCACAGTCTGTAGATCTCCATATGTGTTCTCTTTCATGTCTATTTGAGATTGGTCTACAAAGTCATACGACACTGCAAAATCAAAATGTTGTATCCGACTTTGTAAAAATAGTTCGGAAAATTCAAATGGGTTGTATTTTGATATCTTAGGATGGATAAATACAATGTTTACATTGTTATCTAAAGTTATTAAATGTTTCACATGTTGACATAACAACATGGCTTCAATCCATGGTGTTTGAGACCCTAAAACAATTCCTCGTTTGTTATAAAACACTCCTTCATAAGCACTAAATGTTCTCCTAACAAGTGAATCTGCTAACTCATTATCTTCATTTCCATTGGATTCCATCAGGACAAGTTCATTAATATAGTCTTCCTCATAAACTTTTGACAAAATATTATAATCAATGTGATCCCTTTGGGATCCTCCATCTTTATTGATATTCCTGGTGTGGGAGTCTTGCCAGGTAGGGGTCTTATGTAGGAGATGTATCATATGTAGGCAGTTCACTGGTTTCTTTAACAATGGGTAAAACAACCCAGAAGTCTTGCTCTTCGCAGTTAAGCTACATATCTCCCCACAGGAAACATTCTCTGGCTCTGAAGTTAAACATGTTATTTCAACACAGTTTTTTAATTTTTATTTTTAAACATTATTATATCCATCAGTTTTGATGACATATTTTTGGAGATGGAATTTACATAATGATAAATCAGTCCTCTTCTGTCAAACCAGAATGCTGAATTTGGGATTTCACTTATCTTTAGAAGTTCTACAGCAACTTAAATAATAGTAACAATAATCTGTTTTTTTTCTATTTTATCATTTTCTGGAGAACATTACAAATGAGAAAAACTCTCCAACTACACTCACCTTGTAGCATTGGATACCTCCGTTGTGCTTTTTCCCTCAGAGCCTTGGTTGTTATGCGATATATCAACAGAAAGTATAGAAAAACTGAAGTCAGTATTACACAGTAGAAGAACCAGTTATGCTTCATTGGTTTCCTTCTAAACCTCCTTTGCAGCATTTCCCTCAATTTATGTATGAATATTATTGACAGAATGAATACAAGATTCAAACGATGAAACACCAACTTCACATAGCATATCACTTATTTTTGGTTACATATTAATGCTAGTTAGCACGCATATGTATTATATATATAGCTTGTTTGATTGATGCAATTATATTGTTTATTGGGTGCATGGGTGGGATCAAGTTTATTAAAAGTGAAAGTTGTTGAACATAATTGTTTTATTTAAAGGATGTAAGATAGAATCTGTAATTAGGATCAAGTAATTGAATGTTGATGTCCATTTTTATGATCTTTAAGTGGATTTCTTTTTCAAGTCTTTAATAGATTGAAATGAAAATTTGATTTTAATTATCCACTCGAGATTGATCTGGATGTTACACCCACACTGAGAACCCTTGCAAAAAAGTTACTATTCTTGTCGCCTTAAGTATTAATCTAAAATGATTTTGTAAGATTCTTTCAATTATTTCTTGTCAGAACTTGCAACTTGATTAGCTAACATTTATTTTTTGTTTTGTGTAGAGCTTTTTCTCGCATTTTTGTTTAGTGATATTTACATTTTATGAATAGTGAGTGAGCGAAGTATGCACTTCATGTGAGGTCAGATAAAGTCAGAGAAAGTGCTTGCTCTCCAGATCAGACATTCCAGAGTGTATAAGTTACCAAAGGCATGAGATTTAACTATTCTCTAGATGATTTCTTTGTATGAATATCTGATTTTTTCAAATTTCTATACATTTATATATTTTTTCACCCCTTTTACATAATAAAACATCAAGACAACTTATTTGTTAGAAAATATCATTAGGGTAGTTCCACTCTGAAAATACCTTTATGAAAAAAGAAATTGATTAAAAACATAAAATGTCATACTGCGTATCATTTTCAAGAGGGTAACTTTAGTAGTTCAGTACCATCTTACTTTCAGTACAAATGAACAGGTCATTATAAAAATTACATAATAATACCATGTTAACCATTGAAAAGATAAAATACATTTTCTGTTAACAGGTTAATATATCGTCGCATGAGAATAACTTTGTACTATCTCACATTTTTACGGAACTGAGAAATCAAGGTTTGAAAGTTTAGAGGTCTGTATCTTACTTAGTATTGCTATGTGAAACTTGATTTTTTGTATGTCATCTGGTCTCACCCTAGAGATATCTTATATGAAATATCATACCTTGAAACAATTTACAAGATCCTTTTTTAAAACTATGGAAATGGAGTTGATACAATTTCCCACCGGAATAACAGCTTATTTCTAATTTCAAATTGTTATATCTGATATCAACTGTTTCAACCAATCAACTCTCTAAGAATTGGTCATGTGACTTGCAAAACTTGGAGTTATATATATATCTTTTATTGACTCTTTTAACAATCTTATATTAAAACAAAGTATGCCAATATGCATGTTATTGTATCTAGAATGAAAAATAATGTTTTGCTTTGTAAAAAAGTCTTCAAAAACCAAAGAATATTATTTAATAAAATAAAGAAAATTCAATTTATAAAACTTTAAAATCAATTTCTCAAATAAGTACAATTATTTCTTGATTTTGGAATCTCAGGACACCCTTCAAAAAGAATTTATTGCCTTTGAAACTAAGGCAGAAGTACAATGCATTGAATCCAATGATGCCAATACGGTCCCCCACATATTTCCCTCGGTATAAACCCTGTAGCCTAAACCTCCCAGCACATTACAATGTAGCCCCTAAGGGCCGGTCCGCTGGTCATTATCAGGTTATTTTTGATACAAACCAGTTGATTTTTTCACTGGGTATAGGAGAATAACATTGCAACTGGTCCGTAATTCCATTTTGACCAGCAGGTTTCAGATCCTTAGGGCCTAAGACATAACCAATTTTTATTACATGCACTTGGAAGAAATTTGAAAATAGAAAAATAAATTCTAATTCATTTTAGATTAATGAAAGTGATGAAACCTCGATTTAGGTAATCACATTTTTGTTCATTGGGATGCAGCTATCATTATCCATTCATTTTCTGTTGTTTGCTACTCTGTGGAGTACAATTGGGAATTGAAGCAATTGTAGAAGTGGAGACTAAGAGTGGCTCTTTGTAAAGAAATTGAACCAATTTGTTACTTTTCCAAAATAAAATGTAGATGATCTAAAAACAATGATCCCAAAAATGCAAAAGAAAGGACAAATCTGAAAAACATACTAGTAATAAAATAACTAAAAAGATCCCAGATGTTCAGTGAAAAGTGCAAAGTAAATCATAGATGAAGAGAAAATAAAATAAGTGTTTTAAGGGACTATACTAACATAAAGATAACTCCTTATTGATATAGTGTATGGTCAGTAAAAGTTAAAGCTAGTTTAAATAGATTTAGCTTTTTTCCACAAACTATAAAACATCATTTTGAAAGAGATTTCAATAGTATATAGACAGTGATTGCCTTTGAGCAATGTAGTGCAAAATATGACAGTTACTATTTGTTTTGATTACTATATCTAGTATATAACCTATTATTATGTACTCTATTTGAAGAAACAAATAAGTAGTCTTTCATCTTCAACATTTAATGATGACAGCTTCGTACAGTATATGCATTTCTATTGCATTTGGCCATTCAAACCCCTATAAGACCTGGTAGCTGGGAAGATAAAGGGTACTTTTGACTGCTCACATGATCTAATTTACTGGTCATTTGTACTTTTCATCTTCCCTGGTAGCGAGGATTTAGGTTTTCGAGGAAATTAGTAATTCTATTTCATATCATGTGGCCATGAATAATCCAATGAGCATCCATAATACAAAGAGTAATTGAGGGCATATAATTTTAATATGCATGGGATTACACATACTGTATCATTTTATTTTTTTGATCTACTTGTAATAGTTCTAAAACTAAAATATGAAAGGCCAGGCATGCAAACTGGCATGGTATTGTGTAACAAAACATTATTTCATTCTAGATACAATAACATGCATATTGGCATCCTTCGTTTTAATATAAGATTGTTATAACTCCAAGTTTTGCAAGTCACATGACCAATTCTTAGACAGTTGATTGGTTGAAACAGTTGATATCAGATATGACAATTTGAAATTAGAAATAAGCTGTTTGTCTGGAGATGGTACAATTTCACACTGAATTCTAGCTTAATGAGAGGGAATTGAGATGGGGCATGTATCTGAGATGAAAGCCTGTGTTTCAAATAGTAAAATTCCATGTCTATCTCAATTTTTTTGAAAATGGCAGTTAGTACAAAGTTATTCTCACGCGACGATATGTGGTACATGTCACATATGCATATTGGGAGTTTTGATATATTAAAGTAAGATTGTAAATTCCAGTTCTTGTCTGTAATTTAAATCCTTAAGGCATACCTATCTAAGAATTAGACCTTCTTTGGATCACACCCAGGTATCTTCCCGTCCATTGGTTTATCTGTCCATCCACATATTGGTCCATTCATCCTTGAAGACATCTACATCTCTAACTATATCTCTACCTGTGTATGTGTAACATGTAATTTCAGTTCTTGCCATTAAACAAACATCTTCCCGTCCATTGGTTTATCTGTCCATCCACATATCGATCTGTTCATTCATCCTTAAAGACATCTACATCTCTACCTGTGTATGTGTAATATGTAATTTCAGTTCTTGCCATTGAATTGCTTGCTGCCTGCCAAGCCATTGAGTTCCTGAGGCCTTTAAAGACATCTACATCTCTATCTGTGTATGTGTAATATGTAATTTCAGTTCTTGCCATTGAACTGCTTGCTGCCTGCCAAGCCATTGAGTTCCTGAGGCCTTTAAGGACAACAGCACCACTTGAGGAAGTCTACAAACTGGTCAGAGCAGTTGTGAAGTAAGAGTTTCAATTTTTGTAAAGGAATCTGTTTATTTTACATAAAAACTGTACAACTATTAATATTACAATAGTGTCACGTCTATGTTACTACCATGTCACACCTGTGCTCAATTGTGTCACATCTGTGTTTTATTTAAAATGTTTATGATTATGTCACAACTGTGTCAAATCTATGTTACAACTGTGTCACATCTAAGTTACAACTGTGTCACATCTATGCAACAATTATGTCACATTTGTGTTCAGTTGTGTCACATATGGGTTTTATTAGAACTTATGTCTATGTTACAACTGTGTCATATCTATGTTACAACTCTGTCACATCTATGTTACATCTATGTAAGAATTGTGTCACATCTATGTTACAACTGTGTCACATCTGTTTAACAACTTTGTCATATTTGTGTTGCAGACCATGGACCAAGGACAGACACATGAGTCCAGACATTGATGCTGTTACAAAGATATTGCGGGAGGAAAAGGTAATTCTTGTATAATAGTAATATCTCTTAAGAATATTTTTGGGTTTGTTATATTTTCTATGTATGCATATGTACTTCAGTTAGTGACAATACCATTTGCCCCTTCAACTTTACCAGCTAGTGTGTCTTAATTCTTCAATATGGTTACAAACCTTGTGTACAAAAGGATTTGAAATAAAGTCTAATGACTATAATGGAATGACTTTCAATTTTGGTAAAATAGTCCAATATTCAAGTTTGTTTTTCCAGGTTTGGGAAAAGATCTCTCCATATATAGATAACTATAAGCAGCTCTCTCCCGTGCAGGAGTCCCGGCCCAGCTCCCCAACCGCCTACATGCTAGAGGAAGTAGCACGCAAACTCAATCCTCCCAGGTCCAAGAAACGTAAGCTGGCTTCATAAACAGTGCATGGAGTAACCCTCTATAGAATAAATAGACTAACATTGTTGATTATTACAGGGATAAAATATGCCTAAAATATGGCCTCCAATGAGGAAACCAGAACAACGGCAACGCCAAAGCGTAGCGAATCCCATCGAACAGAAATGGCTGGCATTTTTACAAACGAAATATATAGCAAATATCATAAAATAACACACATAAGAAAGGCCACCATTTTCAAAATGGTTGCTCACTCAGAAGAAGCAATATGCTTTTTTTTATAGTATTCACATATCAAATATGAACAAAATCGCTCCACCACTTTTCGAGTAAAATACTTTAAAATGGTGGCCATTTTTCAAAATGGACGCCTTCTACCAAAAGTGTCATTAGACAGTGTGCCATGCTTATAGTATTCACATACCAAATATGAACAAAATCGCTCCACTACTTTTCAAGTTACAGCAAATCTCGTAAAATAATGAGTAAAGGCCGAGTAAAATACGTTTAAATGGTGGCCATTTTTCAAAATGGCCGCCTTCTACCAAAAGTGTCATTAGACAGTGTGCCATGCTTATATAATTCACATACCAAATATGAACAAAATCGCTCCACTACTTTTCGAGTTATAGTAAAATATTTTCAAAATGGCCGCCTTCTACCGCAATTGTCATTAGACAGTGTGCCATGCTTATAGTATTCACAAACCAAATATGAACAAAATCGCTCCACTACTTTTAGAGTTATTATGTCCCCACCACATAGTGTGGGGCCATATTGTCGGCCTAGGCGCGTCCGTCTGTCTGTCCGTCTGTCCGTCTGTCCGTACGTCCGGCAGTTTTCTCCAAAACCGCTACAGATATCACCTTCAAATTTTCAGGGATAACTTATGAGTGCATACAGATGTGGATGAAAAAAAATTAACTCGATACCTACTTCCTGTCGGCCATTTTGAAGTCAAATGCTAAAATCCTTGTCTGCAAACTTTAAGAAAAACTGCTTCACAGTTGCTTTTAAAACTTTAACATCTTGTTCAACTCACTTCATTCTAGATCTGATTAGGTTTTGGACCTGCTAGCTCAGTCATGTCAGCCATTTTGAATGTCTTAAGAAAAGTTAGCGCGCGATAATACTTTGTATCATATTGAATGGTGTTTTTGAGTTTTCATACTTTAACTATTTAGTAGCTTTATAAATAATTTCAGATGTACTTTGCTGTAAAAGCCTACTTTATTGTTAACAGCAGTTATATGTGATAATTTTGTAAAAAGAAATCAGCAAAAACTCATAAGGACTTTTTTATTGTCGGCCATTTTGGATTTTTCGGTCCTAAAATCTTGTCTGTGAAGTCTTGTCTGCGCGTTTTCAGGTGAACCGTTTGGTGGATCAATTTCAAATTTTCAGGGATGATTCTTAGTATAAAAATCTAGATCTCATTAGTTTTTTGGCATTCTGGGTAAATGTCAAGGCAGCCATTTTGGATTTTCCGTCCTAAAATCTTGTCTGTAAAGTCTTGTCTACTCGTTTTCAGGTGAACCGTTTCGTAGATCAATTTCAAATTTTCAGGAATGATTTTTAGTATGAAAATCTAGAACTGATTAGTTTTTTTGCATTCTGGGTAAATGTCAAGGCAGCCATTTTGGATTTTCCGTCTTAAAATCTTGCCTGTAAAGTCTTGTCTACGCGTTTTTAGGAGAACGGTTTGATAGATCAATTTCAAATTTTCAGGGATGATTCTTTGTATGAAAATCTACATCTGATTACTTTTTTTGCATTCTGCGTAAATGTTAAGGCAGCCATTTTGGATTTTCTGTCCTAAAATCTTGTCTGTAAAGTCTTGTCTACCCGTTTTCAGGTGAACCGTTTGGTAGATCAATTTCATATTTTCAGGGATGATTCTTAGTATGAAAATCTACAAACAGATTAGTTTTTTGACATTCTGGGTAAATGTCAAGGCAGCCATTTTGGATTTTCCATCCTAAAATCTTGTCTGTAAAGTCTTGTTTACATGTTTTCTGGTTAACTGTGTGACGGATCAATTTCAAATTTTCAGGGGTGGTTCTTAGTATGAAAATCTAGAACTGACTAAATTATTGGCATTCTGGGTAAATTTTAAGGTGGCCACTTTGGATTTTCCGTCCTCAAATTGTGTTGGTAAAGTCTTGTCTACTCATTTTCAGGATAACCATTTCACGGGATCACCACTTGGTGGGGACATTTTGTACACATTTGTGTTCTTGTTGTAAAATATGTTAAAATGGCTGCCATTTTCCAAAATGGCGGCCATTTTTCAAAATGGCCACCTCCTACCAAAAGTGTCATTAGACAGTGAGCCATGCTTATAGTATTCACATACCAAATATGAACAAAATCGCTTCACTACTTCTTGAGTTATAGCAAAAATCGTAAAATAACGAGTAAAGGCCTCCATTTTTCAAGATGGCTGCCATGTGCTTCTTTAAAATCTACATTTCTAGCTTTATCAATGTCCTATATAATTTTTTTACATTTAAAACATATTGCTATTACAGTTTTACATAATGTACCTAAATTACTGTAAAATCGGCACTAAAATGGCCGCCATTTTTAAATGAGCAGCCATTTTGAAAATTGACTTTCGAGCAGAACTTCTACCCCCATAGGGTATATGTGTACAAAATATGAACAAAATCGGGCCAACGGTATTTGAGTTATTGCCCGGACGGACGGACGGACGGAGGCGTTCCCTATATCCCTCCGAACTTCGTTCGATGGGATAATGATCCATCATTAGATCAAGTACAATGAGGGCATTATTCATTGTTAGATCCTTCACAGTGAGGGCATTAGTCATTGTTACATCATATACAATGAGGAAATTATTCAATAACCTATTAGGAACTGTTACATTTTTTTAATTGATAATTTTTCAAATACCATCAGGAGAGACAGACATGCTTTAGAAACTGATTTAGAAATACTTTTAAATAAAGTTGTGTCACATAAATTTGTTCTTGTGCAGTAAAATTCAACACAATTAGTGTGAAATATCATTTGGAGAACAAGGTCAATTTTGAAAAATCATAAACCTTGGACATTAGCTGCGTTTATTTATTATACTCATACAACTGCAATGGACCATAAGACCATTTATCTTTAGGGTTTCACTTTTTTTTACTACGCTTTCAAATATTTATCTCACGCCCAAAATATTTTTCATTCGGGGTAGTTTAGCTTATATTTTTATGAAAAGACAAGGTCCATCTAAGATCTTAGATCTAAGATTTTGTATGCACCGAAAGTTGTTTTTGTCTTACCAACAGATAGTATTCCTATATTAAATCCTAGATGAGGATACTATCTAGTAGTTCTTATTCTCTGGTACCATGGGATACATATAACGAGTGAAATCAGTTTTGAAGAAATATATATGGCAAAATGATGCTATTTTTATTGAGCTTTTTATTATTAAATACATGTACATTTAAAACTTGTTTAATGAAATATAACTTGATAAAAAAGCTATTCAAGGAAGTCATTGTTCAATAAGTGTTAAAAGTAAGTGTTGTATAATGTTGAATTTACTTCAATTGCACTAAAACTTTACTATGTATGACTGCATTGTTAATTATATCACAGGTTTGTTTCAGCAATTCACTATTCCTTCACAATTCAGAAAATCAGATTTCTTCATAATTCAGAAAATCACTTTTCTTTCACAATTAAGAAAATCACCCTTTCTTCATAATTCAGAAAATCACATTCACAATTCAGAAAATCTCCTTTCCTTCATAATTCAGAAAATCAATTTTCTTTCATAATTCAGAAAATCAATTTTCTTTCATAATTCAGAAAATCACTTTTCCTGCACAATTCTGTGAATCACTTTTCCTTCACTTCAGACAACAACTTTCCCTTGTTTTATGACATGTTTTATCACGTGATTATGTCCTCCTAATTGATATATCATATTCTCCCATCTGGAAATAAGAAAACATGCTGTATTGATATTAGGACGGGTACCAAATGTACTGAAATGGAATTCTGAATATTTGGAATTTCAGGAATAATTGACTTGATTTAATTCACAGTATTTTAATTTGAATTAAATCATGGTATTTAGATCTTATTGATTGTAAAACAAGTGAATTCTATGACAGGATGTGGAGCTATCAAAGTAAATCTGGGAAAATTGGAAGGTGGAGTCTCTCTCAACGAAATATTGTGTAATTAAGACTGCAAATGAAAGTATCGCTGGCACTTAAGTTTTAACTTTTTCTTAGCAGAACCACATCACATTTTAGGCAAATACAGTAAGTGATTTCACAAATGAAATCAAACTTCAATGGATTATTGAATTCAACATGAAAACATGAAAAATGATATATATGTTCTACTTCTACAGTACAATAAAACCTCTTGAACAACTCTTTAAACCCTATGACATTTTAACTTGAGCCACACACTTACTTTGGCTCATCTAAGATGACCATGTCTCCATATTTGCCAACCTCGAGTGACCCGTGCGTGCTAGATTTACCAACAGAAGCTGCTGCATTGAGAGTTGCCGCTACTAGAGCCTCGTTCATTGTCATATGTAGATTTACACAAGCTAGATGCATCACCAAAGGCTGTGAATAACAATCATGGCTTTCATTAAAGGGCTAATAGCTGTAATTTTCATCTTAAATATCCTATAATATTTTTATTTCATATAATGACATGCAGTGAAACCTGTCGAAGTGGAACACCTTTGGGACATCTAAAGGGAGGGAGGTATTCAACCTACAGATTTTTTTTAATATAAAATCAAACTTTATTAATAAACCTATTTTACATTACGTGCATACAATTACAGATGTCCATTTAACATTAAGTCACTTGGTCTTGGGACACTAAATATGTTCCACTAGCAGAGGTGTTCCACTTACAGAGATGTTCAACTTCTGGAGGTGTTCAACTTTACAGGTTTCACTGTATGTAACTTACAAAACTTGGACTTGGACATGAACCTTTACTGTAATTCTTGAAGCTTTAAAAAGTCATTCAGATAGAAATTGAATTAATTACTTTTAAAATTGAAAAAGGTACAACTAGTTTTTTCAGTATGGAACTTATATTGCTTGCTCAATTTCAAACTTTTATGACCATCAGAGGACACACTTACCATTGATAAACAATATGCATTTGGATTAAAATCACTGCCGAGAGCAACAGCGACACCACTTGCCAACATTTTTCTGACTGGTGGATTGTTTAAACGTAAAATATATGCTGTTGTTGGAAGAATCACTGCTATGGTTCCACTTTCAGCCATTTTCTCAATCCCAAGATCTGAGACTTCCTCTAAATGGCTAATAGCTGTAGCACCTAAGTCTGCTCCCATCTAGTATAAAACAAAACATTGCATTAACATGCAAAATGTCACTACCTGCAATTAGTTACAGACTTTGGTGGTGACATAACAAAATCTCAAAAATATATCAGACAGGGCTAAACATCTAGATTTCTGGGTTATGCGGAAACATGAATGTGCTTGATTAAACTTAATGTAAAGTATACAGGTTTATAGAAAATTAGCTATAAGGTAGTGGGCCAAAACAATCATTGATGATACCATGAAATCTGTCTTAAAACATAAATTATGAACATTGAAGAGTGATGAACATTCATATTACAATAAGTACATGTATATGAATGGCACTTGTCAACTTAAAGTTGATATTGACTAAAGTTGACAACTACAAGAATTTCCAAGTCTCCATAAACATGACAGACTCCCAGGTGTATCTCACCTCAGCAGATTTTATTGGATGTAGTTCATCACCGTGGAAATTAATTTGTAATCCTATATTTTTTCCAGCCTCCAATATTTGTTTAGTTTGTTCAACATTGAATACACCAAGTTCACAAAATACATCAATGTTATCAACGTGTAGTTTCTCCTCCTGCATGAGTTTGTGGATGCGGGGAATTTGGACATCAATTACATCTTTTGTAGCTTCAGAGGCTGAACTACCTCTGGAAATATAATGGTATAATCTTGCATTGATCCTTGTGTTTTGACATACACCACTTTTCTCCCAAAGTTTCAAACACAACTACTACCAATACGCTATAGGGATGAAACAAATAGTCAAAAACTCTGGAACAAATAAGTAAATCGTTTGAAGAGTGCAGCACCAATGATGTGGAGAAATGTTCATGAATATTTCATTTTTCACCCATGAAGAACATCGAACATGACACAACATCAGGAGAGCAAAGATTTGTAAAGATTATGAACACATCTACATTTAAAACAATGTTTGAAATCAAGATCAACATATTATCTGATGTCTTTGATGATACCATTGCAACAAATGAAATGATGGATGTGTCCATGTTAACAGTTATTTCAGTTGTTAGTTCGATATGACATAATAGCGCTGCTACTTACTTTGGGACAGCATGTGCCCCACAATATGTTGAGGATATATCTATGGGCACCTTCCTCTTTGCTCTTTCTATGACTTGCAACATCTTAATTTCAGTGTCTGCATTCAGACCATACCCACTTTTACATTCTACCAGTGTTGTACCTGGTATGTAAATATTAGAACATGACATAGGATTACAAAATATGAATAAAATATGGCACCTGTTTGAAATGATTCAAGTGGCTGATATAGTTTATAGAGGTTTTTGATTTCCAATTGTGCCCCTTTCTCTTCCAAAGTTTATCACATTTGTGTTCTTTATGAGCTATACATTCATGAATGGACCATGAATAAGACTCAGTCAGTTTCATAACATAGATTATGTACTTCAACTAAACCAACAGAGAGCATTTCTTGCTTTATGCTTGGCTTTTAGGATTTGTGCCAATATGATACTACCTCTTTGCCCATAGGCACATTACCCTAATCAATACCCTGGAAGGGTTTCAACCCTTTTCAATTAAATTCCTAAAAAGTACCTGATTTGAGCATTCTCCATAATCTTGACTTCAAGCTATGTAATAGTTCATCTTCAGTAGCTTTCCTTGTGTGTTCTACTGTGTAGTGAATGCCTCCTCCTGATTCATGCACTTCCATATAGGTTGCCCCTGCCAGCTGAAACACATGGGTTGCATCAATACATTTGATATTAGGGGGTTTTAATACGTATTGTGGATACACAGCCTGTTCTATTCCTTGGAGTACAAGGCTTAGATGAGGAGGGATGAATCAAAATGTGGTTGTCAACCATAAGGTAAGCAAAAATATTCAACCAATCATATCTATTTTGAAATCTGGAACATTGTTCTGGTATCACAGTGGTTGCCATGGATACATCTTAATTTAAAAAGGAACAACAAATAAAAAAATAAAATGCTGCAAGAAAAGAACAAAACAGTGACATTTTTACATTTTTTCAAAAAGTTACCCTTACGTGTCTGTTATGTATCTTTTGTTGCTTTTGTGAGGATATGCACTCATACTGCACTTACCTTCATTGCAAACTCATGCACCCTGTCTCCTGCCCACACTGGATGTGTATGACCATCAACCAGACCTAGAAATTAAATTACAGTAAAACCTGTGTACAGTGAATACATATGGAACCACAAAAAAGTGTTCACTATAGGTAGGTGTTCCTTACAGAGAGGCAATTTTATACAGAAGCTGTGGAATATGTGCCAAGAAGAGATGTTCATTTAACACAGGTGTTCACTAGGAAGGTGTTCACTAAGATTGGTTTTACTTTAGATTCTATTCAATGTGAATGGAGATCATTTAAGGTCAAGTCATACCCAAAAGGCCAATATTGCCAGGAAAGATACTGTAATCGACAATTAATGAGGCCATTGAAGTCTAAGATTGAAATAATCTGAGCCGTACAATATCTTATCATATCATTTTTATATTGAGAACTTGGAATCAGAAACAACTTAACAATTTCATAGAGGAGGTTAGGGGTTATTCACCTGGTATGATACTCATCCCTGTGGCATCAATTGTTTTCTCATATGTTGCATTCTTGAATGTCTTCTTTACCTCTCCATCTAAGCCAATTGCCTCTATGTTTCCCTTGCTAGAAGTATAAACACTGAAATAAACTTAGAGCCCTGCAATTGGAGATTGCAAACTTAGAGCCCTGCAATTGGAGATTGCAAACTTAGAGCCCTGCAATTGGAGATTGCAAACTTAGAGCCCTGCAATTAGAGATTGCAAACTTAGAGCCCTGCAGTTGGAGATTACAAACTTAGAACATGGAGATTGTGAACTTGCCCTGCATGTTGTGGAGGTTGCAAACTTGCCCTGCATTTGGACACTGTCAACTTAGAGCCCTGCATTTGGAGGTTGTGAATTTTGACTCACCTTGTAAGCCAAGGCAAGTAAGTCAGTGAACTGTTGATCCCACCTGGAAATGCACTTCAATTTTGTCTTGGAGGAAAGGGGCTTTCAATCATATCCATGGTCAAATAAATGAAGGTATAGTTAAAGTTATAGTTATATAATGGTTCTTTCTGTATATCGTTTTTATACTCGAGTGAGTATATGATATATTCACAAGTGAGCGTAGCGAACGAGTGAATATATTATATTCTCACGAGAGTATAAAATGCACGATATACAGAATGAACCATTATATAATCTTATTATGCCACTCTAAGTTCAATTACATTTGATTCGAACACAATCATAACAATTAAAAACCATAAAAATATCCCATAGCCGACTCAATAATGCTGATGTTGATCTCGAACCATTTATGACGTCACTTGATTCTAGGAAATCATGAAAATTTTCATGATTTTTTTTATTCATTAGTTCCCAGAATGCACTTCTACAGTGGTATACGCTGGAGTGTATACGGAGGAGTTGTATACGATGACGATATACCACTCTCCACTGTATATCGTTGTTATAGACCCATCTTATACAACTGTAATTGGACTTAGAGTGGTATAATATGATATATATGATGAGTATACCAATATAAAACTATCAAATAAAATATTGAAATACCATAAAGTAAAGTTAGTATAAAACACAAGAGGCTTTAAATATTTATATATAGAGTGAGTCTGCAACTTTATGTATCAGCCACAAAGCTCAGAAGACCAGGATTATATTTAACAGTTTAATATACATGTAGGGTTGTATGTATGAACTGAAATTATTTACCATTATAATCTTTATCAAGGAATCAAAGAGACATACATGTACTTGAACATTGTATTAATTAATCAGGTGAGATACTAGGGTGACTAATAAAAGTGTAGTTTGATTTATTATGATACTTAAAATTGTAGACATGTTTGTCATTGAACTTTAAGCCGTTTTGTCAAGTAGGCATGACCTTCGCTATCAAATATGACATAATTTATCAATTAAAGTATTTTACAATGATAGTTGATATGGTAAATCTCCCCGTAAATCTACAGGTAGGTCTTAAGCGCAGTTGTTTCCAAGGGTACATAAAAGGGATGTGTTTGCAAATCAGAACTTTTTCAAAGACAAACATGTCAGCAAATATCAAATATCTGAAAAGTAAACATTGTGTTGACATTAGTAAGTGTTTGGTAGAATAGATTATGTATAAACTTTATTAGGGGAAACTTCTGTAAGGGCCTATAATTCTATAAAAAGAATTTCTTTTATTTTATTTCATTGTTAAATGTTTATAAAATATTGAATGAAAGTTTTTGATGGTGGCAAACTTTTGTTAAAGACTAACTCTTTTGTACTGGTTGCACTATTACATTTACAGTATCAAATGACACTTTATTATAACAAAAATATTGTCCAACCATCCAATATGTCATATAGAACTCATCATAAGCATATACTTATTACAGAAGTATAAATATAACTTAGAACCATTGATATAATACTGTAACGTGAAACCATTGAACTTGTGGTGAACAACTGAACAATGATCACCTGTCAATCACAATGCTCACTCCATCCTCATTTGTTCGTTGAATTATCTCCAATTTCTTCATGGCTGGTCCCGTTAATACCCGTTCTCCATTGTTCACAACTTGTACCACTTGGGTAGCAGAATGCACAAGCAATCTCCTGGATGCCATATTGTCTCTCAGTTTGCCGGTGATCTAGAGAAAACACTGCAAATGTTAGAGGCGTCTCGTGCAAGTATTTGTTTACATTTTACAAGAACTGAAAACGAAAGTAGGTCATGACAATAATCAAAATATAAGTAACAATAATAATTCATCTTTACACTTATTTATGAGATGGATATATAAGTGAATTGTCAGTTAATTATAAAAATAATTTATTTGTATTTAAATTTAAAAAAATATTGTTAATTGTGGAGAACTATGTTGAATAAAATAAGAAATAAAATCGTCGCTATGAAAAGCCTCGTTTTCAATATTGTTTTCATCGACAACCATTTTTTTAAAAAGGTAGGAAAAGACCAATTTACCTGCTAATTAACCGATATGTTATCTATAATGTGTATTCTTATTGTTCCTTGAAGTATGTGAGATATGAAGAACATTTGATTTTTTGTTTAATAATGAACGAAATCTTCCTTGAAACATCTTCTCAATCTTCTCTTCCAGATTCATTTTTGGATTTCTGTTTTCCTCCTTCGTTCATTGTTCATCCATCTTCATCTCATGATCAAAAATCATCAAATTCAGTCCATGATTTTTCTCATGATTTTTTTTATTTCTAGCATTAAAAATTTGGTTTTAGTCTGGGCTGAGAAAATTGACAACATCTTGAGATATGCTTGTGGATCGAGGCCTACTCTGATGTTACCTCTTCCAGGCCAAAGGCTGCTAACTGCATGTAGTGATACAACAGACTTTTGCTAGAGAATCATGATGGATGATTGCTACTGATTTCAACATTTCAGTTTCAGCCATCACGCTTCTGAAAAAGTGATTTTGGGCGAGCAAAGGCTGTTCTATCAGATCAGACAAAGCTTTTGAAAGATGATAGAGCATTGATTGTTCAATGAAAATAAAGTTGCAGAAATCTATTTTTTGCACAATCTGAATCTTCAAAACAATAAGTCCCTTCTAATTTGTTTTATACTGTTATCTCCAGGCAAATCTCAATAGAAGAATAACATGGGTGATTCACCTCGATCTGCCAATGCATCCCCAGCACATTCTGATGCATCTGGGGTTGGGAGGAAATCCAGTAAGTACATTAAAGAAAGAATCAGATCTAGCGAGCAGCCTAACAAAAATTGTTTCAATTTTAGAATATTTCTGGCTTATGTCACTCGTTTCAATGTCTATTTTCTAAAAATCCTTAAAGTGTACACTTTATATCAGGAAAACTATAAGATTTTTAAAGTAATGTATTATTTTTCCATAAGCATGGTTACCATTCTTATTATTTGGGAGAATTTAAACATTTTTCCATTTTTTTGCAGTTTGAATCTATTATAACTTCACCAATTTATAACATATCATGAATCTTTTGGGAGATATTGTATTTGAGATAGTAAGGAATAGATTGGTAGGTCAATTGTACATGTTGCTTGTAATTTTGTCACCCCCATACATGTAGATCTGATTCTGCCTTTAATTAGACTGAAATAAAAATAATGCTTTAGCCTTGAATGGAAACCAAAAACTTTTAACGTGTACAGAACAACATACATGTATATTCATGTCTGCCTCACCCAAATTTACAGAAACTTAGTCATATACATGTACTTATTATTTAACCTCATCAATTAATTTTTGCCTTGCCTAATTTTAGTTCCTGGTTATCCTCTTAAATAAGTATTATTGAATGTACAACTTGTCTTATTTTCTCTAATCATAGAGTCAAAAACATATAATGAAACATCAGTATTGTCAAACCAAATAGTACTTGAAAGAAAAGTTTTTGATAAATTGACAAAAGTAGTTTCTTTCTTTCAGAAAAATTGAATAAAATGTAATCTGTCATTTCGGTATAAGGATACTATGCATTCGTACTCTTACTTTGTAAATACATGTATCAACATGAAATTTTGAAAGATATTACTCATTACAATGATTATTGGTGTATGAATTATAATCATTGAAATTCTAATCATGTACCTTAGCAATAGCTGCATGCTTTTTGTTTTAGTTGCACAGTCAAGGAACTCAGGAAAGGTAACATTCCCCAACTCAGCTCAGTCAAGAGGCAGTGCAATCACATATTTATCAGGTGAGAAAACTTTACCCTTTTAAAGTTGCACATTTTGAAATTAATCATTTTGCAAATCTTTGTCATGAAATCGCAACAGAAAGGCTTTACTTAAAGCTGTTTAACTCATCAGAGATGAGGCAGGCCAGTCTATACTTGAAGTAGCAATTAATGGCATCCTTTGCTCTGTAGAGATGTACTGGTATATGGATATTGGCTAACGCTTGCATTTTATTTGTTCACTTAAATATTATATCATGATTGTATTGTTTTACAGATGATGAGCCAGATAAGAATCCATTCCGGATGCCACCAGAGAATGATATTTTTATGCTCCGGGACAAAGAGAGAGAAAAGAAGAAACAGGTTGGTCAAAACAAAACGTTGGTCTGTTGGTCATGAGTAAACAGAAGAGTTTACAAAGAGCAGATTCTTAAGACTATTGTTCTTTAGGGTTTCTCTAGTACCTCATGTTTTCCATAGTTGCAATAATGTATATATGAATTTTAGTAACTAAGAATGTTCTGATGAAATTCTGATGACACTAGTGTTTAATAAGGTGAATAAAACTATTTGATAAAACTGTTACTCGTATGTATACATTATCCATCCATCCAAGATTTTTTTCTTGTGAAGTTTCATTTTGTGAAATTTATCATTTTTGAATTTGTGATACTGGTGGAAAATGCCATACAGTGCTATAGTACATGCATATACTGTATTTCATCAGGAGAGAATCAAACAGAGAAAGTTAAAGGTCCATGAGAAGACAACATATGCATCCAGAGTGAACTTCAAGACTGCATCCACTATTCACCCTGCAAACTCTGATGATGATGAAGGCCAAGAGGAGGATGATGATAAAGCTGTTGCAGTGAAAGATGATCCACAGTTCACTATAGCTGTCACTAGAGGTAACACCTATTCTTGCATGAAGTCTCCTGGCTGATGGCACATGGGCAGAGATTATTGAAATTAGTAATGTTTACTTCTCTCTACCCGAGACCATTGCGTTGCATTTTTGGTAGATATCTTGAAACCCACATTTATAAATGTTTGCTGTGTTTTAATGGATCTTTAGAATGGAGTTTGCATTGAAAATAATCAATATTGTTGAATGATGAGACAACACCTATATTATCACTGTCTCTTAAAGTGTTTCATAAATTAGTTTTGTCCTTCGATATATGTCTCAAGATTAAGACTAATAATCAGATTGATTTGCCTAACTGCTCTATGAATTTAAAACAATGCAGCATAGTACTAGAATTGTCTTTGATCAAACTACACATATATATTCATCTTTATACCTATGTTTCAGACCGACATGTTGAAAAAGAATCACTGGCAGACTACATCACAAAGAAACGTGAGATGTTCTTAGTTCAATACTCTTTAGGGGTGAAACGGGATGAGATGAGGAAGCTTGAAGATATTGCGGGTGCAGAGGAGAAGAAACTTGAACTAGCTGAACAGTATCTTGAAGAGGACGCTGCAATGTTTGATGAATTCCTGAAGGAAAATGATAAAAATTCAGTTGAAGCAATAAAAATGTAATTCATTTATTTTTTTATAACGACAGTTTCCACATAGACATGTATGATAACATTTTTGGAATAGCTTTAACTTTTTGATAAGCATGTATCTCATTTTTTATTTTTCCTTTCAGAGCTGAAGCAGAAACTAAGGCAAAATTAGAAAAAGTAGCAGAAATCAAGAAAATCAATGCACAGATGATGGGCATAAAAAGTGAAATATCAAAATATGAGGACACTCTCAAAGAATACCAACTTTATAAACGGTTTCTAGATGCCCTCACACCCAAGGTATGTGTGCAATCTGTAATTTGATCAAATATAACAGGTCCATAGTAAGTTTTTGCCAAGGGGAGTTCACTTTTCAAAAAATTCTTAGATGCGACAAAACAAATGTACTTTACATTTAATCTATCTGATAGTAGCAAAAATCATTGATTTTTATTTCAAATATCATTTTTGATCAAATAAAATTACATGATATTAGTTCATTCCTAATTATTGATTCTTTAATAGCACTCGAAGAACATTTACAATGAACGTTGAACATCTATTAGATTTCTTATCTGTATATGTTTTACTTTATATATTACTAAATGAAATCTATTTGTAAAATTTATTATTAGGAATATTCAGACAAGCGAGATGCAGAAAGGCAAAAAAGGAGAGAGGAGAGGCGAAAGGCAAGACAAGCTTCCACAAAACCAGCTACACCAGGAATGGATGAGAAATCAGGGACCAGTCTTAGTGTTAGTAATGCAAAAACAAACAAGGGGAGAATCTCCAGACAATCTTCAAAGACGCCAACTGGTAAAAAGTAAGTCAAGATGTTAAATAAATAAGACTGAAATATGTATAAGGTACATGTATATCATATGCCTATAGTATAGTATGTTGGCTGTTTCAATCTAAAAAAACATCAATGCAAAATTGTGTTGAGGCATTTGCCTATCCTGCATCATAGCCAAAGCCAACTGAGGTGACATATTGTTATAGTCTTACCTTTTGTGGATGGTGTTTAACAGTTGGTGTTTTGAGTCTGATGATTGGTGTTTGGTATTCAATGGTTGGTGTTTGGTATCTGTAACAAATGGCAGGTGGTGATATTGTTCATGTTTAATGCCTTGTTAAGTCAATTGTTTTTAAAACATTGTCATTCTTCCTTTCAGAGGAGACAAAGATAACAGTAGTGTGGTGGTTGTTGCAGAGGATATGGAAACATCAGAGGAGTCAGAGGAGGTATGATCCCATCATGCAATACTGAAATTGTTTAAAGTAATTCGTCTCTGAAAGTAGATAGACTTTTATGGTAGTGCCTTCTATTCTCTGAATAAAAAGAATATACTGTGCATGTAATTGTATGATATATTCAAAAATACATTTGATATGTTAGACAAGGTTGAAAATGAGATAAACAAGGTTGAAATGAGATAAATACCAAACAGCTTCTAGATACATTTGCTGAGCTTGAGGAGCAGAACTTGTCTTAAAAGTGTATGTAATATTTCAGGAGCTAGACTTGTATTTCACTGACCCCCAACAACTGCTAGATATATTTGCCGAGCTTGAGGAGCAGAACTTGTCTCTCATACAGAATAGTCAAGAAGTTGAGGAGGCTTTGGAAGAAATGAAACAAACAATGAAACAAACCAAACAAAAAATGTAAGCTAAAATGAATGCTGGATTTTGATCAATTATAGCCAATCTCTAAGTCCGGATATGTTTTATTGCACTTTAAAAAAGCGCTATATTGCCATTGTATTGTGCTATATTGCCATTGTATTGTGCTATATTGCCATTGTATTGAGCTATATTGCCATTGTATTGAGCTATATTGCCATTGTATTGTGCTTGTTGCCATTGTATTGTACTTAGTTCAGTTACTGCCATATTTTATATAACATATATTTCAATAGTTCTTAACAGTCAAAGCATTATTTTATGTTTCTATAGCTTTTTGATCATTGCCCAAAATTTATGTTTTGATTATAGGGAAAAAGAAACGGAGGTGCTAAAAGATCAGATAGATAAACTGAATGATCAGATTAATAAGGAAGAAGAAAAGGCTGCAGAATTAGAAATGAAAGCAAGGTATGGATGTTATGTGATTTAACAGTTACATTTTGAAGTAAAAATTGATATTAGATTGTGCTGTTATGATTAATGAATATGAAAAGTGATTTGATAAAAAATATATTTTCAAATTAGAGACACAAATAATGCCTAAATAAGTAATGAATATACTACATTTATTAAATTATATGGTTTTTATTTGTGATATACTGTAAAACCTGTTTAAATGGAACCCCTTTGATACCAACAAGGGTCTTTCACCTTGAATGCCATGGTACCAGAGAAAAAGTTCTTTAGAGATGTTCAATAGACAGGGGTCCTTATATCATTGATATAAGTCATTAGGTTGAGGGACTTTAATGTGTTCCACTAATGAAGGCGTTCCACTGACAGTTTTTACAGTATGTTCAAATGATTGCATGTATTTCTTTAATTGTAGAATGTTCTCATATGGTGAATTCAAGGCTGAGGACCAGGAGAAAATGTTAGCTCAGCTTAACAGCAAAGTGGAGGAAGTCTACAACAGTTGTATAGGGAATAATGAGGCTAATATTAGGTTAGTGTTGTTCCAAATGGATAATGGACCCCTGGTTTATTTTTTCCCCACTCGGATGACCTTATGCACTAATATCTAACCTCTCCCCTCTTTTACCCCATAATGGATCTTACCATGTTTATGAGGAGGATTAGTATATAAGGTCGTGTGGGGTAATTTTTTTTGACATCAGGGGTCTAGAGTTTGTGTTAAAACAATTGCACTTGTGTGGTTTAACTCTTAACACTTTTTTGGTTTAATCCAAATATGCACAATTTCATCACAAGCACTCATCAGTTTGTTTAATCCACGGCACCTGATCATTGTATTTATCTTATCTATATGCATTTAATTAAATTTCCTTAATTTAATAACACTATCTAAACCTATCTAAAAAAAATTCCAATCACAAGGAAAAAGACTGAGTTGAAAGTAAGATTCCACAAAATTGTCAAAATTTAACAATATTTTTGCCTCTCATCCCACTCTGATCCTCTTTTTCAATTTGAATAAATTTGGACATTTCTGCATATTAAATCTGCTCATAAAATCATCACTATATCTGCACATAAAAATCACATGAAATCAGGGTACTGTTTCTGAAATGGAAGTTGCGAAAACATTTTTATTTTATGAAACAGTCCCCAGAATATCCTCAATTTTGGAATAATATTTTTGTACTGATCCTTGAAACGGTCCCTTGAGTATGCTCAATTTTTAAATAATACTTTTGTACTGATCTTTGTAAATGGGTTCTTGCACATTTGAGTTTAAGACACACATGTCCACAATCACAAATTGTTTTAACACCAACTGTCTGTGTGGAGCAGCAGCTATTTATAATATAGTTCACGTTATTTTAATACATTGCACACATAAGTGTTAAGGTTTGATTGTTAGCATTACATGTGTTTTTGTTTTTATTGTATTGCACATAAAAAATCATATTTTACAATCCATTTTGCTGTTCCATATACATGTACAGTACATTTCTCGCTAGTGAAACCTGTATAAGTGAAACAGCTTTGCACTTTTGAAAAGTATTCCACTTTGAGGTGTTCCATTTATAGAGGTGCTTCATTTGAAAGTTTCACTGTACTTGGCAAGAAATGTGCCATAAATAGTGCAACTCCTGGATCAGTGATTCACCTACGCAGAGACATGTTTTATATGTCTCTGACCTATGGTATTACATATTGAATCATTTTTCTATGTATTTGAAGAATGGGCAGCGACTAAAACCAAAACATGTACAATTATGCAGTATTCTTTACAAAACTAATAGATAATATATAAAAAAAAATTAAAAAGTTGATATAAGACAGACATTTTACATTAGTATCAATCTTAATCTGTTTGTTTTCATTGTAGAAACTTTCAACATGAATATCATATTCGGGAAAATTAATCTTCTTTTCATTTTGCAGTACTTTACAAATGTTAACGAATATAGAAAATAGACTTGAAGAGCTGTTTGAAATGATAGAAATGATGCCCCCTGATAAAGTTGAGGCTGCTGAAAAGGTATAAAATCATTTTTCTTTTCTCACTCAAAGAAATTTTTAATCGAAAACATACAATTTAAAAAAATACAGTAAATGTACATGTACCTTTAATTTTGGAAATTGTAATACGCTGTAGATGAATTCAGTCTTTTATAGAAATATGCTATTTGACATTGATTGATATAATTGTTCAAGTATGTCTATGTGAGTGTAGTTTGTATGTAGTTTCTGCAAAGAAACCCAGTTAAAGTTATTAATTTGCAGAAAGTGTTGTCCGTATATGCATGCATTTAATGATCTTGTATACTATACATGTATGTTCAGAAAGTGAAGTTGGTATACAATACTAAAACTTGTATTATGTTTCAGTCTAAAGAGAAAGAGAGAAGACTGAAGTTGCGAGAGGAGAAAATGGAACAACAGAGGATCCACCAGGAAGAGAGGGTAAAGAGAGCCCTGGAAAGAGCAAAGGCTGACCCCAAGAAAAAGGTAAAATCCACTTAATGAGATCGTCATATTTCCATATATTGAGAATATTTTAGCTGATATTTTTAACATTTCTTATTTTTTAACAAATACTCACTTCTTATGAGAGGGAATGTAAATGATTGGAGTTGTTTCTACAGACATGACGCTAGTCATTAATTAGGTCAGAACTCCTGAGATCTGAAAAAATCATCCTTATATGCATAAAATATTGCTGTTTCAAGTATCCCCATAGACCATTAGTTCTGGCTGCATAACAAGAGTATTTCATATGTAATTCTAGAAATCTGAAATGTATTTTTTCTATTTTCAGACTGGTCGTAGGCTGGTGGGGAGGTCTGAGCCCCCAAGACTTAAGAAGAAGGAAGATGACGGGGCTGACAAGGCCAGCAGAGAGGAGGAGGAACTGGCTTATTTCTTCACCTAATAGACACTGGGCCTTTATACATCTTTATCATATAATAGACACTGGTCCTTTAAATGTAACCTCACTGAGATTCCAAATAGACAATGGGCCTTTAATTCTCTGCCAACAGACACTGGCCCAATGTTTGCATCAAGGCCCTGTGGAACAGTTTCACCAACTCAACCAGCTCATAGTGGGGAAGTTTCAGGTTTACTTTCGTATCATACTGGTAAAAGTGGTCAGTTTTACATTGAATCCATCCAAAGAAAATACCGTCCAATATTGTACAGTACATTCTTTTTTGATATACCATTGACATATTTTGTTATTTATTATTTACATGTAGATACGTTTATTAGATGATTTTATGAAGATGTTCTAAGACCCAAATTTAGATCAGCAGGTATGGTCTACGGACTGGAATGTGTTGTTATCATTATAAATAGTAGTATAACTTCAATAAATTAATAAAAATGTTAAATTATAAACAAGTGTTTCACTAAACGTTTTGTTAGCAACCAGAAGTCAAAACAAGACACACCCATACCAATCATAAAGAGCAAAATAACCAGGGTACGATCCTTTGAATGTTTTCTCAAGACTCCTGACAATATGAGAAATGGCTGTTTGATATTTCAAGATTACCATCTAAATTTAACCAACTCTGGATTTTGATACCATCAGTATTTGAATTTTGATTCGATTCCTACGACAGCTTTTCCTGGAATAACTATGAGCAATATCCTTTCAAGATAGAGGATGGTCTTATTATAGGGTTTATCCTGGGGTCTATCTCCCCAAAGTTTGTAAAATGATGAATTAGTAAGTCTATTGTTGTTTCTAGGATTTACTAACAACTTGCATTTCTCGAAAACAAGTAACTTTTTACGCAGTTACTAAAAACTGACATCATCTGCAATTTTTATTGCGACTTTTATAGTACCTCCAGAGGTCTTGAAAGTCTTTCTCAACTCTTACTTCCACTTATACAGACACTTATATAACACGGATAGATTCAGGTCCGATGTCCAAATATGTTACAAACTTTCGAGAAATACAACTTGCGATTTCGTAACTTTTTTAAACTTACTCACGTAAATTAGTAACTACTAATTTTCCAAAAATAGACCCTTGGATCTTAAAAGCAAGACATATTTTTAACAAAATCCCATGGGACATATTTTGAATGTAATTTTAATTAATGACTCATGGGCCAGATGGAGAATATGCCTTATTTTGACGTAATATTCCAAATGATAACATATGTCAACAGCACCATCAGAGGATGTCATAAAACAACAATATTTTTAAAATTCTATGAATTTACTGTACTGTATTTTCAATACATACATATACATAATTATATATTTATATTATTTACAATTAAAAAATATTCTGATTCTAATGTAATGGAGATCAAAGTGGTCTAGCCACCATGGAACTGTCATACCTTCAATAAGTGAAACTAGGGCCTAGGAGTATAAATAAGGCAAACTAAACATTATAAGCTAGCATAGGTTAGAAAATGCTCTGCTTTTTGAACTGTAGGCTGATTTGATTGGTTTGAAATCAGAAGGAATATAATGTCCATACATACAACAAGAGTGATAGACAATAGAAATAGCTGGATAAAATCGTGGACTTTTTAACCCATTCACTGACTAAAAGGGGCTCAATGCCATTTCTGAAAATAATTAGACATTGTTACAAACCTTCCCTTCTGTAAATATCAGAGCTTGAAAAAAATGCCCATTAGTGAATTAATTCAATTTAATTGCCTTTAAGAATTTTATGCACCACTTATAAGTTCTGCACTGGCATGCTGCTTACTAAATGGGCAATTTTGTCTTGAATGAGGAAAATATGGTGTCTCCCCTAACTTCAACTTAGTCCGATTTATATCTTAACTTGGTATCAGAAAATGGGTTTTACTGGATAAATCTACTCATAGCATCAAGAATGCATGAACTCAATGTTATTTACTCATTTAAAAAATGGAGGATGAGATATTACTTGAGTCAATCCATCAAGTTGTTCATATTGCTGTTCATATAGCTGTTCTATAGATGAAACATTACTGGGGACTCTAGTCTATTGACAACTTCAACACATTTGCAATACAAAAAGGTGGAAATATAAAAAGGCTCCTAATTATTACATTATTTTATGGATGACATGGGTTCCAGTTCATTTTCCCATTCAATTTTCAAAAGTATTACTACACATAACTCTTTCATAATACAAATATCAATACATGTAATTACATTGTCCCTGCTTTGAACCATATAATCCACTGTGGTAGTGTCCCTGTCATATTCCTATTGCTTCTTCACACATTATGTTGCCTAATACCCTAATTCACAGGCATTTAAGCCAACTTCACACATTTTGTTCTCCAGTTTTTCACACATACTCAAGGCATTAATGTCATATTTTTCATATACTCAAGACATTAATGTCATATTTTTCATATGCTCAAGGCATTAATGTCATATTTTTCATATACTCAAGGCATTAATGTCATATTTTTCATATACTCAAGGCATTAATGTCATATTTTTCATATACTCAAGGCATTAATGTCATATTTTTCATATACTCAATGCACCAATGTCATATTTTTCATATACTCAAGGCATCAATGTCATATTTTTCATATACTCAAGGCATAATATCATCCTATATATCCAGATAGTCGAGGCCTTCATGTCAGCTTTATTGAATGTTCCAGACATTAAGAACACCAACTTTCCATGTGTGATTAAACACAATCTGTTAAAGCTTGGGTTTTTAAACGCTATCTTGCCCCATCATTTCATACTCTACTCCAATAATAAAACACTGTCATAATTTATTTTAAGTACAATAAAACTAACTGATCACTCATCGACATCCATCGGCTCTAAGTTCTGCTCTGTCTCAGCAGCCGCAGATTCTGATTGGTCCATTATGGTGGGGGGCTGTTTGTCTGTTTCTCCTAGAGGTGAAGAGGTTGTCTCCATGTTACAATCTGGCTCAGTAGTCATGGATTGCTCTGTAGGGAGGGGAGAGACCTCTTTAGGGTCCCCATGGGGTTCCGTGGGTAGAGTATTGCCCACACCAGCACTATCAGAGACAGGCTCTATTAAGGGCGTGTTTGTTGAGGTATCAGGGGTGGGGACAGTAGAATCTGATACTGTCTCAGTTTCTTCTGTATTTGAAATGCGTGGAATTTTAGCCGAGGATGGTTCTAAATTGGATTCTGAGCATGTGATTTCATTGTTTTCTCCTGTGTTTGATTGGTCTATTTCTGCTTTTTCTATTTTCTCAGTCTCGTCTGATGATGTCACCAGTTCTGGTGCAAATGTTGAAGCTGCTGATGTGATGTTTACATTATCAATCTTCCCAGGATCAACAGGATCAAAGCCAGTGCTGTTCTCATCTAGTAACACTGAGTCTAATTGGTCAACACTACTGTCTACCTCTGTTTGAGACACTGGCTCTGATTGGTGAGTTGTTTGTGAGGGTGTTTCTGATTGGTCCGTTTGTGAAGGTGTGACTGAAGAACTATCAATGGAGGTTGTAGTTGAAGGAACAAATGGCTGAGTAGTATTGGCTGAAAAGAAAATGTGGGACTTTCTTATATAATTCAACAAGGCATTAACATGCAAAGTATCATCACCTGCCATTTGTTACAGACACCGACCATCAGACTCCATTTATTACAGACATTTTAGAAATATTTTCACTGAACAAAAACTTCACACAAGTAAACCAATTGAAATCTATGTGAGAGTAACCATGATCAGGATTTGTTCATTTCCAATAGTTGAAATATTCCATGTGATGCAACATTGAATTTACCATTACCTTTACTATCCTCAGAAGTTTCTTCAGTTGAACTGTCTAGATTGTCTGTGGAGTCTGCTTGTACTGATACAGGGTCTGGTTCCCCAGGAGCTATATTTTTATTGTCCCCAGCTTCAGTAGAGTTAATCTCTTTTTCCTCACCACTTTCTTTATGCTTATCTACATCCGTTTCTTTAGTATCAGCTTCATGTTGATCCGAGGTCTCAGGTCCAGAGGGGATTGTGTCTGTCAACCGAGCTTCAGCTTCCAGCTCAATGTCATCTGGCTTTTCAGCTAACCGCTCTCCTCCCCCAGTTTTAACTTCATTTGGCTTTTCAGTTAATCCTACACCACCCCCTGTTCCATTGTCATTTGGTTTTTCAGTCAATCGTGCTTCACTCCCATTTTCAGAATTACTTGGCTTCGCTGTTGTTTGCGCATCACCTCCAGCATCAGAGTCCTTTGTGACTGTTGCATTTGAAGGTGCCTTAGAGTCTGTATTGTTAGACTGTAGAACAGTGTCACTGTCTTTGTTGGAGTCTTCACTGTCCTCGCTACTCTCTGACTCCATGCTGCTAGTAGAACTATCACTACTGTGGTCATGTCTGTCATCATTGTCATCTTGCTCCTTACCCTGTAACAACATTGTGAATTCTTAATTACCATATTCAACAGCCTCAATTCCAGCAAAATTAGCGATTTAACATGTAACAAACAAAATGTGCGGGCAACCAGCTGCATAAAGAGAATACTTCAAAATGTAAAGATTTCTGTCACATTTACAGATATTTCATAATCCAATTCATGAAAGTCAAATCATGTGTTTGCCTCCATAATTAGAGAATATATATTACTTATGATGTTCACTCTGCCTATATTCATTGAAAATTAAATGAGACTTAAGGAAAAGAAATTGAATTACATTGTAATTCTAACATGGTACTTACTTTTTGTACTAAGTATTGATTCAGAATTATTTAGAGACCAGATCATAAAATCTAACCTTAGATATAGTGTTATTCGCTCACCTTCATAGGGTCTATAGGTGAGCTAGTTTCAGGTCCCCAAGTTGCTGTAGTTGCAGTGTTAAACCAGCCAGGTGAATTGAAGGGGGCTAGCTGTTGACTATGTACACCATTGTTATTTGATGTGGAGTCATCTGGATGCCCATTATCCAAACCATTCACCAGTGATATCTTTGATTCATTCACAATTTTACTACAAGAAATTAAATTGAATTCATCAATTGTGTAGTGCAGAAATTTAAAAAAATCATTGGCCTCAGTCTCATTTGATCTACGACTACCTTACAGCAGTCATAGTTTTCAAAATTGAGAGAAATATGCAGCACGAAATATAGGGGTAAGCAGTACAATGTAGATTTACTATATCGATTTTGTGAAGCTATGGCTGCCATATGGCACAAATATGACAAAGGCTTTCGTTTTACAATGTGGATGTTGCAGTTTATAGTTTGCATAATTGACAAGCAATCTCATTGGTCTAGAGCATTATCTTTAGAATCATGACAATTTAAATCCAATAATAGGCAATATTGTTCCAAGTGGTGCTATAAAATTCGAACATAAACTCTCATTTATATCAGTAATGCTGTCAGCTGGACAAATTGGAATTATGAGCCTGCCGTATAAACTTACTTTCCTGATGGATCCACAGAGCTGACAACATTGATATTCTTCTCTATGCCTCGTACAAACTTGTCGGGTCTTTTGTAATGTTGTTTAGGATTGGTCACCAGTTCACACAACCTTTGAATCGTGAACGGGGCCCTACAATGAAGATTTGTGTTTGATATAATGTGTACATGCAAACTCTTTAAATGGTTCAGTAGTTCGTTCCACTCTATTTCAAGCAAATTGAAAAAATCAAAATTTGAGCTATTCAATTGAATTTAAACATTTCTTCTAATATCTGATCAGATACCTTTTTCCAAGATGAAATTAGGATTGTAAGGGAAACAATGGAATGCTTTTTGAAAGATCAGTTCCAACATTTTACACTCTATCAACTTCAACTTATTCTATTTGTCATTTAACAGACCATACAAGGCTGTAATTACATTCTTCTGGACAGATATCTCTCTTTGATTCATTCAGTTTAATCAGAAATTACTTGCAGTTCCATATAAAGTCTTAGAATGTGATTGGGTCTATTTATGGCCTTAAAAGTAAATGGAAAATGCTGATGTTTTGGTTAAAATATGAAATGATTGCATTCCATATAATCTATTTATTTATATATTTTTATTTATTTATTTCATGATAATATAACAATGGAATGTACAAAGCATGTGCACTCGACAATTCTCAATTTAGAACCATTGTCAAAATTCAAAACCTCTTATTATTTGAAAACATAAGGTACTTGTATATTCAATGCAAATTGAAGCAATAATTCCTGACTTATTTTTTTGGAAAAGCAAGCTTTTCAAGTTTGAACCAGAAGCTTTTTTGATAATGAACCAAAATAATTCATAAAAAAAAGCATACGTACATGTTCAAAATAAAATTTTCTCACAAAATATAATTACCCATTAAAATTGTTGACCGCATTGATGAGCCTTTCTTTAATTTCTGTGAACTTGACGTTTTCAACATTGGGACAGGGTGTCACATTCTCCATCGGGACATCTTGGTGAAACTTTGTCATGGATTCCTCCATCTTGTACAAAAACAAAGGTTTCAGTTTCAGCCATGGGAATCTGAATAAAACAAAAACATCATTAAACACCACAAGATATCATACATTCATCAGTCACTCTGGTGGCCATTGGCCAATAATGCCCTGAGCATAGGCGACGGGAGTTCTAGGCCCTGAGCTCCCCAACAACATAAATTGTAATTTCCAAAAATCACCGAGCAATAAAAAACAATAGGGTATTAAAAAATCTTTGAATAAATACTTTTAAAAAAGTGGACAAATTCATTAAAATTTAAACAGGTTAAATATATATCTATATATTTGCCCTGGCCAAGATTCTATCCTGCTCTGTTTGAGATTGAGAAATATGCAGTGCGCGAAATAGACGTCCGACATCGGTAATTGGCCTGACATTTGTGACATTCGTTAGATTGCCAATGAATGGAACCTACATTTCGTACCGAAGCGTAAGATATAACCGGACTTTTGATTGGCTGTTGTTGTTTGTTGAAATTACCGTGTTTTGATTGGCTATGAATGACTCATCAAGAGGTTCTACTCCCAGCATGCATTTCGATCGAATGACGTCATTGACGTACAATAAATACTGGGATCGTTATGCCTCAAACTTAGTTTTGTTCGCGGGGTTTTCAGATTTTTAAAGAAATAAAAATCTAAAATGATAGATTTAGGTTCACATTTCTTCTCATAATCAAGTAAGTGAAACTTTTGGCCAGAGAAGTAAGGAACAGCCTACCAAAAATTGGCCTGAGGAAAAATGATATGGCTAGTTAAAATCTGTCTGGCCTGCTAAAATGTCTAGATTAAAAAAATCCTTATTTCATGCACTGATATGTTTTTATTTTGAGAATTTATTTCCTGTCATGGTGAGGTTCAAAAAAATTCTTTTTCGATTTGAATTTTCAAAATGAATTCTATCCATGGATCAGCTGTTTTGGCACCTGAAGCCACCATAATAGAAAGGTAAGACTATTTTCTTGAGATATATAACTCAAAATCTCTAATTTCACCCTCTCAAGAGGAGAGTTGCTTAAATATAAACTAAGAATTGAATACAACACACACCCACCAGCAGTTAATATGTGTACAAGGTGTTCCAAAAGTAATATGTGTAGTACTGGGGCTTGGATGTTCGCATTTTATTTAGCTCTCGTAAAATGAACGAACAAACATTCCATTTTCACACATGTTCGGTAATATAACAAATCATAACTTCCGGAAATGACAAGCCAGTACAAACATTTTTGGGAATTTTTACAGTTCGTTTACATTTCTTGTATAACTGTACTTATTGTTGATCAGACGGAAAGATAAGCTGATGTAGTTACATTGGAATTCTTTTACTACCATTTGAAAGACACGTTAGGGTACCATTCATCAGGTAACACTCATATGTCGAAGTTAAGTTCTTGCCTTTTTAAACACGTAACAAGGAGTAGTATCAACACACAAACTGAATGATTTGGTGAGATGGTGAAACTTTGACCAGAGTTACAGAGCTACTTTTAATCTAAATAAATAAGTGAAGCCAGCATGAGTCTTCTGTCGTCGTTTTGGAGAACATGTTTGGAATCATCTTTCGCCTCGTCGCTTTTTTGGCTCTACGCCACTGAGCTATATATTCATGGTTTTATTACAGTTAATTCAGCTGGAGCATGTCAAACAAAATAATTTTTACACAACAACAGCTATTGAGTACAAATGAAACCAGACATCTAAATACCTAATATCAACTTACAGTGTGTTCCCGGTTTTAGCAATGCTTTTCAAATATTCGTCCAAGATCGGCGTAATTTCTTTTGTTGGTTTTCTGTCAAATTCTGGAAATAAAGAGGAAACCCGTAAATCATTTATATATGAAAAGCACGTAAATTTATCCTAGGGTCTATTTTACAATTAACTTACCAGTTAAAGCATCTAAAACACTCTCTTTATTATCCATTTCTCAAGTATTTTGAAAATCGAGCCAGACTAAAAAATGGCGATAATGTGACGTCACCGAACAAACCAAATACAGGTAAGCCAGGATCATTTACATTAGTTTATCTTTGATTTTCAGCATTGAACAAATAATTATATCGTTGAAAATTGGACTCAGCTCGATTAAACGTACAATTTATTTAGTATTGTGTTAAAAACCTATAGTTTTTCACGTTCAAGGATGCCAAAATGACAATGAAAAAGGGCTCTGGCCGCATTTGGACGGGTTTATTTGATATCCCGATAAGTCTCACGTGACTACTCGAGAGTCATCTGGGGTCATCAAGTGCAAACTAGAGCGACATCTGGCGACAAGGAATTTTGTTCTTACTACGAAATTTCACTTTGAAACCTAAATATTCAAGGTATGTAGTACTATAATATCGATTTTAGTAGTTATCTGCAAGATAAAGTATATCTCTAACATGTCAAGCCATGATTTTCAAATCTGTATCGTATATCTAGATAATTTTGTAACTTCTTCCTTAAAAAATTGTATTATCGCCCAGAGATGGGTAACAATTATTTCCAGATGAAGGCCCACGGGAAGTAAGTTACAGAGTATAAGAGGGGGGCCTACATGATGTAAATTTGACACTCGACAGAGGGTTGCTTCTACAGTCCAGCTGAATTGCTAGCCCCTATTGGCTCAGCTCAGCGGTAGAGTGCTGATACTTAGGTCCAAACCCTTCTCTATATCCTGGCTTTGAGTGACTGTTTACAGCCACCCTGATGTTCAATATTTGTAAATTATGCTGACGCTCGCACAGTTGTTATGGCATAATTATATGAAAAATACCTTTGTGCATCCATTTGCAGAATATCTGCTCATATCCCCGTCCTAATCGATTGTTATATATATTTTAATTTAACAAAGTGGAATTTCGTTTCAAAATGACCTCTGCTGAATGAGCTGTATAAATGGCGGATGTGCTGAGTTTGAGGTTCTTTCCGAAAAGAAATTTTGAAATATCTTAATCCAGACAAGCAACGCTTGTACTTAAATATTATTAATGTTCTTATAAATATTTATAAGTATTATTAAAAGGAGTTCTGGGTGCGTGTGACACTTTTTCTAGATTACATATGAAATCAATCAAGTTACATAAGCTAGAGACTCGAGTAAGCTGATCAATACAAAATAATAGGGTGAGTTTTCAAACTAAACAGAGTGCGCCTACCAAAATGGATTTGCCCAGGCCCGTAGCCAGGGGGTGGAGTGTTCAGGCGAACCCCTCCCTGGCCAAAAATTCTTTCAAAATCATGCAGTTTTTCACCATTTTGAGCACTTTTAAGTGATTTTAGCCATATTTGGGCCAAAATTGTCAAATGTGAACCCCCCCTGGAAATTTTGAAAACTGAACCCCCCCTTGGCAAATCCTGGCTACGGGCCTGTTGCCTATATATCTCTGAGACTGATAGATAGAATTCACAAATAAAACAAAAGTTTGCTATTATTATAGGTAAAAAATTCTCTAAATTTCGAAGTGATTTCTGTCATTGGTCTGCCATTTTTGCGGAAGTTACACTGAAACACAAACTCTATGAAACGAAACGAAATCACGAGAAAAAAACATTGCACACATCGTGCGCATGCGCCCTAAAGTTAAAACCAATCAGATCATTTGATTATTTTGCGTACATGAATTATTTGCTTCTGAGCACTTACCATTAAAAGCTAACCACAATAAACAAACCTAGCAGAGATTACCCGTATTTCATTTTGGTGAAATTTCAGCTCAAACTGGGAACACCCTGGATTCGATTCCTGTGACTTTCTGGAGTTGACTAAGGTTACATAGGTATCTGTAGAGCATCACAGGCCCAAGGGGGTTCACAAAAATTGCATAGGGGGGGGGTTCACTTGTGACAATTTTGGCCCAAATATGGCCAAAATCACTTAAAAAGTCCTCAGAATGGTGAAAAACTGCATGATTTTGAATAATTTTTTGGCCAGGGGGGGTTTGCTCGAACACATCTGTTGATCTTCACATGCTTCACTTGGATGTAAATTAGATCCATTTCTTCGTATGCCATCTCTACAGAATAGCCTTGTATATCAAGATATAAAGCCGCTACCTATAGATAACAATTTGAAAATTTTGCTAATTGCAAAATAATGTTCAACAATTTCAGATGTTTTTGAAAATGGCCGTCCATGTGTCCATGGCTAGACCCTTTGATATTAATCCAAAAATTAACATGAAATGCAAAATCTCACTTATAACATTCCCTGCATCAATTCTAATGCAATTGCTATGATATATGATGTTGGTAATGAATATGGCAGAAAAGATTTAATAAAATTGACAATGGACAAATCAATTTTTTGAACATGACAAGATTCAAAGCCTCTAATGTATTAAGATAAATGGAAGACATAAAATCACCTTAAATTTTTTGACAATTCAAAAGCCTTTCAAAATTTTGAATGCTGATTTTTGAAAAATAAATGCAAAATCAACAAAAGTTTACTTGAAAAATGAAAAAATGAAAACATAATGCTGAGTGGTATCCTCCCATGGAAGCTTATGTTTGGGAGTAGTAAGTAGTTTGATAGAAACCCTAAAATTCATTCCAAGGATTAAATTTCTATTGAATTCATAATTTGTAAAATTTTCTTCCAGATGGAGAGTGAACCAACAGCAATGGAGGTTTTAGAGTCCACTCAGCTTATTCGAGTCACCGAGGGAAAGCACAAATACTTCAATACCCGATTTCAAAGAATTAATGCTAAAATGTATGACTACAACTGTGATGTGCAATTGAAGGTTGAGAAACAAACATTCAGAGCTCATCGTCATGTGCTTTCTGCTTCTAGCGATTATTTTGCTGCTATGTTTAGTCACGATATGAAAGAAAAACTTCAGGATGACGTTGAACTGCTTGAAATAAGTTCAGCTGGATTCGCACAGATGATGGAATACTTTTACCATGGATTTGTCATGCTCAATCCTGATAATATAGAAGATGTAATTGAAGCGTCACAGTTCTTTCAAGTGAATTGGCTGAAACACGTTTGCTGCCATTTTCTTGTGAATTATCTTAGCATAGAGAATTACCATGTGGTGCTTCAGCTGGCAGATACTTACACACTGGGTGATCTTCGACAAGATATTTTCTGTTATATCGGACAGGAGTTCATGGCATTGTCGCAGAAACCCATGTTCAAAATGCTTGCATTTGAATTGTTTCTTCAATTGCTCTCAGAAGATTTTTACATCGAGGCGCCAGAGGGGTACATATTATTAACAATCTTGCGCTGGGTGAAGCATGATCCAGAAGATCGGGAAAAATATTTGCTGCAGCTTTTAAACGAGGTCCGATTCCACTTAATGAAGTTAGAAGAGTTGGAGAGGATTCCTCAATATGTTTTGGACATGCCAGGAATCAAGCCACTCGTTGATGATGCATTTGACTACCGAGAAAATGTCTACAGCCAATGCCTCAGTAATGCAGATTCTGAGATGCCCCGAGGTGGAAAGAAAATAATCGCAATGCTTGCATCAGATGATTCGCAAATTGAGCTCCAACTGAAAATCATTGGTACGCATGGATTTTTTCGTCAGCCTTTAAAAACAGAGTTCATGAAGACAAAATTTGAATTTGCATCAATTGCAACATTCAACAATTTCTTGTTTATCTGCGGTGGATATGAAAAGGGTGCAATGCTAAGTACAAATCTCACTTACCGCTATGACCCCCGAGATTTGACCTGGATTGATGTTGCACCAATGAATGAACGGAGGGTGAGTTTTTCCCTCATTCAGGCCCAGGATTACATGTATGCTATCGCTGGAATCAGCCGTAACCTAGATGAGAATGATCTTCCCTTTGAGTTGATACTTAACACAGTAGAAAGGTATAACCCATTAGTCAATGAATGGTCTACACTAGCTAGTCTACCACATGGATGTTTCGATACGGGGGCGGGTGTGTCTGGAGATAATATTTATCTGACTGGGGGTATTACAGATAATCCCGATGATTCCATTCCTGTCAACTACAATTTTCGGTATTCCATGACGCAGGATAATTGGCTTCAATTGTCTCCCATGTTAACCGCTCGGAAGAGCCACAGTATGACCGCACACATGAATAAACTCTTTGTCTTCGGAGGTACAACCACAGATGAAAACTTCACATCAACGGACTGTACCAAAAATGAATGCTACGACACATCAACCGACCAATGGTCCTATATAACCCCAACCCCAGAGAGCTTTGGATTCCTGTACAAGTCGGTCATTCACCATGAAAATGATCTCTATATCTTGGGAGGAAAACACATATTAAGATATCTACATAAGGTCAATCTGGAGAGCTTGGTATTTGATGAACATGAGGAAGCTGAAGTTTGTGGGCATTACTACCAAAAGATGGCATTGCTAACCATCCCTTTCCCATACCACATAAAGATCTAAACATTCAGTATTACTATCCATGTGTTGTAAAATGCCATTCTCAGTCACTTACTTTAACTTTTCAACACTAAAGTAAAAAGGTTCTTGGACCACAACGGTAGCTGCCTATTTGTAGTGTAATGTTCCTCATGAGAATGGCTTTCTATTCATGGTTGCCCAATGAATGATTGCTGACGCATTGCCTGATGAACAATTCTTGAAGCATCGCCGTATGAGTAATGGTTAAAGCATTATGTTATTCACAAATATTTAACTCCATTTAAGTGAAAATGTGTTGTGATCTGCATTGCCTTTGTAATATATTATGTATTATGTGACAGATGTTAACTAATAGTCCCAAAATAATATTGATGCATGCACAAATTATAATCAATATCTTTAAAGGGGCTCAATGTTCTACACAGGATTTTTCTCAAGTGGGTGCAAAATTCTCATTTTCATAATTTAGACCAAAATTGGTCAAAATATCCCTATTTTTCATGATTTTTTTCATTTTCAAGTGTTTGCAAATGGATTTTCAGGTGGGCCTGTTTCTTAAATCTCAGGTGGGTGCTGCGCCCACTTGCTTTAATGCTGGGGAGATCACTGGGGTTAATATAAATGAATTTTACTGAAGGTACCTTCTCAAGAGTGAGAAATTGAGTTATAAGCCTTATACAGAATACTGCTTCAAAGAAGTCAATTTGGCAGCAGGTGCAAATTTTGAATGAATTATATTAAATGATTATGAAATGACAATTGAATGCTTGTACTTTATATTAGTCTAGAGTAATATCATGTTATATTTTCGCTTGTTAGGAATGTCTGATTTATTAAAGTTTATTATTTTTATGAACAATTTTTGATTCAGAATTACATAGCATGTATATATATTGTTATCGTTCTAGTTGCATGGCTGTCTATTGAAGTATAATAGCTTAATGTATTTAAGGTTACATAATTATGTAAAGTTCCAGTAAAACATGATCAATGGAAAAATCTGGTATAAGGATGGATGAAACATATAATTAGATATTTTTAAAGGAATTGGAGATGTTTTCTTGTGCAAGATGTTGAATATGTTATTATTAAAGTTATATAGTACGGAACTATATGTTCCTTGGATTGTCTGTTATAATTATATGAATATTGTTGTAATTGAATTTTGAAATGTAATGCTGTAGCGTTCTCAGTACATTTGTGTATTTTCATTGTTGTAAATCTAATGTCGTGCTCCATAGTCCATATGAATCCAAGATGTTGGGATCATAGCATGTTTAACATATCTGTAGTATTTAATGTATTGTACTGTATTGTAAAACCTATCTGGATTGAACACTACTGGGTCAAACTAGAAGTGTTCAAGTAAAGAGGTGTTCACATTGTCTTGTATCGAGTCCCTGGTGCCATCTTTCTACTTAAAGGGGCAACAAGGACTGTAGAGAGAAAATCCGAATGGCCCCCCTGCACTAATTGTTGCACCTTTAACCTCCAGTAGAGAGAGGGAGATGGTGGTCTCAAAGACTTGAAGCAAGACTATGTTCGCATAGATAAGATCATATAACAAAGATTACCGAGTAGTCTTGCTTCAAGACCCTGGACCCCCCTCTCTCCCTTATCTACTTTGATAACAATATTGCATTGGTGAAGAACTGAAGATAGGGGAGATTCACAGTCTTGAAGCAAGAATAATACACCAGTTCAAAGAACACCCAAATTGAGATAATGGGCACAATGTAAGGTGCTAATTTTAGACAAGTGTTTGCATACACTGGGTGTTCTGTAGTATACTAAGATTTGTATTTAAGGAATGTTTTTATTATACATACTTGTCTTGTATTGAGTAAGAGGGCAGGATGGTGTGCAGTGTCTAAATGTGGTGTCTAAATGCACGAATAAATTGTCCAATTTTTGAATATATCAAGTAGTTTATCTAATTATCTCAAATTGTTATAATATGAAAATCTAGTATACAGCTTGGCCTTAGATACAAGCCAAAAACCATTAACATTTTGTTAAGCTCTACATTTATGTCTAGGTTGTTTGTATACATGTTTGTGTACTGTTTTTCTTGTATGTAGGACTGTGGATATGTAAATATTCTGTTATAATTATCTGCTTGGTGCTTGTAAATATGTTAAATTATTATGTCAAAATCCCTATACTCTGATTGGTTATTGCAGTATCACATGATCAAAAATATCACTGACTATTTCATACCTCACATTTATAACTTTTGAATAGATGTGCCAACTTGGGGATTCTGGTCAGTTAAATTCGTTAGCAGTGTTATACTAAAACAAATATTTCATTCCTTGTTTGGACAATAACTGATGCTTTGTCCTACAGGCTGATGGAAAGACAAATAGGAAATGCACTCTGCAGAATGAAATATTTGCGTTATATTTATGTAGTCTATGTTCAATTGTACAACATGGTGAGAACCCTAAATTGTACAATATGGTGAGAACCCTGAATTGTACAACATGGTGAGAACCCTGAATTGTACAATATGGTGAGAACCCTGAATTAAATATGTATTACTATCTATGCAGTTATCCAGAAAGTAAGGCAAACTAAATAATTGCCAGAAATTATTGCAGTTGTGAGTAGAGCATATTCACTGATTATTTTATGTAATGATAAGGAAAATATCCGTCGTCTCGTTAGAGAATGTTGGTAGTATCTAATATGGTATTGCCCCAAAGCTGTGGTTCCCCCCCCTCCCTTTCTTATTCTATTACACCCAATTTTGTTTTAAGAAGAGATGGGGGGGGCACAGATGTAGAACAAAACTGAATATTAACTGATTGGGATTGTTTATTAAAAAATTGATTATGCATATCATTTACATTATTGTTATTTATGTATTTACTAATGTTACGATCTCCCAAAACTTGCCAAATCGATCTGCCAAAGTTATTTATATTATTTTATGAGTTTACAGATCTGATTACTGTGAGAAATCCACTCTTTACAAAATGTTACGATATTTTGCATTTTGATTTTTAGTAATTGTACAAAATTAAAAGGTTATGTACATTAAATGATGTAATGCTATAGTAAGGATGACCAAATAATATTAGAGGGATGTATTTTTAGTTTTAGTTTTTATTCACAGAATGCATATCAACAGCTTCTTTTGTTATGTGGAAAGCTAATCTTCTAAATTAATATAAAAAATTACTAAAAATCTCATGTACCCAAGTTATTGATTTTGAATAATTAATTGTAAATTTTGAATGCTTATTGAACATCAATGAATCTAAAATCTTAAAGGGATATTCCTTGCAAAACCATTTCTCTCTTGATATGGTAGCTATAACTTTTTATAAACAATAAATATATGTACTATTGATATTGAGCAAAACATGGGAAAATGTTTTAATTTGTTTGGTCAATATTGGTCATGTAAAAATGCAGTGTTCATTTCAAGTAATCTTTTCAGATTTCACATAGAAAGTGGTGCACTTCGACTGTTTATGTAAAATCTAAATGCACTTTCAAAATAATGAATGAAAATCAAAATGCATTATGACCATTAAAGGACCAAGAAGGGATAGAAACAAGTTGTCACAATTTTACAATGTTTCTTCGCTCTTAGCATTCCATATAATGTCCATTTTCAAATCCATTCAGTTCTGATTTTATTTCAGAATATGTTTAAGGTTTTCAGGTGAAAAGAATTGAAAAGGTTTCAATTCTAATGAATTCGAGCATTTCCGCATATTAATCGTCAACATCTTTATTTGGACAGGTTTCTCAATTTCAAGGATTTTATGAAAAACATTGGCATGATTTTTTGAAAAAATTGCTTTCAACATTTTACACTCTACTTCTTATTCCTTCAATGAAGAGCTACATGAACTGTCTATAAATTTAAAATCTAAATCGTTAATACACTATTCTATTTATTGAAGATAATATGTAATGCTCTCTTATCTTAATGTAAAATCAATGTGTACTTTTATATACACCAAAATTTGAGTGTACTCCTAATTTAATTTAAAATAATAATTCAACTATCAATGCAAAGTGTACATGCACTTGTGATACCATTGCAAAATCTAAATGCACACCAAATATTAATATTGAAGTTATATGCACTATGAAATGTATACTACAGTAATCACCCTATGCAGACAGAGCCTGTGGGAAATATTGGGTGCGGCGCAAATGAGCGGAGGGTGCGGAGCTAACGGTCATTTTTGAATTTAAAATTGGGATATTTCTGAAACTAAGCCGTTTTGGGACTTCAAATATACCAAGATATGTGTATTTGACACCAAATATCAATAAAATTGTGAAAATAGTAGTGCAATTCATTTTATAGCGACGCAGTATGCCTTAAACCTTTCCCAGACCTATATATTTTGAAATTATCCTTTTAATACTGCGTCCCCAGCATTCATAAAAAATGGTGTTCAAGATACACTACCCATGCAAATTATTTTTGCATCTTGGAAGCCAGGCAGTATCTGTGTGATTTTATAAAAATTCGGAAATGTTCTTCAGATATGAGCCCCTCTAAATATTGGGTGCGGAGCTACGTTTATGGAGCTGCTCCGCACCCAATATTTAGAGGGGGCTCATATCTGAAAAAATTTCCGAATTTTTATAAAATCACACAGATACTGCCTGGCTTCCAAGATGCAAAAATAATTTGTATAGATAGTGCACCTTGAACACCATTTTTTATGAATGCTGGGGACTCAGTATTAAAAGGATAATTTCAAAATATATAGGTCTGGGAAAGGTTTAAGGCACACTGCGTCGCTATAGAATGAATTGCGCTACTATTTTCACAATTGTATTGATATTTGGTGTCAAATACACATATCTTGGTATATTTGAAGTCCCAAAACGGCTTAGTTTCAGAAATATCCCAAATTTAAATTCAAAAATAACCGTTAGCTCCGCACCCTCCGCTCATTTGCTCCGCACCCAATATTTCCCACAGGCTCTGTCTGCATAGGGTGGTAATGCACAATCTTAATACATTCAGAAAATTATTAGATATAATTTTAAGTATTTCTGATATAAACCTCCTTTGCTGTGATATTGTAACTTGAAAAAAATGTTTATATAGAGGGGAACTTATTACATAAAAAAGGTGCTAGTTATTTGTATGTATGAAAAGATAAATGTTAAAAGGTCTTCAACAAACATGTAAATTCTATTTTGTCATTTTTTTAAAAATTTATTCTACTTTGTTGTTTTATTTTATCACAGGCTGGGCTTTTTGAGCCATTGACTAAGAATATGAAAAAGTGCAAATAAAACTTAAATATAATTATAACAGCTTAACAACAAAACTTATTTTTTAATATCATTTTATTTAAAATAAACTTTGGATGCAATTTATCAATACATAATTATTCAATTAGATTTAAAATCAGCAGTTTGCATTTTTAAGGACATGAATTGTATCATATTGTATAAAAGACAAAAACGTCTCATTCCGAATTCCATATAGTAAAGTCAATCATACATCCAGTCTTGCAGCTAGCCATGATTATTTCTTTACATTCCTCTAAAATTTGAACTTGTCTCGAAGTTTCTACATTTCTATACAATCAAGGACAAATACTAATAGAAAGGTGTTACAATCAAGGACAAATACTAATAGAAAGGTGTTGACTGGGTGTTTATTTACTATTAACATGCTAATCCCAATCTTCCAAAACTGGACACTCAGTTACATTTTATGAACTGTTCCATTCATGCATGAATTTTTCAATGTTTTATAATGCATGACATATCCCTACATGGGACAGGTAACATAAAGGCGACTGGATATATGAATGATTGGTACTGAAATTAAATTGAAATTTAAGCCATAATGCAAAAGGTGTTAGTTAAACTGGTGTATACGTTAACAAATATATTGTAAATTGATTAAAATAAATACAAAAGGTATATAATAAATACAAAATAATGTATGCTATAAAATATTTGTGTTGCAATTTACATAGCACAACGAATACATCATTAATTTTATCATTTTACGCTGATTTCCTCCCAATGAATCAGTATGCTACAACGAGGGACCACATTGAGAATTCAGTTTTCAAAAATGCAATAAATTACATTTCATAATAGAACCCCATCCCTCCAAAAAATGTCACTCAACAGCTATTTATAATTGAATATCAATGTATGCCAACAATACACAAACATATACATGTATATGTATTTGATTATATTGTGGTCCTATATCAGTAGTCTCCCCATTACATGTGATTTTCAACTTCAGGCTGAAACTCTTGCTCTCCAGTGATTTATATGGCCTTATTGGCACAGGGTTCAGTCCTAAAGTCCATGTATATGAAAATAGTTTCATTTTTGAATTCTGGGTAATTCCCCCTCTTGATGAACTGAATCCTGACAGTTCATTGGTAGCTCGCCAGGAATAAACTAATGATGTCCATGGAACTTACGTCACACCCATTTAATATCGGCATGTATTGTTTATTATGTATATGTATTATGCAAATACCCCAGCTAAACACTACATTTTACTCTTACCAGTCTAGTGTCATTTATATCGTATACTTCACACAACCCTACCTCATACCGTAACATGTATTTCTTTAAAAAGCGATGCAGGCTATACTGAAGTTGCAATTGGAGGGCGTATGTTTATTTCCATACTTCTGAATAGAAAATAAGATTTTACATATATTCCAAGTGTTCTAGTGTACATTGTATTAATTCATTGAACAGTTTGCATTGTATTATTACTAGAAAAGCCCTATAAACAAAGATAGAGAATACCTGCTCCATTTGCAACTTCGCTGTTGCCTGAATAGCTTTTAAATTTGGTCAGGTGGTAAGGTAGAGTGACACTTGCAATTTTGGCCTTTCCCTGATTTGATTTTCCTCATCCAAAATACCCAATATTGAGAGATAGCAGGTCAAAATCAGAGAAATGCTCTAAACCTTTTAGGATTAAATACACAAGCACTTTTTTATAGAATATCTCACTGAGTCTGTATATACTATATGTATTCATTCATATTTCTCTCGTAAACTCCATTTAAGCACCAACTTCACAGGGTTCATATTTGGCACATAACTGAGTAAATGATTGCCTCTCAGTTATTTTTCAACTATTTGTTCATATTTAAGCTATGCATCGTTGTATGTATTGGTAACATCGGAACTTGAAAGCCATCAGAAGAACTACACAATGTACAATGACTACACATTGCACAATGACTACACATTGCACAATTACTACACCATACTTTGCTTCATTGTCCCATCCATAGGCAAACTTGGGACATTATGTGCTAGTTTTTCCAAATCTAGCAAAACCTGGAAGAAAATCGAGCTGGTTTAGAAGGGATTAGAATGAATATATTAAAATTATGTGAAATACACGACAGCGAATATTCTCACTGCATAATACTTAAGTGATGATGACTAAAGAAATAATAAGTAATTATAGGGCTGGCATTTGATGATGAGTATTGCATGTTATTTTGAAAATTCAACTTGAACAAAACAGGATTGTTTAAGTTTATTTAAATTATTGATTTTAATCTGGAAATCTATAATCGATATATTGTTGTCTTTTGTCAGACTTGCCAACCTAAAATGGAAATTTTTCGGGAGATTTAAAAAAAATTGCGGTACTTTTACAGGAGTTTTTTTCAAAATCCGGTAGTTTTTGCGGGAGTTTTTTGAAAAAAAGCGGGATTTTTACTGGAGATTTTTGAAAAAAACAGTAGCTTTACGAGAGATTTAAAAAAACTGGAGTTTTTGCGGTAAATTTTGAAAAAAAACGGGAGTTTTTACGGGAGATACGGGAGTTTTTACGGGAGATTTTTTAAAAAAGGTATTTTTCGCGGTAAATTTTAAAAAACGTGACTTTTTTTACGGAAGATTTCAGAAAAAACGTGGGTTTTTGCGGTAGGTTCTGAAAAAACGGGAGTTTTTACGTTAGGTTTTGAAAAAACATTTTTTTGCGGGAGATTTTTTAAAAAAACGGGAGTTTTTACGGTAGATTTCTGAAAGAATGGGAGTTTTTACGGTAGATTTCTGAAAAAACGGGTGTTTTTACGATAGATTCTGAAAAAACGGGAGTTTTTACGGTGGATTTCTGAAAAAACTGGAGTTTTGACGGTGGAATTCTGAAAAAACTGGAGTTTTGACGGTAGATTTTGAAAAGACTGGAGTTTTTACGGTAGGTTTCTGAAAAAACAGGTGTTTCTACGGTAGATTTCTGAAAAAACTGGAGTTTTTAAGGTAGATTTTGAAAAAAACTGGAGTTTTTACGGTATTAAATCCAGCGATTTAATTGGTTGAAATTATTATGACGCATGCGCAGTTAATAAATTAATTAGAACTTATAATCTAAGATAGATGTCACTTATGTTCATTATTTCACAGCAGTCCCTACCCATAATGCGCCTTATATATATATAATATATTTTGTTTAGCGCCATATAAAAACAAAATGTATTCTCCCGACAGAAGTATGACAGAATATGAACCCGTTTGTGGACATTTGGTGTGCAAACTTATACCGAACTGATCGCAGAACAGCAATTTGAATCATCGGGAATGAAGTACTTTTAAGTTATTTATGAAAGTATCGAAAGTGAACTATGGGAGCCAATCCTTCTTGGAGTAAAAGAAAGAAGCGTGCCTGCAATAATCAAGGTCACAAATTTGTCAAATTCCTTTTAAATACGGTAGATTTCGACAGAAAAAAACTGAGATTTTACGGGAGTTATACCAAGAATACGAGAGATTTTACGTGAGTTATACCAGAAAACGGGAGATTTTACGGGAGTTATACCAAGAATACGGGAGATTTTACGGGAGTTATACCAGAATACGGGAGATTTCAGCAAAAATACGGGAGATTTTACGGCCATATTTTTAAAAAGAATTACGGGAGATTTTAGTAGAAATACGGTACGGGAGTTTTTACAGGAGAAAACGGTACGGGAATTTGGTATTTTTTACGGAAAAACAAAAAATTTACGGGAGATTCCCGTAAAAAAAACGGGAGGTTGGCAAGTCTGTTTGAATAGTTATAATAGTATACATGAAAATGTGTCAATGGTAAAAACAAAAACTTAGCCTACTTTATTTATTGTGGCACGTTTCCTCTTATTAAGCTGCAAGCAGGCTTGTGAGATATTGAAATACAGGTCAACAACCTCATCTGGCCATTCAGGAATCTTTGGATCTAGCATCTCCTTAAACTGTGTGGTGTCATTGTCACTCACATCCTCAACATGGCTGGGCTATAAAAGTTTGTTTAGTGGAGAATCAGGGGCAGAGGTAACATTTGTATACTTTTTCTTTAAAGCAGATATGAAATGGTATTTTTAACCTAAAGGAATCAATATACTTTTTTGATGGATGTATTTGGACATGTTTTCTCATCAGTAGTGTGAAAACTATTTCACTCTAACGATCGTTATAGCTGCTTAATAAGCAATATTCGAATTGGTTGTGACGTTATTGGCCCCCACGTGATCTCTCACTGGCCCCCACGTGGCCCGTTTTGGTCCATTAGATCATGACGTCATAATGCCAAAATGTTTTGTTATTTGTTTACACAACAATCCTATGGTTGCCGTGACGTTGTGATTACTATGGAACCAATAAACCAAAGTTATATTTTGTATATGACGTTACCAATCACGTGGGGGCCAATTTGATTCATCAGTTAGTTTCATTTCGTTATCTATGACCGTTAGCAGTTATCTAACATTTATTTTATAATGGCTATCGCAAGAACTCTACGGTGGGTTTACAATGGAGAAAACCACATTTTTGTAGCTGCAAGTTGAGAAAAGCTATTTCAGTTGTCCTTTAATTTTAAAGGGATCATTAAAGTTTTAATCTTTTGTTCAGTTTCAAAGAGAGAATGAGAGGCACAAGGCTACTATACATAAGTATATAAGTACATGTAAGTTTAAAGCTTTATCTTTATCAGGAATTTTACAAAGGACTTTTCTAAAGGATAGGTCTACATACCAAACCACTTTCTTCCCTATTGCTGTCAAAGGCTGGTAGACCAGTGAGAATCTCCAATAATATCTACAAATATAGGAGTACTATGTTGTATTTGAATACAATGGAATGTGTTACATACAGTAAATGTGGTTGAGATCAGTTTATTTTTTCAGATCAGATTCTCATATACATTGTGTAAATCGTCTAACTTGAATGCTGGGCATGTAAGAAAAGCAAGGAGGATTGAAATGATCAAAATCAGTATAATCCCAAAGGATAAATTCGTCAATTGATAAAATTGATGTATTTTGAAATTAGAAGGTATATACAATGTAGAATGTAAAAAATGTAGGCAGCAATCTTTTCTGAAAGCAAACCAATTTTCCCCTGACAATCCTAAAACTTTATTTTCAGAAATGAGATTTGAGATACCTGATCAAACATAGCCATTATTGAAGATTTAGAACGCAAAGTAAATGCTTTAAATTTAAGTGAAGAACTATTGCCACACTATCTTAAAGGATGAATCTGAAATGAAGTATTAGGTATCAGATGGAATGATAAGGGTGAGAAAAATATTGCAAGCTTGTGAAAATTTCCTGTCTATACTAGTATTCTATTTCCTTCAATATTGAAAGTGAGATATTTGACTGGGGCAAAGCTATAATTACTTTGAATCAGTTCAAAAGCATATAAAGCAAAGCTCAACCTTCTTACTGTAAATTTATACATACCACTCCAAATGCATAAGAATCCAGCTTTTCTGATATTTTAAAGTCCCATGCTTCAGGAGCCATGTAAACATTTGTTCCTATCACCATTTCTGTTTTCAAAGATGTCTTTCCATCCACGGGGCCTTGTCGTGCAAACCCAAAATCTCCAACTTTAGCCTGGAAGTTTTCATCCAAGAGTATGTTGGCACTGAAAGAATTGGGAAACCAAAGCTTTTAAAATGTCATTTTAAAATTTTACTTCAGTGATGGCATCCAAATGTAGGAACAAAGTTTCATGAGTGAAGAATGTTGATTTTTGAAAAATTCAAATGTAAGACAAATCAACATTTTGAAAAGTTACATGGGGAAGGTGGGTGGGTTAAACCATATTGAAACTTCTTTCATAACATTAAAGGCAGAATCTGATCTATAGGTGGTGACAAAATTGCAAGCAACATGTATAATTGACCTACCAACCTATTCCTTACAATATCAAATACAATATCTCCCAAAAGATTCACAATATGTTATAAATTGGTGAAGTTATTACATGTATTAATGATTTAAAGTGCAAAAATGAGTGAAAAATGCTTAAATTCTCCCAAATAATAAGAATGGTAACCATTCTTATAGAAAAATAATACATTATTGTAAAAATCTTTAGTTTTCCTGGAATAAAGTATGCACTGTTGTGATTTTTAGAAAATAGACATGACAAGGAATGACATGAGACAAAAATATTCTAAAATTGAAACAATTTACAACCAACTCATATATTGCAGACTCAGGCCTGTTAACTGTCCCACAATTTGCGTATTTGCTGAAGAAATTGAAGTCATGCCAGTTTTTTTGCGTGACAGAATGTGTCAAGCAAATACGCATTTTACCTGATTATTTTTAAGCAAAATTACTTTTAGAGAAAAACATAAAACGCCGAAACATAAAAAAACACAAAAAAGTTTCTTCTGAATTTTCATGCAAATTGTGTATATGTCACGCATCTGCTGTCCAAAATTTGGATATATGCAATAAAATTTAATCAAGGTGTCCACAATTTGAAGGAAGGCATTCAACATTTAATTTGTAAGTCACTCATTTAGATGTTTCCAAGTTGACGGCCCTGCAGACTACATCTTAAGAGCAGACGAACAAACCTTTTAACATCCCTATGAACGGATCTCTGAACCCCATGAAGATAGTCCAGTCCTCGCGCTGTGCCTGTTACTATGCCAACGCGGGTGTCTAGAGACAGTGGTGGAGTGCAATTCTGAAAAGACAATTTTTGGATGGAAATCATGGCTGTTATAGATTAGCTTTAACTTTACTGGCCAAGCGCAGTATAAAGCGCGGTATTACCAGCCACCATATAAAATCACAATACAAATATTCATTGTAAATATTTCTTAGAAATTCATAAATTGTGTCTTACTATATTGGTTGACAGCAAAAAGTGGTTCAAGACCATTTGTTGGGTTGTCAAATGCATATATATATGTATATTTGGTTGTTTATGGGTTTATGGCTTGCCAATCCTACATATTCTTACATCTTACCTTACATGCGAGCCTGTCTTCCAAGGAACCATTCACCATGTATTGATAAACCAGGCAAAATTGAGGTCCATCTTCAGAGTACCCTCTTAGAGTTAAAATGTTCTCATGTGTGCATCTAAATAGAAGGGACAATATTTTCAAATTTTTAATATTATTTTACCAAATACTCACATGTCATTTTCTTTTTTCTACGACATGTCAACAGGAAATACAAGGATACATTATTGACCAAATCCATTAACTTGTATTTGAGTTATCAACAATTACATTTTTAATTAAAAATGGAGGCCATTTTGAAATGAGAGGCCATCTTAAAAATTCATTCTAGAGCTGATAACCCATAATGCATAAACCTATACAATTTTAACTAGAAAAACAGCAACTCCACGGAGTAGCAAATCACACCGAACAAAATATTTTGCTTATTAGTGGCCGTCTTGAGCAGAGCTTCTTTGTCCCTAGGCATCAACATATAAAATGTAAACCCTATCAATTAGCATTTGAGTTATCAGAGATTACATTCCTATTTTACGAAAAATGGCAGCAATTTTGAAATTCAGCCGCCATTTTGAAAATCTTTCTCGAACAGAGCTATTTTGTCCCAAGGCATCAGCATAAAAAATTAAAAAAAATCCATTCACTGCTATTTGAGCTATTAAAGATCACATTTTTTACCAAAAATGGCCACCATTTTGATATTTAGGAGTCATTTTGAAAATTTCTTCTTCAGGGTAGCTTCTTTGTCCCTAGGCATTTAAAATTTTAACCAAATCCTTCAACTAGTATTTGAGTTATCAAAGATTACGTTTTTACGAAAAATGGCGGCCATTTTGGTATTTAGCAGCCATTCTAAAAATCTCTTCTTCAGCATAGCTCCTTTATCCCTAGGCATCAGCATATAAAATTTGAACCAAACCCTTTATAGTATTTGAGTTATCAAAGATTATGTGTGTTTTTTTATGAAAAATGGCCACCAATTTGAAATTCAGCCGCCATCTTAGAAATTCTTTCTTGAACAAATCTGCTTTTTCCCTAGGCATCATCATATAAAATTTGAACCCCATCCGTTCACTGGTATTTGAGTTATCAAAGATTACATTTTTTACGAAAAAAGGCAGCCATTTTGATATTTAGCAGCCATTTTGAAAATCTCTTATTCAGGGTAGCTCCTTTGTCCCTCGGCATCAGCATATAAAATTTGAACCAAATCCGTTCACTGGTATTTGAATTATAAATGAATGATTATGTACGTTTTTTATGAAAAATGGCTGCCATTTTGAAATTCAGCCATCATCTCGAAAAAATTTTCTTGAACAAATCTACTTTGTTCCAAGGCATCATCATATAAAATTTGAAAATTTTATTATAGTTGAGAGAAAATACTGAATTTTGTGAAGTACCTAATATATCAGCATCAAAGTATATAGAACAATACATTATGCTACCATCCGACACACCAATCCTCGTAGGTGGCAGGGTTTTCCGGTTAGTTATTTCACAAGTGGCAGAATAAGCTGCCCCAGAGGACCCATATGTGCCACCTTTCAAAACTTAGTCGAAGAGAAAAGATCGCTTCATATCTTCACCAAAAGAAGAATGGTTTAGTTAAAGTAATAAGCCAAGGATTTATATCAGGAGCAAAACATCATTTGATAGAATTCTATATTTTCTAGGTTGAAATTCAATGATATACTTGATTAAAACCTAAACCACATTTATTGGGAATGGAATAGTATTGATAACTATTTTGCAAGGCAGTAAAAAGCAAGAATCGCAAAATACAATTTTTATGTTGGGTTTTAATTTATTGTTAATGTGAATGACTTAAAATATACATATGGGAGTTTAGATTGGATTTAAGGAAACGCAAACAGGTGTCAAAAAATAATGCTATTTGTCTCAGGGTTTAAATATACCATAGAAAAGGGGAAGTATCAGGAATAAGGATATAATGGCATAACATATGTCTGCAGGTTACAAAATTTATTAAATAATGCTTTCATGAACAGGGGGCAATTTTGACATTTTATTTCTAAATCCAAAATAGAATTACCTCTGTTATAAAGAGTACAGGAATAAAAGTAGTTTATGAAGGCCTCTGGGGTCTGATGATGACTATAATAACTCTATAAGTAGAACAACTCTTAAGTGACCGCTAAACACTGTCCACAAAAAAGTCATCACTTGTGGTGAAATTCCCTTCTCATGTTTACAACCAGAGATGTACGGAAGGACAGTTCCAACAATTATGTTTGTTAGCATTGTTAACATTTTAATTGGTTGAAATTTCAAAATTGCTGCCAATTGAATTTGGTTGAAAAGGTTACTTCAACTGTAATAACATTCATTAATATATTTTACCTGAGCAATATTTCCAATTCTGTTTTATAAAGTTTCTCTACTGCAGCTTTGTCTTCTGTCAATCTCTTCACAGCCAAATCTTCCAAACCCTCCCTCCGGCCTTCAATACAAAACAACATGAAATCAATTTAATACATTATTACGTCCTGGCTAGAATTCCAGTTTTTCAATAACCCAGATGCGGGTAGAAATAATCTTGATTTACGTCATTAAAAATTCAAAATTCAGTCAAAGTGATGTCATATTTGAAATCTGCATGTAAAAGTACATCTAAAAATATGGTTTCGAAAATTGTTTATCAACTTTGAAAATTTAATTTTTTTTGAAAATGTGAATTCTTGTTCGGGTTGATTCCCCATAGACCCCATGATACAAAATCACAAAAAGTGAAATATCTTTTCTTGTATTGGATAGATAACATTTTCTCTTACTGGACATATTTCAGTTTGCATAACTATTAGATACATAAGGGTTATATGAAAATTGAATCATTAAAACAGATGTGATTTAAGTTTAAGGGAACTTTCTCCTATACCCGCCATGCTATCTGACCCGAACGAGCCACCTGGTGGTGAATCTTGTAACTACCTACTCGCATCTGCGTTATTGGTTAATGTAATACCATGTAAATAGCCTTGCCTAGATCAGTATCTTTTTTTTACTTTTACTTCGCCACCTTTCACATACCGCATTGACACATGCGTTACCAACACCACGCTATTGTCAGCCAATCTTGACTAATAGCCCAAAGCTTTGTATAAATGCTTTGCTATTAGCCAATCAGAGACAATCTTATAGCATTAGCTCATTATTTATGCTTTGGCGAAAACACTTTACCCTGCACACAGTTATAAACTACAGTTTAGTAGTTTAGTAGCCCTCCCCCACTTCCTATGCCTGTGACAGTCCGGGTCATAAATCATTTCAAACCTACCACACCGATCTTTTCTCAACCAAACAGTGAGCTGGAAGGAACACATGCTAAATGCATGCTCATTAACTATGCAATGTCATCAGAGAAAATGACCATACGAGGGGTGATCAATAAGTAATGGACGCTTTTTTACACAGATGATTTTTATAGACCAATCCCTTCGATTTTCTTACCAGTGATACATCATTCAATTATCTATCAACTCTGAAGATTTGAAAACAAAACATGTAATATATTTTGATATATCTTTATTTCCGTGAAGGAGGTATAGGTACCCCGGGACCGACATTTACGTAAACATTCTGAAGCAATTTTAGCTTGTTTAACATCCAATGCAGTTGAATGCAGGCTGAACAAAACAAACCATTACAGTCATGAATTACCCCAATTTGTTATGTCATAGTTGATTTTGAATATTTTATCAGCACTATGTGGTATAATGCCACATTGATTCCACAGGGCCCTCTGCATAGGTTCCATCAATTGCTACATGACTGTACACAATTCCTCATCATCTTAACTCAATATTGTGAGACAAGGCTGAATCCATTCTCTGACATGGTAGCAAGATGCAGTTACACGGGTTGTTTTATTTCATCAATGTCAATAAACCTGCGTCCCTTCTCTATAGAAATAAGAAGTACAGGAATAAATAGGTCACATGTGGGCAGATCTGGACAATATGGTGCATTGGCCATGGGCTCAATTTTGAGGTCCAGGGATATTGTTTTCTGAACATTTTGAGATCTGTGGGCAGGTGCATTGTCAATATGGAGTAGGGTGTTCCCTTCTCTCACCAACCCCTTCTTCCACAATGCTTTCTCAAATTGACCCGCAAAACCCTTCCATACAACACTCTGACATCACAATACTTTTTGTTTATGTGTTACCGGTCAGCAAAATATTTCAAACAACAAACACTTGTTGCTTATAAAAAGTCCAAATCTAACTGAAATTTGCCAAACTGGCTGAAAACTGAACATGTGACGTAAATGTCGGTCCCGGGGTACCTGTACCTCCTTCACGGAAATAAGGATATATCAACATGTATTATATGTTTTGTCTTCAAATCTTCAGAATTGATAGATAATTGAATGATGCATCACTGGTAGGAAAATCAAAGGTATTGGTCTATAAAAAGTGTCTGTGTAAAAAAGTGTCCATTACTTATTGATCACCCCTCGTATATAGGAAGCCATAAATATTTCGACGACGAACTCTGAATGACTCAGTGAGATCAGAGATTTATTGTAAAGGAAGTCGAAAGAATGGAAAGGGGAAAACACATTTCAAAAACCAAACAAATCTTGCACAATTTATTGTAAAAACAAATATTTTATCAAATGAATTTCAATCAGAGTAAGAGTAAGTAAAATGGATGTAGGAGCATCGATTTGATACACAGAGCTGTGAAAATGTCAACAAGAAGTATTGAAATAGATCGCAAGCATATGGATATTTGTTATTGTTTATAACTATCACAGCTAATGTTGGCGCATGCACGATGGTTTACAGTGACACATAAGTTATCATAATATCGACGGAGATGAAATAGATACTACAAGGCAGTATAATTGATTCGAACATGACTGTATTCACGCCTTCTATAAACTGTAAACAAAGTCAATGCTTCAGCTGGGTTATATTCGAGATCAATAACCCAGTTAATACGTGTAATGTGTGACGTCATAACTGTGGGTCGTAGTAATGGCGGATCATGATGAATAGTCGAAAAAATTTGGTGAATTTTCATGTTCGAATCGTAATATAGACCTCAGAGCAGGGGTAATACCGTCGAATACACCCCTTGGGGCTAGGCACAAAGGCTTTCGAACCCCTCACTCCCTTCGGTCGTTCGGGGTACAGAAAACGTTTGTGCCTAGCCCTGCAGGGTGTATTCGACGATATAACCCCTGCTTTTCGGTCTATATTTCTTAAATATCAAATAAATAAATGACGACTAAGGCAAGGCTTTCGTGTGATCAGAAAAACCAAAATGCATTTCATAGCTAGGCATATTGCCCCATAATCGGGCATCAATAAGCTCCATTTACATGTATTTCAAAGAAGATGAGAAATGCCCATAAAGGTCTATAAATGACTATAAAGATACATTTTTATAGTCCTTGTATTTCAAGCCTTCTGGTCCCCTTTTAATTCCTTTCTGTTATGTTAGCTAAGTTTTTGGTACATGGAGCTTACCTAAATAAACAGATCCAAATCCTCCCCTTCCAATGAGGTTTCCTTTCTGCTCCAAAGGAAGGTCATTGAAGTCATTTGTCATGATTTGTAGTTTTTCATAAGAAAAGTTTCTCCTAGATCCTGGTACGGCTGAAAACAACAGTGAGTATCCTTGATAACACACACCATTTAAGGCTTGTAGCCAACTTTTGCCAAGGGGGGTTTAGTCTTTAAAAACATCCAGGGAGGCTCAAAATCTGACACTTTTGAAGTGCTCAAGATGGTGTAACACTGCTAAATTTGGAAATGATTTTTTGGCCAGGTGAAAGAATTACGCTTGAACCTATGTGTATACCGGCCGGTGATTAGGACTCTAGCAAAAAGATTGACTGATGGCCTGCTTGTCATTGCCACATTACTTTTGATATAGATAAGTTGATGAATCACCATTTATTCATAATTGTTAAGGGTCTAAATCCATTATACAGGGTAACCCCAAATAATGCTGTAAATTGTAAATACAGTGTTTAATGGAGTGATATAATATCAAAGGCTTCAGGTTTGAAGGAAAAGGCATGTTATGGTCATTTTCATTCAAGGGTTGCATTTTTATTGGAGCACCCTGAAATTAAAAATATAGTCAGGAGATATTTTTAGCATTTAAATTAAACATTAGCCTTATTCTAATAACAATGATAACTTACTACTTTCATCTTGCTCCACAGGAAAATTGCCACTTGTTTCCATAGCAACCGGAAAATGTGACAGTTTGCTTTCATGATTTCCCACCATATTGTTATCAGAGCCATCTGGTGGTACTTCATGTAAGAGAGAAAAAGTTGATATACTGCTAGATGAGATGCTGTTGCTTTGAATTGTGTCAGTACTTGCGGAAGTGGTGGGATGTGATTGTTGCTCTGACTGGGAGCTGTATAGAACTTCCTCTGTGTGTGGTGGAGTCGGAGGAACTGAAATTATGAAATAAATTCATTAAATCAATCAAATGAATTTGTAATACAGAAAGTATATAGGGGAGTATTCATGGTTTTATACAAATACAAAAGGGTTTCTCCCAAATACCTACCCATGCTTCTGATGATACTGGAATCTGTTTGCGATGGTTCATTTGATGCTGCTTGATATCGCTCTTGTTGAACTGGTGTTTCAGCTGGTCCAGGATGGAGCCGTACATGTGGTCCCCCTGATGACCCCCAACTTGGTTGCTCCAGTGATTCCTGATCAAAGGGTTCTGTAAAATATATGTAGTAAGTAATAATAGAGGAATTTTAAATTAAGGGAATCTATTTTGTTATGTGTTGGTCTAGATCATAAACATGGCAGTTGTAAAACATAGTCAAGGCATTAACATGCAAAAAGTCACCACCTCCCATTTGTTACAGACACTGAACGCCTCCACCATCACAAAAAAGTATATAACAATATGTCAATATGTCAACACTTGTGGTGACATTATAAAAACCATTGAAAAGTTGTGTAAGACTACTTTGGTCTAAAAAATTTAAACATACCTGGAATTACAATATGATAATAATAATGTATTTTATCCTATGCCAAGTAGAGTTTTAGGGAGATAAGTTGGTAAGATATATCCCGTATCCTGATTTTGAGGTTTCCATATCATGAACCACCATATCTCCCACTCCAGGGCATATCTTCCCGCTTCGAAAAAAAAATGTGAAAAAATAAGAAAAAATATAAAAAAAGAAAAAATGTGAAAAAAATGTGAAAAAAATTAAAAATTGAAAAAAAGAAAAAAAATAGAAAACAATTTTAAAAAAATTTAAAAAATTGAGAAAAATGTGAAAAAATTGAAAAAATAAAATAATTGAAACAAAATTGAAAGAAAATTAGAAAACTCTACTTGGTATAGGATAAAGCAGTTATGTACGGTCGGTTTGGATATTGGGTTCATCCCTCGTGAGATATGCACATCTACCTTCGGTCCCTACGGTCCCTCAGGTAGATATGCATATCTCCCTCTGGATAAACCCCTATCCAAAACCTCCCAGAACATAACCCTTATTTATATACATGTACATGCATCTATCATTCTGATAAAAACCTTAAAATTTGATACCTTTTAAGACATCTCTGACAAGCCACTGTACTGCTTGGAAATGCTTTATTTCTAAGAGCCATGACTTGAGATTTTTCAGTGTAACATTTACAGTGTTCAGATCTTCTATTATGCATTGAGTTGGGCTTCTCCCAGGTTTGTTACCTTCAAATTCGAACATTCTGCAAACAAATATCAGTTCTATACATAAATAGTAAAAACATGTGCAGTAAAACCTGTTAAGTGGAACACCTCTATTGGGAACACTTTTTAAATAGAACACTTCAGAGTCCAGTTATAATGAATTTCTGTAAATGGAACACTTGCAACTATTTTGAAGTACCACATGTATTCCCATTACACAGGTTTAAGCCTACTTTACTCATGATTAAATTGATATATAACATATACATATAAAAGGGGGCCAATCAGTTGAATAAGCATATGGTATACTACTTAAGTAGGTATACAGGTTTCCTATGAAACAACAATGCTTCTCTGATAAGTCACATTCTGATGAATTACGCTATGGAACCATTGCTTTGGACACTTTTATAAAAGTCTTTAAGATTTGATAAAATTCTTGAAGATTCCATCGGGTTTGTGTAAAAAACCGGATGACCAGGTAACCGGGTAACTGGGTGACCGGGTACTTAACGTTCCTAGCAGGGTTATGATTTTTTTTTTATAACGTTGGATCTGGACGATACATGTACGTTATTTTCGACATCACGTTTTGAGGTTATTTCACATCGTAAGAACTTTTAACGTTAAAATAACGTCGGTAATGAACTGATTTAGTGAGAACATATGACGTCTTTGTAACATTTCCTTAACTCACAAATATTTTGTGAGTTTCCACAATGTTGAAATTCAACCATCCATCGATGTTTTGCTGAATATTTAAATAACGTCAGATCAATACGGTCCATGAACGTCATTATTGACGTCACATTTTGAGGTTATTTCAAATCGAAAAAACGTTTCGACAACGTTTAATTTTAACGTTAACAATCCGTCGGAAATGAACCGACTTAGTGAGAACACAAAGTTTTTGACATGTTTTTTTCCACCAACAAATATTTTAATATTAAAACCCTGTTTTGACAACGTTGAATTTTAACGTTTGAGTTACGTCACATATGGACCAATGTATTAAAAAATCAAACATTCCTGTTTGTTATGTTTTCCACACTAACGAACTTTACGGACACGTTACAACAACGTTCTTCTTATACCATCAATAGATGTCTCATGTTTACGTTGCCTCGATGTGTAAAGAACGAAAATGTGCAACGTCTTCTAGGAACTTATATGCTACTTATGAGCAACGTGACATGGACGTCACTGTTTGCCGGATCGATTATTTTAAAAAAGTGCTCTGTCTCGTATAGGGTAAAAATATCGAACAGCAGTGCACTCGGTAGGCTAAGTCTGTCAAGTCAATTCGCTACTATATATCGGGGAACTTTGAAAGTTGGTAACCCTGCTAGGAACGTTAGGTACCCGGTCGACCGGGTACCCGGTTACCCGTTTTTTTTAGTGTTGTCGCGATTAATTGATACATCGCGATATACATCGCCAAAGCTGATTCTGGCGATGCATCGATGTCTGAAACAAAACATCGATGTTTTTGAAAAAAATTAATTTGCTAAAAATCACCCTTTCTTATCTTATTTTGACGCAAATCGCTTACCTTTCTCATGTCTTATTTCATTTTCCAATGTTTTCTGATATTCTTTCGCTTTAAAACTGTTTTAGCTATTCGAAATGAACCATTAATCCGTAAAAAAATTACTTTATTTTCATTTCACCTTTCTAGAAGTTCCCGGATGTACCGGATGTTCGGTATTTTAGTGCATTAGCGTTCGGTATTTCAGTGCACTTTTCTCGGACTTTTTCTCGATGTACATCGCGATGTGCATCGATGTTTACTACTGAAAATTGCCGATGCATCGATGTACGATTATGGCACATCGCGACAACACTAGTTTTTTTACCCAAACCCGATTCCATCACGAGAAAGTTGTTCCAAAAATGTGATACGTACTATATATTGTACATTTGGTGTACTTTTGATTCAAAATCCTATAGTCATCTTTTACTTACCCTACATGTTCCATTGTGTATCTTGGAGTATCAGGATCATATGGGCTCCGTACTACACAGACAAACTCTTTCCATTTGTGCCCAATATCCAACATGCGACAAAGTTTTGAAATATTTTTAAAGTCCAGTTTATTCAGACGCGTTTCAAGCGTGTAGTTTATTGCACCACGCCTCATCATTGAGCTTTACATTAATTTTAAAATTTAGTAATCTTACACATTGATTTTTAGATCTGTATCAGTAGTCTATTAGACCTAACGTTTCAAAATTTTTTGATTTTTGTTTTCTAGATCTAACACCATAATTTATTTTTGACCCTATTTTCGCAGTTTCCTCCAATAGTCTGTACATTCTGCATGTCCTATGAAGATGGTGCAATGACTTATGCTATAAACTTACTATTCAAGCGCTCTGGTGACTAATTAAGTGAGAATTATCCCACAGAAAACAAAACAATTCCGCGAAATTGGAATTTTTACTTCCGGGTCCTAAATCAGACACAGTCCAAAATAAAGTATGCATTATAATGAATTATTGTTATCTGGGACCCGGGATCATTTTTCAAAAATATACTTTCATCAGCTACTGCTTTCTTAGTTTATATCGATCAAAAGTATGACAGAAATTTGTAAAATTGAAAACCTAAATTTTATGGACTGTGTTTTAGGTATGATTCAAATGTTAAGGCAGTTCCGTACGTTCACAAATCTAATGGCAATATCAGGTTATTTTCATGTACACATTATGTTCTCTTTATGCAAGCACATGGTGTTTCAATATTACCGTCCCTCGCCAATCATCAATCCTAGATGGCGTGAGTTATACATCATGTGAAACCGTTTTCAATTCTGGACTGGACTGAATAAAGCAACTTTCATTCAATTCAGCAGCCTTTACAGTCTGTGCATATCACGTACTGTGGGAAAGGTGGCCATTTGATATATGACATATCATTGCTGATGGTTATGAACCGTGAATTATCTGCTCTTTTTGTATATTTATATTGAAAATATTGTGACTACACAGTTCACAAATAATGTTCCCTAATGATCAATCGTCATGTCAATATTTGGCCAATGGAACCAAAATCCAATAAGCTCTTTTATGAATTGTGATACGTATAGATTATGGTGCACTAGGAGTGACTGTGGATTGGGAATGGTCATATGAAACACCACTGATGAAGCATAAGGCTTAGAAGAAACAAGTAGAGTTTTCATTTCATTTATCCCCCTTGTAACTAACTCTAGTTACTCCATGCGTGTATTAAGGCTAGATAATGATTATAAAACAAGGAGTCAGAGACGTCTAATTCTCATCCTCTACATTGTCCAGTTTTGCATAAAGAGTGCACTGATGTACCTTGAAAAGAGTGTGGAGAATTTTTTTTTGAATTTTTTAAAAATGCGAAAATTCAGTGACATACTTTTACATACACTAAAGAATAATCTCCATACACTTTTCAAAGTACAGCTCTCTTCGTGAAAAATTGAAAGATGTAGACTACAGTATGCCCTGGACAGTATGTGGGAATGAAAATAACAAGCGACTCCATGCGATGAGGATTGGATAAAAATTCAAAATGTACACACTTGCCTTAAAACATATGGACTTAAAGTTCCGTGCTTAAAACCATAGTGAACAGAATCACCTCCCTCCCCTCTCCTTATGATGTATGAAAAACTTCCCACAATAACATAGTCTTATAAATGAAGTAAAGATGTCAGTGAGTCATATCGATCGGAGCAGAGTGAATAATCGTTGCCTCTAAAATCGTGAAATAATGCGTATCGTTTTTATATAAGTGAAAATGGGAACACTGAGAACCAATGAAAACTTTCCATTCTGAAACCGGAAGTCAGAGGTCAACTGCAGCAAGATGGCGCGCTGATTTTCTGTGTACATCTAGACTCGACATTTCTCGTGATTCCTGCCGATTTCTACATTCTGCTAATATTATTAAATCGGTATGTATTGCATGCTTATCAGATATATATAACGCTACATCATTGATATGTATACATTACTGCAAAGTTGTGTTCTGCCCAAGAATAAGTTGCCTCAAATAAAAAGTTGATTTTTTTGGTTGAACTTTTATTTGAAGTTCAACATGTTTCAAGATTTCAAAGATTTGGTGAGAGCCTATTAGATTATTATTTGTTCATTGATCTACATTGATTATTGTTATTGGCTCGTGATGATATACAATGATTTAAGAGGGAATTATCTTCGCTTTCTTGTAGATAAGCTTAGATCTACTCATAAATATGAGGTCAAAATAGGCCCGTACTTATTCAATGAGTTGTCTCATACTTTTGTAGCATACTGTAGAATATTGACTTTCGGAAGTGAACGCATTATCAATAAGATACGTTACAGGGCCATCCCCAGGATTCTTCCAAGGGGGAGTGTCTGTATCTAAAAATTCATCATAGCTTGCACTTGAAACCTAGATTCTTTACCTCATTCGTCAGACCACATAGTTCTTCTTTCATCCAAGCATCGTCCAAGCACCAATGATTGAAGTCCTTGGGTATGGACCCTCCCCCTGCAGACACCCATGTTTTATATTATTAGCTTCTACAAAGTTATAAAAGATATGCCTTATATCTGGTTATCTCTTTATTATTGTTGTTTGATCATTCATAATTCAAAGACACTCCCTATGGCATGGTAGCATTGCCACTGGAAAATTTAAACAGTTCAGGGGTTTTTCAAGATAATTATCATTGAAGGGATGTATTACCAGCTGCAGTGATATTTTGAAGATTATGATTGCCTTTTATATTAGGAGACACTCAAATTTGAACTTCTATAATCCCTCATGAACTTAACATTATAGACTTGTTTGCTTATAATAGAAAGATATTTTCTTGTAAGTTTATATGTGCAAAAGATTATGGGGGATCAGAAGTTTTGGATTGTTTTATCAATCCTGAAAACTTGTATTTACATTTAGTTAAGTGCAGTGCCTATTGTAGATAAACCATGATGAGGATTTTTTTGCTCAACCTTCTTGGATTTGATCATTTTTTGTGCAACATTGTAGGCTTTTGTAATTTTTAGCATAACATTTTAGGTTGTTATATCACCAACACAAGTGGCGTTATAACTCCAACTTTTTTGTGTATGATGTCTGGCGGTTGATGTTTGGTGTCTGTAAAAAATGGTAGGTGGTGACAACTTGCATGTTAATTCCTTTTTGAATTTTTAGTCAAACATGATTGTAGGATTTTGAAACTTTGTTGGAGGCGCGTTTAATAATTGGAGGCAAATCTGGATATAAGGAATTAATTGGAGGTGCTGTGCCACAGAGATTTCAATGTGGGGGGTATCCTGGTATATGTCAAGTTTGTTCTTTGAAATGCACATATGGAGTTGAACAGACATTTTCATTTCCTTGTATGCCCTGATCTGGCATTCTTCCCATTTTTATTTATAAGAGTATTTTCAAATTAGTATGCACAAGTATCTACTAGGGCGAAGGGGTGTAACGTCGACACCGTTTTGGGGTAACTTCGACATATGGGGTAACTTCGACACCTTGTTGTTTATTTGCTCTAATTTCCGATTTAGGGGGAAGCCATGTTTTTTTTCTCGCATGGATCGAGATCTCGCGAGATTTTAATTTTTCCAGAAATCAAACATGGCGGAAAACGGAAATTCTACTTCTAATACGTAAGTGTCGAAGTTACCCCGTCCATTATGTCGACATTACCCCACACGTCGACATTACACCCCTTCGCCCTAGTATATGGCATGCAAAATGCAGGTAGCTATGTGTGAATCACTATGAATGATGAGAATTTTCATGCAATTTTTAAGATCAGAATTACCAATGTATATATAATATTTTTCACAATTTAGTGGATATTTACATATAATTGGAGGATACATGCTTAAGATGGAATATTTAGATTAAATGTTAGAAAAACATGTCCCAAATTTTTTCAACTTTTTGATGAAAGTGTAGAACTGAATTTTAAATCTACATTCTGGGTATCTTTTTAAGAAGTAAATGCCCCAGAATTCATATCTCCATATAAAGATTACCTCTAGAGGTTCTTCTTTACAGCGAGGCTCTTCAATGAATTCTGGGATATTTCATTCCTTCTGTTGTGCAGTAGTGATGTTTAAGGGTTTGTCTCAAAACTTGCATCCAAAACTTGAATTCCATGAATTTCCAATTTTCTGATTGCTAGACTACAAAATCTTGCTGATGAACATTTTGGATGATAGAATCTTTATTAAGAATAAAAGAGTTTGTTCTTCCGAATAGACAAAAGACATATGTAAGCCACGTTTGTTACCACTTGTATGTTCCAAAAAAGTAAGTATAATTTCATGGCTGGCGTGATGTACCATATTATAGTCCCTTAGGTTTAGCTTCATACTTCATAAGGTTTTTCTTTTCTTTTGTTACAGCAAAATTATAAATGAAAAAGCATGATCAAAATTGTTTTTTCAAAAACAATACTACTTTGTGGTAATTAATCGTTGAAGGCATTATGGCCAGGTTTATTCATATAATAGAAGTTTGATTCTGTTCATGGATATATTTTTTATGAATCTTGAGAAATGTTACTGTTGTGGGGAGAAATCTAGAAAGTAGCATGATTACATTCGATTCACTATTTGCTTGGCCGTGTAATTATGAGTAGAACTACAAGCATGTACAACCCTCTCTCGTAAGAGAAAACACTATCCTTAGAATATGATTTATTCTCCTAAGTCATGTAATAAAAAATTGGCTCTTGTTTGATTATTCAGCATGCAATGTCAGATTTTCTTTACATTGTCAGATTTTCTTCACATTATATTTACGGATTTAGAGGTGATCTGAGGACAACTTTGTCCTCTTTTTACAAAGAAGGATTTGCTAACCCTACGCAAACAAATCAATATCAAATCGATTCCTTTTGATGTATGTTTTTTTATGAAGGCAACTAACTTTTATGGCCACCGAGAGAAAATATCATGAGCATATTTGCCGTTAGTTACTATGACAACACTAGGTTTCTCCGTGGTAACCGTAAGAAGGCTTAGTATTAGATCCACAAAGTTCAAGAGCAGTTAGGGAATATATTGCAGATTTTATTTGATTACATGGAATTTTGTGGGATAATCGAAGTTATGAGTATGCAATCTTCTAAATGCGTCCATCTTTTAGCTAAATAATATTTGTTTGAATTATTTATAGTAATTTGTTTTGTTATCCTGATAATATCTTGATATTACATTGAAAGAAGTACATGTATTATTAGCAATTACATTTTTTTTAGAGGAGCATACCACATAAAGTCTGCTCCAAGGAACTATGGGGATTTGGTAATCAGCCTAATCATTCTTAATAGAGAACATTATCCTTCTTTGACAGTCAATAATATTAGGCATTCATTGTAATGATGCTTCAGTTGTCAGATTCTGATTTTCAAAAGTAATCATTCACTGATAATACCTCTATACCCTTTGTTTCACCGATATACTCTTTATTTCTCTCATATATTCTTTATACCTATATTCTCTATTTCCCATCAATTTC